TGGATCCCGGCACATAGCGGGGTCCCGGGCAACGAAGCCGCTGATCGGGCGGCCAAAGAGGCCACGGGTCACTCAAACCCAGATGGTCGTGCAGACCATGGACCTGCTCGCATTCTGACGGCCACGACCAAGACCGCCATCCGTCAGAAGATGAGGGCAGAATGGGAACGATCCTGGGAGACCGCGAGGCACGGGCGCGAACTCTTCAGATTGGGGGTCCGACCTGGGAAAGGGATTTTGGCCACTCACGTGGGCATTCATCGCGCCATCAGCTCGGTCATCACACAGATGCGTACCGGCAGGATCGGCCTACGCGCGTACCTCCATACGATCAACAGGGCCGACACCGACCAATGCGACTGCGGCTATGGACCTCAGACGGTACGACACGTCCTCCTGGAATGCCGGATCTGGAGCGAGGAACGACTGCGAATGTGGGCGGGCAGGCCTCCATGCATGGACATCAAGCAAGTTCTCTGCACTCCGACAATCGCCGTGCGCGCAGCGAAGTTCCTGATCAGGACGGGACTCCTGGAGCAATTTCAGGCAGTGCCATCCACGGTACTTGCATACTCTTAACTAACGTAGACGAGTGAATATTGGCAAACAGAAGTCGAGAAGGGTCAGAAAAAGTAGAAACCCTGAAGTGAGAACAAGTGTGATGATTCCAGGAACTACCTATGAGGGTATGGAAGCTACTTATAGCCATAGTCAGTGCCCTCGGGCACTGGCTAGTGCAACAACTGCCTACCAGGCAGTTGCCACTAGTTGCGTTGCTGCCTGCAGCGAGCATCACGTGACCTGGGATCCAACTCTCCCCCTGTGCCGCGGACCCTCCGGGTCTGTGGCACCCTCAACGGATCCCAAGAGCTTGATCTGTCCCTCCTTCTGCCGTACCCTCTCCCCCTGACAGAAGATTCAGACGATTCACCAAATCATCATGCGTAGGTCTCGGTAAAACTTTAGTGAATACATCAGCCAAATTGTCCTTCGTATTGACACGTTGGGTGTTGACAACTCCCTCGTCCACTTTTTCGCGAATGAAATGGTGTTTCACATCGATGTGTTTTGATCTGCTGTGGAATTCTGGATTTCTGGTAAGTTTCAAGGCAGAGTTATTGTCGATGTATAGGGGAACTGTATCAATGTTGACTCCTGGGATGCGCAGATCGTTGATGAAGTTGCGGATCCACACCGCTTCCTTCGCTGCTTCAGCACCTGCAATATATTCTGCGTCCATGGTTGACGTGGCAACTGTTTTCTGACGTTGTGATGACCAAGAGATAGGTCCCCCAGCTAGGGTGAATACCCAGCCTGTAGTAGACCTGCGAGAGTCCTCACATCCAGCAAAGTCGCTATCCACGAATCCTCGAAGTTGAAGACCGTGATTACCAGAGTAAACGATCCCCTTGCCTGGGTCATCCTTGAGGTATGTGAAAATTCTGTTCACAGCTTTCATGTGTGTTTGATTCGGGTTTGACGCATACCGAGCCACATAGCCTGTAGCGAAGGCGATGTCCGGTCTTGTTTGATTGCTGGCAAAGTTCAACGATCCAACTTTGGATTGGTATTCTTTGCGGAACGTTGGATGCGCGGTGTCGCCATCTTGAGCCCGGAGCTTGACTTCTTTTTCAATAGGGGTTTTGACCGGCGCGGCATCTTTGAAGCCATACTTGGCGACAATCTCGTCGATGTACTTCTTCTGATGGACGCGGACTTGGCCCAGCCTTTGCTCGACATGCATGCCCAGGTACCAAGAACATTCGCCCTCGTCAGTCATCTGGAAGGTTTTCGAGATCTGAGTTTTGAACTTCAGGATCGTCTGAAGATCTCTGCCCATGACGTTGATGTCGTCCACGTGTACTTCGAGTATGAGTCCAGAGTGGTCATTGATGAAGACACATGGGTCGTACAGTGACATTCGCCAGCCCCAACTGATCAGGGTGTTTCGTAGTTTTTGGTACCACGCACGGGGTGATTGTCGAAGGCCATAAAGGGCTCTGATAACCATCAGGCAGCACCCATGAGGAAGTCTGATGTCCTTCGGTGGTTTCATGTAGACCGGTTTGTCTAGGTCGCTGTTCAAGAAGGCAGTTTTGACATCTCCTTGATGGATTCGCCAGGAAAGAATGGCCGCCAGTGCTAGGAGGATGCGTGTTGAAGCAGGTTTCACCACGGATGCAAAGGTCTCTTCGTAGTCAATGCCTTCCTCTTGTTGGAATCCCCTTGCAACAAGTCGAGATTTATGTTTTATGAGCTGTCCATCTGGTCCGTATTTGTCGGTATTTACCCATCGGGACGTAACAGGCTTGACCCCTTCTGGGAGGGGAACGACTTCCCAGGTTCCTTTCTCCTCATGGGACTTCAATTCATCCTCTTTGGATTGGTGGTACTTGGTGCTGGCGGACTTCATAAGCGTAAGTTGCGGGGAGGTGTGATCATGATACGCGGTGAGACCAAATTTGAACCTCTTGATTTTGTCTTTGGCTGCTTCATGCAAGTCGTTTATTGCTTGTTCATCAGTTTGTTGCGGAGCAATCTCCCCTAAAACGGATTGGTCTTGGGTGTCTTCTTCCGCAGATTTTGGCTTCGGTTTCAGGCCCTGTCTTTTCCGACCTCTGTGGTCTTTGTAATCGTCTCTCAGAATCTTTTCGCCTTGAGCTCCCAGATCATAAGGTCGAAGAGCCCATGATTCTAGGGCTCCATCAGATCGCCGATAGTGGCAATTAGTGACTGAATGATTCCGTCGTGCCTTAAGACAAGGATAGCATGGCTGTTCGCCGTCGCAGTTGAGCTTTTGTCGTTGGCATCGGGTGCATTCTTCCTCGGATGAGTTCCCTTCCTGTATATGTCCATCGCAGCCGGCTGGGAGTGGACCATCGGGGACGCGGTATGTTCGAGAGACTAGTCCGTCTTGAGTTTCGTATGTGCAGCTGGTTTTACTGGAGATACATCTCTTGCACGGCCGTCCGCGGTCACAACGCGTTCCACTGCTTTTTTGTTGGCATCTCACGCAGGAAGGCAGTTGATTCAATCCCTGTGATCGACAGCCGTTACGAAGTCCAATGGTGTTGCAGTTATTGCATGGCCTTTTTCCGTCGCAAGCCCTTCTGCGTTTTGCACACCGGTCACACTTTTCGTCCTGAGGGACAGGTGTGAATCCATATTTCTCCTCACGCTTCTTTTTCGAGTTTTCTTTCTTCTTGAGAATAAAGCTGGAGGCCTTTGCCCCTTCAAGGTCCCAGTTGCATCGAAGATTGAGTTGTTTGCACAATTCGCACTTATTGGCGTCGCGTGAGCCGATGATGTGGCATTTATAGCTCCTTTGGAAGCATAATCGACACGGTGGGTCTTGGATGACGCCAGCGATTGCTTTTTTGCTGTTACGATTTTCGGGAAGGATCAGCCGCTTGGTTTCTTTCGACTGAGTTCCACATCGATACCCCCTGTTCTTACACGTTGAACAGGGTGATCCATTCTGGTTTATGTCGCATGTTCGGAAGGAACGAAAGCAACGGTCGCATTTGTCATTATCCGGCAAGTACTTCTTATCCTCGTCTTGCACGAGGAGATAGTCGTCGTGCACCTGCCGCACTGCCCGTGGACAACGGTCAATCAACCACGGGTTGCCCTGCCAGCGACGGCCACGGTGCCCAAACGAGCGTACCACAACCATGCGACGATCTGACTGGGATGCGGCCCACCGAAACTTCTGTCACACACTGAACGCGATCTCGCCAACCAGGACCCGTGGCCACTCGCTACAGTTGCTCATGGGTCCCAACAGGTCGCGTCCAACGTCCGTGGCTGATAGGACCAAGGGTTTGCCAAGTCTACTTGTCAAAGCCAGTCGTCGTCTCATCATTTCTCGTGTTAACTCTCTTTTTTCTTCCTCGACATTTCAGCATCTTGATCCGACCAGTACTGCTGGTCCGCAACACCACGTCGACAATGAAAGACGCTACATTGATCAGGAGACGGGCACGGCAAGCTCGTCTACGCGAGAAGCGGAGCTTCCATATCTGGGCTGCCACCGCCTCGGCAGATCTCGTCCAGAAGCCCATTCGCCCCCTGACGGGTGTGGCATACAACCGTATGCTGCAGGAGTGGGACTTGTTCGTGGTGGAAATCAATATCTGATGACTCGCTAATCCGTGTGCCAGATTTGCGGCGGAGTCGGAGCACAACGTATCACCTCTTGACGTGGCCACACTGAAGAGATTCTTGAAATGGTACTGTGATGGCCGTAAAGGTCGCTTGCCGGCCCCGGCGTTGGATGATGGGACGGAACGCCGAATCACACAGGACTCGGCCTATTCCTGCTGGAAAAGCTTCATGTCCGCCTGGCACCGGCGTTCCGGGGACACCTTCTCCAAGAGCATTCAGAACACCATCGAGACGGTACGCATGTGCAACATTCTGCCATATAAGTGAGAAGCTGACTGCGGCACAGCTGATTTATGGAGGAGACGATAATTGGCTGAACCTCTGCACCACCCGTCGGTCCACCCGTAACTTCACGCTGACAGATTTTGAGGCCTGTGTCAGGCAGCTGTGGCAGAATGACTGGTACGACTTCCGCTGTGAGGCGTATCGAATTGGACTCCATCAGATGATGCTCATGCATATTGGTACCTCAGCTCGATCGGCCGAATATGTGATGAATCTGCGATACCGTGTCAGTCTTGCCCCTCTTCACGGAAGGCAGAGATTCCTAACGATTCAGGATACATTGCTTTATCAGGTCTGGTTTGAAGACCGTCCGCAACCCCAATTGGTCATCGATTTGTGTCGTAACCACACCAAGGGACTGGCCAATCTACCCCGTCAACAGTTCGATTGTCCTATCGTCACATGCCAGGTGAACTGCTAATGATTCCAGGCCTGAACATCTCCTCTATGAGTTGGTCGATCTCCCATTCTATTACAACACCATTGCCTTCTTCGTGGCCGGCCTGCTGGCTCTACAGGGATTGCGCAACTTTGATTCTTGGTCAAACATGTGTGCTGCGAAGAAGCCACCGGATCGCAATTTCCTCTGTTTAGACTACACCGACGACGTGCTTGACCGACATGTCTACAGTCGACACAGTGCAGCAGCAGGTGGTGAGACTAAAGCCGCGACCTCGCTGGTCGAGGCCCTAGCACTGCTGGGCCAGCGGACGGGTTTCCGTGACCGACCGACGCCTGGCGCCATTCGTCGCGAAGCACTCTTGCAAGTAGACCGTAGGTCGACCAGAGGCAACAGGAGCCCTTGCTGACGCGTCCAGGACATGGTTACTCTATAAATGAGCGAATGCGGCATGCCGATCATCGTAACCCCAACACATATGGCGGTTACTACCAAAATGCTATTTCGACGGTGGATGGGCAAGCCACTTACTTTGGACTGGAGCAGCAACTGCCCGTGCTGCACGAGCTCTTCCGCGGATTCTCTATTCGACGTGACTATCAGTACCGGCCAGAAGTGCCATGGCGGCTCCGGAAACAAATCAGCGATGTGCCGCCCTCGATTGAGGGCGACAATGGGATGGTTGACCAGCGAGCACGACAAAAGCGATACGATGACCGTCGCCAGCAGCGGGACACCGTATTGCGCACTGACCAACAGTCCCAAGCCAAGAAAGCGAACACGTCGGCTGATTGTGTCTACGAATCCGATTTCCAGCAAGCCCGACGCCTGATGCCGGAGCGGGACCGACTTGCCGATGGCCTCTTCCAGGTTGGATCATTGAGAAATGCTCAAGGGATCGAGCTTATGAATGACCTGGTGACACTGTTCTCCTCTCGGAGATCTGAGACCTACTGTGTCGAACTCAACAGTTCTCGGTCACACTGTGATACTTGCGGCATCGCACGCCCGGGTAGCACCAGCCAGGAGTGGTGGCGTCACGTTTACCACTGTCGCAAGGAACGATTCGAACGAGTCGGCGGGTTCACGGACTTCTGCTTCTTCTGTTTTGCTTGGATAGACCATGTCGATGCATGGGCTAGGCACGCCACTCAGCACAGCCACGACGTACCTATGAAATGCAATATGGCCATGTTCCGCGGTACAGTGCTCCGCCCAGCGTGGTGTCCAGATTGTATGAGCCAGACGGGACGCCCGGGCTCGGATGGCAAAGGCCTGACACAGTTCTTCAATGTGACTGCCTGGAAATCTCACATGGATCAGCATGTCCATGAGCTTCGGCCTGGGCGCCACAAGTGTTCGCATCCGCGCTGCCTACATCTACCAAGCTGCGCATCAATCGTCGACTACATTGCCCATCGATTTGACGTCCATCTCATCCCTGTACCAGATGGCGCTGTGGACGGCACAGCTCCAGCTAAGACGAATCACAAAGACCATGCTGCTGAGACGGCGCTCCGAGGGGCAACGCACCTCGAGCACTCGATTAGAACACCATCTCCTCAGCCGCATGAAGCTTATTCCACCGATTCGACTCGGGCAGTCAATCGCTCGCATTCAGAAGCTTCATCGCCACGTCAAGGGTTCGGAAGCTCGATCGTTGCGAAAGAGAGGGGCGTGAGCAGCGGCATTGGTGGAGATAGAGCTTCCACCACTTTGGACATGTCATCCAACCCAGACTACGACCAAGCTCATCAGAGTAAGGCAGGCCAGTCTGCAGCAGCGCCAAACAGGCTCTCATCGTCGGTATCGTTAACGTCTGTGTCATCCTGTGGCCAGCTCGGATCGACTGAGTCTCCGACGAATCATCGTCGACAATCTCGGTCAGGCTTAGGAGGCATGCCACCCTACAACGTCGAACCTGGGCCTACTACCATCGAGATTCTCATTCCACCTAAACCTCCAGGCTGGCAGGATGTGCCTCTTGTCAGCTGCACTGGGTGCGATGATGAGTCCACGGGTGTAGACACTCCCTGCGACGAAGTCTCTTCAGAATATTCTTCGGGTGAGGCGAAGGTAGCTCGTGCTGCGCGGATCTCCCCGCCTACATCGTGCTCACCGAAGCACTTGATGTATTCGAGGAACCCACGGATCGCTACTGCAACAGGTACAAGTAGCAGAATTCTTGACAGTGCGAAGATCTCTAACAAAGTCATGCGAAGGAGACAGGCTATCATCGAAATGCATGCCCGCATTAGAGACCGGTGTAGATCACGCATCAAGAGAGCTGCGAGGGCTTCTGCGTAGACAGCCAGCATGGTCGGATCAGCTGTGTCCCCTTTGCAACGTCGAGTATCTGATTCGTGTACTATAGCCCAGATTCTTCAGGCTCAGCCTTTCAGCAAGCTCGTCACCTGATGCCAGAGCGGGATCGACTCGCTGAGACCATTTTCCGGACTGGACTCTAAGAGAGACCCAAGGTGTTGCCCTTATGGACGACCTGGTGGCACTGTACTCCTCCAAGAACTCCCATACCTACTGCGTCGAACTCAACTGGTCAACATCACATTGTGACAGCTGTGGCATCGCGCGTCAGAAGAGCAGTAGCCATACCTGGTGGAGCCACATGTATCACTGCCGCAAGTAGCGCGAGGAGCACGAGGGACGGTTCGCCGAGTTCTGCTTCCGTGTTTCGCGTGGGTTGACGATGTTAATGCGTAGAATACGCACGCTACACAGCACGAGCAGGACCTACCACTGAAATGCAGCTTTGTTATGTTCCGAGGGATAGTCCTCCGCCCGGGGTGGTGTCCGGACTGCGTCAGCTCAACGGACGGGGCGTGAGCTTTGAGGAACAAAGCACTGGCTCCCAACACGTTTGTAGCCCGAGACGAGGAAGAAAGAGAGACGATGACCGTGCTGGCATACGTGAAGCAGGCTTTTGCGCACCGTCCAGCGGTGAATGAGAATATGCCTATCTAGATCCCTCTATCTCACGAAGACCTCCAGAAGCATTGATCTTGCCTTCTTCCGTATATGTCTGCAGGTTACGCTTGCGGAGTCCGCATCCATATAGCTGCATTCAGACCAGCTTCTTTCCCGTCAGCGTCCGTAGAATCGATGTCCATGGTAGCGATGATGTTACCAATGCTACCTGTTTGGATGTCTCGGGCCAAGACGACGATTTTCGAATCTCGTTGCAGAGCAACCACCATCCTGCGACCATCAGGGCTCAGATCAAAATGTCGTGGCCAGTTGCCCCCAGCGCGTGCTAGCTGCTGAAACTCCAGACTGCCGTCACTCTGACAGATCTTGAAGACCGCCAAAGAGTCGGATGACGGGGAGGCAAATGACGTGTCGTTGCGATTGGACACTATCAAAAATCTGTTGTCTGGACTGATCGCAATTTCAGCAGCGGCGGCAACAGCCGTCGCGTTGCTGTAGTTCCCGAGCGTCGATAGCGTTTGGCCAGTGTATTCGAGTGCCAGTGATGTCGACGAATATACGGCTCTGAAGACCGTGATAGTGCTCACGAACTCGGACACAACGTATAGATAGGCAGGCCCCAATCGGTCCGTGGCGTTGTTGTGTGTCCAGAAGGCGGCATGCCGCGGACCAGAACCTGCCAGCATCTTGGCCTGATTCTCGAGTTGGATACTACCGCTTCCATTCTGCATGGAGAACACTCTGATCATGTCAGCTCCGAGATCGGGCACAACAAGGAAACGATCAGAGGGATCGAGGAATATTCCATGAGGCCGCGCAACTGTCTGTGCCGGCTCCGGCCCCGGTGATTCTAGAGGTGGTAGTACAAGAAACTTGCCACCCTCAATACTACCGTTGATCGTTGTCGCGAGAGTGGTGATTCCTCCCTGAACGGGAGGATCTCCCCCATAGCAGGCGATTGCGAGACCTCGTCCGTTGTCGATCTCGACGCTCTGAACTGGGCCTGCAGAGATATTAAGTCCCTCTCTGCGAGTGAGACTTCCATCAGGAGACACCGCGAACCGGTTGATACTCGCCTGACCTGACAGCAGTCCTTCGTCCAGGCACCATAGACGATCAGATTCTAGTGTGAGCCAGGTAGGGTTTGTTCCGCAGCCGGCATGTCGATTGACTTCAGAGAGACTATACTGCAGACCATCTTCCCAGAAATGGATGGTGTAAATAATTCCATTGTTGGATGCCACAAGAATATTGTCTGAGAAGGTCTGTGCTGTACATAGATGATACCAGCACAGGGCAAAGGTCGCCAGAGCGAGTGACGCCATGTCTTTGTCAAGTACAACGCAGTCCACAATCGCAGCTGGAAGTACAGTATGCAAGGCGTCTGACTTTTCCTTTCCGAAGAGTCCACAGGCCCATACTGAATAAACTATAGAGCATAAAGTATCTTTCTCTGTTCTTGTAGCCTGCCTGCCTATCGAAAGCCGCCCACAAGTTTGCATAGTTTTTAGGAGAGGGGACGACAGTGGATTGCGCAGAGGCCAAGATATACTGTATAGTACTGTAGCTGGATCATCTAAAGACTCTTCGAACAGGGCTACCGTGATGATAGCGATCAAGTTTCTGGGCGCTAGCATTGCATATCGGGAGAGAGAGAACATCTCGCAAGGGCGGGAATACATTTGACCCTGACAGACTACCTACTTCACCATGAATGAACGTGGTTGCCTTCATCCGCCAATCTCAAAGCATGCAGGCGTTTCAGGTCATGCGGCCGCTTGTTGGCCACCTCCTTCAGGGTGACGGCCATGCCCCGACTCAAGTCAACTTTTCATCTTCAGCAAAGCTCGATTTCATCACGTGCTGCCAAGTTGAGAGGCGGTGACATTCGGACGGGGGAAGGAGTAAACAGAGCCCCTCTAACTCCTTCACCTGCCCGTTGGCGCGGAATGCCCCCGCCAGTGTGTCCTACAACGCCAGTTGGTCAGGATGATCTGCCGCCAGTAACTGTGACCGGACCTGCACCACCTCCTCCAACAGCGCCACCGGCGGACAAAGAAGCGAAGCTTTCGAATTGGACGGCAACTGAATAAGAAGATATGCTTGAGAAGTCGAAACGCCCTCGTTTACAAGGCGAACTCCTTGAATATTTTGAGGATCGAAAAACGGTGATTCAGGAGTGTTCAGCCAACAGGACGCCTGACTAACAGACCATGCTGACGCCCGTGCTCTCGCTCCTTGGGAGTTCCGTCTCACTGCGTTCGGCCTGAAATAGTCATGAAGATATTCGCAACCGACGGCCAATCCTCAGAATCCCTCATTTCCGTCAGCGAGCGGCGGTCATATGGATTCCATTGCAGTAGACCGAGTGCAAGTTTGCACGACCGCCTGGGTATACCCCAAAGGCTGTCGTCTTCCAGCTCGTGACGTATCTCGAGATACCGTGGACGTGTTATGCCGCCACTACCAGTTGGTGGAGCGGTCGATTGCTTGAAGAGCTGGTACATGACCATTCCAACCGCCCAATAATCAGAAGCAAAAGTCCATGGTTGAGCCTTCCTGAGCTCCCCTTGTGCATCAAGTCTTTTCTGCTCAATAATTTCTGGACCCAGGAAGTATATGGTGCCTTTGTAGTGGTCTTTGGAGCCATGCTCCAGCGTCGCGTGCCCAAAGTCACCTAGGCGGAGATGCAGTGGACGGACTGACTCGATGTAGATATTGCCAGGCTTGATGTCCCGCTGAATGACGCCAAGTGAATGGAGATGAAGCACACCCTCACCGACTTGGCGAAATATTTGATCGCTAACAGACCATGCACTGCCGTCGCCTATGATAAGATCCAGAGTACCAAGGGCCAGAGGGCGTACGAAGAGGAAAGCTTCATCCATGCTAGTCCGGTTGAGGCCAGCTTCGGTCCCGCCGGAGGAGAACCAGCAGTCGACCATTTCAATGACATTTTCCTAACCCCCGTTAGCCATTTTGATGGTAGATAGTCCTGATACTCACGTGACCCTTGACTGCCCTCAGGATATTGATTTCATTCTTGATAGCGTCAATATTTCTTCTGGTTCGAGAAATGCGCTTCGCCGCAAGGACACACTTATCATCGTCTCTTCGAACGGCTATGTAGACTCTACCGTACGTCCCTTGCCCAATGATTTGCTGAAGGGCATAGTCTGGTGGCAGTACCGGGGTGGGGGTCGAGCTCAAAGAATCATGCACTTCTGCCTGTACGTCGCGGTGGCCGTGGTGCTTACGGATGACGGCAAGCTGGTCCCGGTGTCTTTTGGGGTCAACGTCAAGGAATTCCATTCTGAAAGTCAGGTTTCCAAAGGTCAAGTCGGCTGTGGCGGCCTCCAGCAACAGCTGTCCGTTTTCAACCGTACGCCCATTTGCCTCCACCCGCCTCTTTTCGCCAACGCAAATGGAAGGAAAGCCGTTTTCGAAGTTGATAGTGATTCTGGCATGAAACGTGGCGACTCGATCGTCCTTTTTCCTTTCCTTTGTGGTAATCACCATGTCAGCTCGTCGACCATTACAGCCGTCGACCCGCCCATCGTGGGCACCAAGCGTCCACCCGATGCCAATGTTGTTTGGAAGGTCATCCAGGCTGAACTCATACTCAGCCTCTAGAATAGATCTTGGGTCCTCAAAAGAGCTTGCTGATTCGGTGTCGCTGTCGGCAGGTAGAGGAAATGGCACAGTCCCACCCACTTTCAGGTGTTGCGTCCAGGGCTGAGCTGCCTCAAGCTGGCGAGCCAATTTTGCCACAGCGTCCATAGCCAACTTGGCATTATCGTTCAGGGGCCATAGTCGAGCAAAAATCTGCTTCTCCTCCGCTTCGGTAGATGGCAGTCGCTCTGTAGAAGCCTGGCTGGGAGGCCCAGGATCCGAAGCACGATTCATTGCGCAACATGATGAACAGGCGTGCTGGGGCTAGGACGATATATACCGCTACTTAACATCCGACTGACCTGCTCGGCGTCTAGTTTGACTTCAGATCGATTCAGAAAGCCTCGAAAGATGTCCTGCAGAGTAGAGTGATTGGACCTGCTACTCCGGCACGGCTGGCGGCTAACGTGCGCGGGTGCTTCTCAAGCATGGGACAGTCTTCCGAATACTTGGCGCCTTGTTTTCGGCACGTGACAGCGTCTCCCGAATTCTTGGCGCGGCATTGTTTTGCTTCCGACCGACTCGTCGTTGCATCCAGAATCCTTTCCTGCTCGACGTGCAGCCGATGAGGGAAAGCAGATATCACCATTCATCTGCATCACCACACGAGAGGTCAGACAAGGCTTTAGAACTTGAATACCTCCAGCGCAAATTGGTTGAACTCGCGACCAACCCAAAGCCACCCGCCCACCGTACGTCATATGAGCTCTATGTCCAGGCGCTCAAGTTTTTCGCAGACGAGGATGCGCAGTCTCGGGACACATCCTCCGCAGACGATGATGTGCAGTTTCAGAACTTGTCATCCACAGACGATGGGTTCTGCACCTCTACGCACAACGATTCAACATTAACTGCAATTTCCCAACCTCTGTGCGAGCAAACTTTACCTCCGCCACCACGAAATAAATCCAAACGAAAGCTAGACCGCTTGGAAGAAGACGACAGAAAAAGAATGCATGAACAACCCAGAGCTCTACGGTCCTCCAAAATATCTGAGTTCTGGCAGCTGGATGGTGATGGGATCGCCGAGGAAGCCAAGAAGAGACCGCGATTTTGCTGATGTTGCTTGGGTCTTCCAGCTCTGTGTAGACACCTGAGAGAAAATCGAACCTCGCCCAGTGCAGCTAGTGATGGCTAGAGGACACCACACAGACGGCAACATTCAGCGGCATCTCCCAGCCGCGCTAAGCCACATCATCTTCGCGAAGCCAAGTAATCTACAGATGAGACCACAGTGGCGCAAACGGGAATGTGGCCTCTCAATGAGAGTTGTTTCTAAGTCATCAACGCAGGAACATCGCATGCCTCGGCGGGCCCCTTTACGTCGAGCTTGATCGATCACTCACTCCATGCGGATCTATCACAAACCCTCGAGAGAAGAAGCACCTGGCTTACCTTCGTCCATGATAAGACTTCTCCCAAATACACCTATAGTCTTTCGAGACCGCATACCGATTTTAAGCCGACACGAGGGGTTATCTCTATTCAGTCCTCAACTTGCGATTGAAGAAGAGGGACGAGATGTCTGTGACCGTGCTTCGACCAGTGAAAAAGATCTGGAATATTATGATCGCGCTGCTGTTAAGAGAATGGGAGAATGGTATTGCCGCAGCAGCAGTCGATATTGAATTCAGCAACCACCTCAACGCTTGGTGACACGACGAGACTGGAAAACCACGGCCGTCGGCCTAAGATCAGACCTGTGTCAACACGACTGCTATGGCCGCCTATCTTATCTCCTTGCACTCATTTGGGCCACCCTCAGGCGTGCGTCTGCGAGGCCAAAGGATCACGACTATCAACAGTTGATGAGGCCTTCAAGACCGCAGTCTACTTCCAGATCACAGGTATGGGACAGCCTACAAACTCCGTACTGCTTTCTAGCCTTTGCTGGCGGGCTATGCAAGCTGAAGCCTCAAAACCGTATCTTTGGACTATGTACTCTCGACGGTCCGTAAGACGAAAGAGAAAGCACGAATTTGACCTCAATTCGGTGAGCATTTCTCCAATTCATCCCTCAGCTCCGTTACAGATACAAAGCCACGTGTCCAACACTTCTCCATTACTTCGGCAAGCCATTTACCCTCAGTCGCTGGAAGACTGCTCCTTTGTGGCCAAGTGGCAATCTTCCTATTGCTTCCCTGCCACAGATCGAATTTACATCCTTCTAAAGTAGTTATTTCATAGATAAGAGCACCAAACTGCCCGATGTCGGTTTGAACAGAATATCCTTGTTCGTCAGCCCCAACCAAATCCCAATCAAGCGACATCAAGGTAGAGTTGCCAAAATCTGAAAGCTTCACATGGAGCTTCTGGTCAAGTAAGCAGTTGTCGAGCCGTACGTCCCCGAAAATGACCTTCCTCTCATGGACGAAAACTAGAGCAGAAGCTATTTGTTTCAACCATACCAGCTTCTGGGCCTTGCCAATGTCAGCTTTCTGAAGAAAGCTCCGAAGACTCCCTTTATCCGCGATCTCCATCTCAATCATGGGCTCTGTGTCGCTAGCGTTGTGGCACCTGACAATCTGTGGATGCTCGCCCAATCGTTGGTAGATCAACTTCTCCGCCAGCAGGGCCTGTGTTACTACTAAAATCTCGTTGTAATCGCTTTCGTGATCAGATTCTGTAGCGTCCTCTTGAAGTGGGCGAGAGAGTTTGGGAATCTTGACGGCGTATTGGTGCTGCTGTATAACAATGCACGAACCTCCCAGACCGATGATAGGTTCTGTGACGTGACGTCCATCGAGATGGATGAATTTCATGGGTCGGGTTGCCGTTGCCATAGCGATTTAATGTGTACTAATTGAAGTGTAAGGAAGGGGAGAGTAAAGCAAGGGGCGCTTTATATCCCAGGGCGGGTAGAGGCTTGGCATCCAATTTCGGCAGACCCGAACATTTTCATTTTTCTAGGGACGGTAGTGATTGTGCTACGTGTTGCACAACATGATACGCTCTCGTGCTCAGTGTACTGCTGTATTTGCAGCATTAGGCCCAGCGGTTGTGTCACGGCCTGTCTTCATCGGTTTCATCTCCCGGCCATTCTCATACCACTTGGACCTTGATCTGTGATTTGGGCAGTTGCCCTTCCGAGATGTCGATGACGCCGGATTCACGTCCTCAACGATGTGAGTGACATCTTTACGGCCACAGGGATGGAGTTCCATGGTTGGAGGCTCGAATTCGTGACATGGGAGGTGGCTATTGGGCGTCTTGGTACAACTTGGGTATATTCGCCGAGCAGGATGCAACCGTTTACAACCGCAGAGCTGAGCAGGCATGTTGAAGAAAGAATCTTGTTTGTATGCCTAAAGGGCTTATCGTGATAGCTCTCTGTGTGCAGACAGCGACTATTTTTATACTCCGCCTTGAGGCATTGGTAGGTTGTAAGGTAGTGCTGCCACTATAGGTTGTATGCAGACAATGAAGTGGCCGAACCAATAAGTTGGCAATACGCTTCTCGACTCCCGCCTCTCTGCCTCCCACAGATGATAGCTGGCACTATGCAGGGCTAGGACAGTAAAGCCAGATCATTGCCCAGCGTAGACCAATCCGGATTATCTCGCGGACTCCGTTACGTTGCCTGCAAGGCAGTATGATAACAGTCTAACCCTGCGAAGTTGCTGCGCAATGCACGTAACGCGGCACGCCCCTTGGCGCAGAGCTTAATGCGGTTCATGCATTGGGTGCTCGTTCAACTTCGACGAACATTGGCGTTCGTCGGAGTGATCCTGCGAACCCTGGTGTGGATGTTGTGCACGACTGCTGACGTCACAGAGCTAGCTGCATTTGGACTCGGCCTTCCCCTCGCGCTTCCTGCCCGGCATTCTAGCTGGCTATACACGCGGTATCCTAGTTGTCTGCTCATCTGACCTCCCGGCTGTCTTCGGCCGGCTTTCGCAATATTCTCCCTATTGTCGCTTGAAGGTCGATATGCCGCTCTCCTATTCCATCCAAGATCATTCTGCGCTTTTCGGTGTCGGTTTCAGTACCAGTACACATTTAGAAAGACTGGAAGCCGCCCAAACTTTCTACCAAGTGCGCAGGGATATTGAAAAAGCAAAAACGAGACTCGCCTCCCTCACGGCAGTTGCCTTTAGGAAGAGAAAACGGGAGTTTCGGGCGAAGATTGTCAAGGTTCTATGTGGAAACCATGACAGTCAGGTCCTGGCGACATTGCCGGCTTTAGGACAGCACAATGGTAGTCCTCAGCGTGTCTGGCACTTCATCGTCGCCTGTATGACATTTTCCGAGGAGCTTTGCAAGAAGATTCAGCAAGCAGGTCTGGTTGAAGATCTTCCCGACTTGTTTCGAGGCATCGTTGGTCATATTGCTGTCCCCGCGGAGACGAGCACCGCTATCATCGAAACTTTGAGAGAGATTTGCAATGAACACAAAATTCAGTCTACCAACATGTTACTTGGTTGGTCTTCTGAGCTGCTGCGAGAAGCTGCTGACGTTTCCAGATAGATTGGACGCCACCGAAAATGCACCTGCAATGACGGCGAGCGAGTCGCGAAATCAGCCCCCGCTCAAAAGAGCACGCACCGAGCCAGATGGCTTCGATGCAACTTCACTTTGGAAGGAGATCATGGAGATTGACGAAGAACACCTAGAACGTGGTGATGCACCGTTGGTTGTTCCTCTCAGGCGTGAGTACAGAATCACTTCACATCCTCTGGTTCTAATACATTCGAGAAATCGTTATCCAGTTCTCTGAAGCCAATGCCCATCGCCTAGAAACGCTTTTGGGCAACTCCCCCCTTGCACTTGCCTGCAAGAAAAGCCGCCAATGGCGTTGGGAAAGACTGAACGATGAAGTAGCTGTCGACCCTGATAAACAGCAGACAAGCTGCATGATTGCACTTGTACCAGAATCGGCACGTCAGGACTGGTCATTCCTAATACGAGTAGGATACCATTCCGGCTGGCAAGTAACCAAGTATCTCCAGTTTAGCGATTCCATTGAGTCGGCGACATGATAGTTTCTGAAGTTTTCCGGCGCATTGTTATTCGAATCTGGTGTTGGCTCTGTAGACCAAGACCTCGTCGCCTTTCTTCACGCTCCAACCTGCTTGCCCAGTACGCTTCGCTGGCTTTTCAGGGAATGATTTACCGGCTCGCTTGATTTGAACCATCATTCCGTCCGCCCGAACCTTCTCCTGAACTGTCACGGTGAAAGTGTGAGGACCTTCGATGTATTCTTCGATTCCGTTGAGCGCGTTCTCGCCAATCTCTGTCATAACGGTGATAGCGATGCAGCCTTCGTCACTGCGTGCAGCGTAAGCCAGATCGGTGACTGTGGCCAAAGTCAGTCGAGCTTGTCGGATTCATATAGTGGTGGCACACACATCGATTACCGTGCTCAGCAAGGAGTAGATGCGCTTCAAATGAGGTGAGGATGGCGCACGATTCATTGTCAGGTGGACTGAGGAAGAGAAGTCGCGCTGGGTGCCCCGCCATGTGAGCCATTTCGCAGGTGCGCCACAGACGCACCAGCCACTATCGCCACTTGCGGCCCAACCTGAAAAGTTTACTCTGTTGCTTGGCAAAGACGGGCACTAGGGGAATCTTCCCGTTGCGCCCTGTCCCGTTTGGTATCCCACCTGGCGTCCCGTTTGGCGTCTCTTTCGGCGGACTGTCGTGTCCGACCTGGTGTCCGATCTGGTATTCAATCTAGCGTCCGACCTGGCGTCCGACCTGGCTTTCGATCTGTAACCGACCTGACGTCTAGCCTGGCGTCTGACCTGGCACCCGATCTGGTGTCCTCCCGAGTAACTATTCTACTCGTCTATTAGAAATCTCGGGGGCCTTTTTTTCCCTGTCATCGGAAGACTCTGTGATCGATATCAATGTGAAAAAATGCTGTGGAAGTCCTTCGTTAAGTCGGACGTGACCAAGAGTCCTTCCAAAAGCAGCTGGTATGACCACGCGCCGGTATCTCAGGCGTAAGGGTCTCGTATTGGCAGGATCTTCGACGTCGTTAAGAGTGCGTTCTTGAAGGCACTTTTGCGGTACCCTGATTTGCAAACCCTGCACGAACGTGTTGACAAGCGCTGTCACTGGTGGAGACTTGAGACTGGGTCGGTGGGCCCGAAGCCATGCTCGATGACTTTCGCAGGCAGTACATATGCATGTAATGATTGCAGAGACAGCGACTGATGCCTGTGGGTGGGTGGCATTGCTTCCTGCAAATCCCGTCTGCAGGTTCGACATTATTGCACTAATGAATAGTCAAGAATTCATCCAGCCAACAGCTTGTGGAGCACTGAAGTTCGATAGATGGGCTATAATCCCTGTGAAAGCTGCTTGGACCCCTTGGAACATCTTCAGTATAAGAGCCACGGAGGATACTGCTCACAAAACAAGGGACCCCGTTCACAAGTATTCTTTGGATCCTCTTTGATATATGACATTCAACCCGTACTGAGCCATGTCTGGGCAGCGAGACAACTCCAAGCAGACGGCATCGACGGAGCCAGACAAAAAGGAAAGCTCCAACCCGGCAAACGGTCAGGAGAGATCACGTACGGATGGTGACCAGACCAAAACTTCCAATCCAAAGGCTCCGGCGAATTTCGACTTCATGAGACCATACAAACGGAAAGATCATGGCAAGTAAGCGTGTCGTAAGTGGAGTGACTGCTCCTGGGCCCTCCTAGCCCGCTGACCGTGCTCTACAAGAATACATCGACAATGAGGCTGTGGGTAGATGCGGCACGGAGAATAGATCCGAGAACTCGTGCTCTACGGTACGCCGTAAGCTCATGTACGCAAAAATATTTGGGAGATGTTCAGGCTGTCCACGTAACATTTGCAATGGCCAACGCACAGCCCCAGGAACTCATGGCATACCACAGAGGCTCTACGACGTGCCCGCATGCACGAGTATAAAATGGTGCTTAAGCCCGTTCTTCGTTCGCGTGACTGTGCAATTGCTACGTCCACTTTCCACCTCAACCTAAAATGTCTGTTATCTGCCATTGCCTGGCGATCCAGAAAGCCGCTAGCTTCATCGTCGTAGAAGTCGATGATCTGGAGTTCGTGAGAAAGGGTGTGTGGCGTTTGCCTCGTGAGCACCGAGAGAAGCAGGAAGTGCAGGAGCTCCTCGATAAATACGAGGAACACGCCGTTCGTGATATGGCCCCCTTCAGAGACCATACGAGCTGATTTGAGTCACAGTACGAGGATGTCATCAAATGGGCAGAGAAATATGGTATGTATATTGAGTATGATGACGCTTTAGAAGTTCTGGTCTTCTCGGGTCACATATCTCCTGCCAAAAACCAGGTGGCGATTTGCATCATCCTCCAACCATCTTTTGCACCACAGACCAGGATCGCGAACGATAAGACGCCCGCGATTGACGAACGCCGGCGCAGCCCTCAAAATGACAGCAATCCAAGCGTCTCAGTTTCTCAAAACACGGCGAAGCCGGATCTCAATAATCGTCCACAACAGAAACGGAGAAAGGTCGGACATCCACATGCTGTCGGCACCCATGGAGCGGAAACCGACGAAGCACTTGATCCGAGCCTCTTTGGGTGTCAACCCCAGGTCAGGATCGTGAGGAGTCCCAGTGATCCGGCCTTCCAGACAGGTGAAATTATCGGTCTCGATGAGCATGACACGCTATCTGTTCAGAAGGGCTATATTGTTATGTTGTCGATACGGTACAGAGTGGTGAAATCATCGAGAGTGCTGGAAACTGTGACGCATGATAGCACATAGGTGGCGGCATTCCAGGGCGTTAAGACCGCCTCTGACTGCTAAGATCGCATGAAGTCGAATGTTGGGTCGATCAAGTCCTCCAGCGCATCCCAACCAAACAGTGTCTCGGTGAATGATTGCGGGCTGCTCTCGCTCCCCTCCGTGTTGCCCGAGAGTGATTCGTGATCATGTGTGGAGAGTGCACGGCTGTCGAACGAAGTGGGGGCCGGGGATCCGCGCATGTCGCAATATCTACTCACCACCCATGAGAACTTGCTTGCCTCCGTCAGTTGGTCCCAGTTGGTGGGAGGACATGCCTCGATATCCGTGCGCAACTGTGGTGCCATCTCCATGAACGCGGACCACAGCGCTATGGCATGGGAATAAGACACGCTCTCAGCTATCCCGGGCTGATATCCAGCGGAAAACACAAAGAAGTTCGGAATGTGCAAGACGGTACAGATGTCTCGACAACTGTGACGCGTGGTTAGCATGACCATCGGATGCCAATTCGCACCACACACCTGATTCCAGTGACACGGCTGATCCAGGCGGCGGGAAATGGCACCAGACCTTCCTTCTGCTCTTCATGCTCCATTATAGGGCGCAGAGCCTCAACGACGAGATTGCTGATTTCATCCTGATCTTGCGCGTTCGCACGCGAAGGAGCGGAGAGGCGGTGGTCTTCTTCTGCAATCCTTAGCCCGGCATTGTCGAGACTGGTTGAGATGCTCACCTGCGTAGGCCTGGATCACCATCAACGCCTTGGCCCCCCGGCTTACAGAGATCTTGTTCACAATTTGATGCAAGAGCCCCACGCTTTTGGTTCGGCGATCGTTCTTCCACTTGCCTCTCCAGTGCAGGATCGTCCGGAGACATGCGGAGTAATACCAATTGTGCCATACCTTGGGATTCGCATTGTCCTTTTCCACGCAACCACGCTTCTCGAATGCGGCCTCCAACCCCTGCAGCAGGACATCTAGCTCTGTATCACCCACAACATACTCCTTGCGGCGCGAGATGATAGTCTGCATCTCATTGTCCTGCTCTCCTTGCCCCGGCGGCTTCAACTTCAGCTTCAGCTTCTGTAAGCCTGTCATCGCCACACTGACGAGGACCGTGGCAAGCTCCTGGTTGCTGTGTTTGCGCTTGCGATATGGCTTAAACCCACTCCCGACCGGCCTATCGTCGCATTGGTCTTGGTTTGGGGTACCGCCAGCCGAAGACGTCTGGACAGTGGCGTTGGGCAAGCGTTTATGTTTGCCGCCTGGCGCTGGTAAGCTGCCCGGCGGCTGTGTTACCACCAGCGACGTGGATTTGGATATATCAGGCTCGAGATTATCGCCGAGGCGGTCGTTACGTTTCTCGACATCGGGCTCCAATCGTCGCTCGACATCGGGCTGCGGCCGTCCCGTCAAGTGCTCTCGGCATCTTCGCTTCCTCTCCTGGCAAGAGATTAGGTCCCCTGCTCCGCAAGGTTGCCGCCGACAGCTGCGTCCGTTAGGAACCATTACGCAAACCGATCGCACACAAACAGACCAACCCGTATCGAATTTAAGCCTTATGGCTTGAATCCGGGTGTCGTACACAAGTTGAATCAATCGTCGAATCTCGTCGTCGATCCTCGGTTCTTCCACGACTTTGCAGCAGCTTTGATAGATGGCCAGAACCTCATATGCGACATGGTGTGCGTGCTGGGATCGCGTCGCCGATACGGAAATTTTCACCCATGCAAAATGGTCGTGGTACGGGACTAGAAAGTGGTATTCAGTAGTGCCTGTCTCGGAAATCGTGCACAGTCGTTGCTGATGAGATGTGGCCAACTGCGGCGCCTCTTCAACTTCGGTCTCTGAGAAATAATGTACATGGACCTGCTCATTTGGGTGAATCATGGTAACCGGTCAATGTTTCGAGCCCAGAAAGCGCAGGTGTGTCGGGGTGTCGCTGCACCTTGATTTCAACCCACGGCGCGCAGGGTGTACCCACTTTTTTGCCATTGACAGGGGGGTTTGGCAAAAGAGTGGGTACTCTCCAGTTGCGGTATCTATGTATCGTCCTCCGCCCGGATGTGTACAGTCCTGGGCTGCAGTGAACCCCCCCGATCTCCTCGGTGGCGTCGCCAAGTCTGGAGTCACGGCCGTCAATCCCGGACAAAGTTGGCGCCATATTTGACGCAGGATACGGCCGGAGGACTGTCATGAGTGGTGGGTCTCTCGACCAGACGGATCGGCTGCTGGTTGCCTCGCTTCCGGCATGACGCTAGCCCTGGCCTTATCCTGGCCCTTCCTGGCCGTGCTGCAAGCCACCACCATACTATCGTTCGGCGTGGGTGCAGCTTGCTCCCCTTGACACTAGCTACAAAGGCATGTGGCCTCCCCAACACAAAGCATGAGGGGCCGACACGCTCTTGCTATGGATCATCGACGCAGCAATCCTGCCGTTCAGCCACCACAGTTACAACGAGACAATTTCCGCCTTGGCGAACATGAAAGCCATAATTCTCAAGCATCTAAACTATCCTTGGACGCCAGATCCGCAGGGACTAGGTAGGGTCTCATTACCTCACCTGAACAGAAACTGACTCTGCCAGTGTGCCGTGCTCAGCTTGCAAAGACACTAGGGTATCGACTCCACAAGATGTACCACGGGAAGTGAAGAGCAGTGCCCGTTAGGTATTGGACAGATGCTCGTGTAGATGCCGCTCTGAAATAGTATTGTGACAGCCTAAATCAATGCAGAAGCGAACGCCCGGTTCTCACGCAGCATTTCCCAACCCGCTCCGAATTCTTCACGCCACTGTGGCCGGGAGTTCCGCGATCACAGGAGTATAAATTCACCTCTCACGTCCACATTCTGTAAGCCCGTGCAAAGCTCTGTTATCATCTAACCGGCAAGACCACGCCACCGTCTCTAGCATAATGGACTTGTACTTTACCAAGCTAGACGAATTCGTCTCACATATGCCCAAACTGAACGATGCCGAAGTCGCCGCGCACCGAGATTCTCTTGTGGGTGAGATCAAAATTCAACTGCAGCCTGCGATTCATTGGATCATCCCGACGCTGTCTTGCTATGCAGAAATCCGGGATCTGCAATGTAACTGGAACCGAAAAACGCCGGCGGAAAGGTTCGAGCAGTTTCACCTGATCATCGAGTATGAGGCGGAGAAGAGTCGGGACCCAAACATACGGACCATGCTGCGCCGCTTGGCGGTTTTCGTTCTTTTTACGGAGGCTGACACGAAAACGCTTCGAGCAACGGGGCACCAGTTGGTTCGGTGGTTCAAAGTTCCGGAGGAATATCAAAAGCATCGTCTCAAAGAAGCCGCCATGAGTGGTATATATCGCGGCTTGGAACGGGCATACGTTGTCCTATCCGGGCCCTTTCTGGGTTGAAGTCAGGGCCGTCGACCTACGTACTCTGCCAGTCAACACATGCCACCGCGAACACGTCTGCCGGCGCAGCCCTGTCGGTTCGTCGATATCTTCGATTAGCTGTGGCAGCCCCAACACCGTTCCCGTCATTGGTTGAGGCCGTGCTCCTGCGTCGGCTCGGAAGAAGTTCTCTGGGATGGGAAGTGGAGTGTGCTTCCACGAGCATGTTCTATTCGTTGGCTGGCCCCCCAAATTTCCAGAAGGAGCCCATACTATGAATGGTGTGTTACTCCGATACAGTACCCGATGGTGGGGAAGGATCACAGCAAAGTACGAAATAGACTAAGGAACGCTATTCTCTCGTAGACATAGTTCGAGGAAGCACCCTGGGATCGATCGCGTCCACGACTCCAACCGCGGTAGTTGAATGTCTCTCGTGAAACCCCACGCGGCACTGTGACTCGACAATCACACGGGCAACATACGTCCGGACGAATACAGCATCGAGCCACGGCGGAGATCTTGTCAGTAGTGTCCTTGGTGCTCCTTGTCGACCCATTGATGTGTGGCAAGCATCTCGAGAGGCTACGGCATCGCGTCCCCTGTTTCACAGAGGCCTACACAGTGGGCGTCCAACTGTTAGATCCGCCACCAGCCCTTCGATAAATAGCTCCTCGCTCGTAGACCAACTTCCATCGACACGCCGTTGCTACCGCTGCATTTCTCCCCCTGTGCTGGTCAGATATGATCACTCACGGTTTCCGCTCCTCATTATCCACCCCACAGCCACCGGAACCCGAGCTGTTGACCGCTCACTGGAGTCCTGGTCAACTCTATTCACCACCGGTGATCATAGTTGATCGTCGTCTCCAAGACCGTCTTGCGATAGTATATCGTCTGCGACCGGGCGTGCTCTCGAATCGTCTCCATGATGTCATGGACTGTCTGCGGGATTATTGCCGCCTGGTAGAAGAGTCGGACCCTATCGTTCAGCAGGCTTCTCGAGAGATTCTCCCCGTCGCCGAAGAATTCCACCAGCGTTGGATGACGAGCCCCGGCTTGTCCGTCCAATTGGCCTCCACCCACGGGACTCAAAACACGCACGTCCGGATTTTTTGGATCACTCAATTTGCTGCCATGGCATTGAAGGGAAGGATCATTCGCAGTTACACGACCGATTGTGAAATCATCAGAGTGTACTTAACGAAAGGAGGCACACGATGGTCGCCGATCACACTTATGAATAAATTCTATGACTACCTACTGCAGTTACCAGTTACCTCCCCGCCATCATCAACACCCTGTCCCAACGAGAAAGGACCAGGATCTCCGCGTTCCGACGACGATGACCTCGTCCACACCCAATACAACGGCATTGTGGTCGCCCACGACGGCAGTGGTCAATGGCAATCTGCGTGACACGCGGGCGGCATCCTCTCTGTTCAGGTGGGTCTAAATGATCATGAACTGGCCAGCCGATCACTGACCTGACAAACACCAGCACTACGCCCATCCGGGAAACGCACGGTCTGTCAATGAGGGTCATGGCAGGTGTTGCTGCTGCTAGCTGTGCGAGTGGCGGGCCACTCAACTGGTCATGGGAACGAGTGGAACTCTCAATAGATACAGCAGAGCAAAGTGGCTCGATAACGATCTTTCAGAATGGATTCAGAACGAAGCCCTGGAGCCATATCGTGGCGATGGTACACACCTCTGCATGGTGCAAGCAATCATTCGGCAAAGTCCATGATCCCGCGGCATTCGACCCGCACCCTGATAGCACATCGGTTCCAAGCACTCTAACCCCTCTCGTCCCTGGTGGAGGCCGCCATAGATCAGGGGGCTAGAACGGACTGAGGAAGTGTTGGGCATTGACAGCGGCCCAGTCGCCACGTCCTACCTGCTGAAAACTCTTCCCCGCTAGAGTCGAGCATGTGCCAGTGGTTTATCGGAAGCAAGACATACGGTAGTCCCCAGGTAGGGTCTCATTACCTCACCTAAATAGAAACTGACCCCTGCTAGTGTACCGTGCTCAGCTTGCAAAGACACTAGGGTATCGACTCCACAAGATGTACCACGGGAAGCGAAGAGCAGTGCCCGTGTAGATGCCGCTCTGGAATAGTATCGTGACAGCCTATATCAATGCAGAAGTGAACGCCCGGTTTTCACGCAGTATTTCCCAACCCGTGACGAGTTGTTGTGCGTCGTAGTCCGATGCAATTGATTCCACGACGAGTCAATCGACCGATCGACAGCTCCTGGGAGAACGCATTTCGAGCCTTTCAGCCATCCTCCGCCGTCTTCTGCGTATTCGAGTAAGATTGTGCCATTCCGATTGACAACGCGTGACTAAAAGGTTGACAGATGGCTGCTAACACAACATATTGCCCGCCAACATCGGTTGGTTCGAGTTACCCCACTCCCCTGGGGTCAGCTCGAGACGCTTGAACAGGCGCTCCGCCATCAACCAGAGGTGCTAGCTGTATTCAGACTGAACGATCAGTCTTTGGAAGCCCTGGTTCGAGACAACTGGATGACACATCTCATCAAGTTGGTCTCGGAATACGGTGCTCTGGTCACGATCGACTACGATCCATTTGCCCCTTCGGACATGGATATTGAGTATTTTGGGGCCGGTCGTGCGGGTGACTTGTACCGCCATTGGTTTCAGAGCCGGGCACAGAGCCTCCGACTGTCACCTTTGCTTCACTTGTCCTACGAAGTAATTGGTCGGCAGGCGAGAGACGCTAAGCTATCACGCTGCAGAGACGCCCCATTGCAAGACAATTTACCATCGCACTTACTATTGTGCGCGTCCGGGCAAGGATGTCGCTGGTTCAGATGGCTCAACTAAGGCATTGAATGAGACGATGGCTTGGCAGAGGTCACTCCATCATTGAATGCGTATATATTTCACCCCATCCGCTTCATTGCGCGAGTTATTGTCATTTCTGAAATTTCGAATATCAATTCACTTGCAACCATGGACCCTGCAAAGGACATGACGTCTTTCGAAGCCGCTGTCACTTTGAGACAACTCTATGTGCAAGATTACGATCAACCTGTCAGCGACATAGTGAAGAAAATTTGCAAGCCCTACCTTAATACCGCGAGGGAGGTGATGACCATACATGTGGGGGAACAAGATGATGCAAAGGTGTTGCAAATCATCGAAGACGTTCGCTCAGCATGTGGTATGCCCGAAAGTGTAGCGACGTTAATCAAGAAGGCAACAGCAGCCAGAGACCTCATGAAGCTCTGGATCAACACCACGACGGCCTGCTCGCCCACACACTTTCAAGCTCTGATGCCTGCCACCACGATCTACCAAAAAGCTGTCTCGCTTGTAGGAGATGGCTCTGAGACGACTGACAGCGCTCTCGGGCACGTACTATTCCAGGTTCTGGCCGATCCAGCGGTTTACACGCGCCTTCGTCACGAGATCGCCTCGGCGGCCTCTCAACAGCCACATCAGACGACGGACCCGAATGCAGAAAGTGCTGCCCATTATCCAGACTTGTGTGTAGTGATGGTAAGTCTTTCACTTGACAATACATGTGTTCAGGAAAGGTCTTAACCACTACGATAGCGTCGTCCGCCGTCAAAGCCGAAGCTCTGGATATGTGTACGTAAATAAATTGCTACAGCTTCATGTTGACTAATGGCTGTGCAATTATAGGACAAGTGCGGCTTGGCTCACAAACCGTTTACTCAGCCAGTATGTCCTTGTGGGTGGAGAACCTTCACCTCTGTGCCGCAATCACGGTCGACCTAAGTAAGGCGGTCGCGGAGCAGAAGATGTTGGCACGAGACAAGCAGACAATTCCCGGAAATCCATCGCCATTGAGATCATCAAGTTGTCTGGGATTCTGCGAGGGCTTGATACGGCAGGTGCGTTTGCTGCCAGCTATCCACAGTGGCGGGCTCCCCAACTGGTGATGGTGATGGGCTGGACTTAAAGCCGGGCAAGATGGCTTTATAATTTGCCTTCTTGTTGAGGCCAGACAAGGTCTGCCAGCTACATCTGATGGGCGAATGTAGGTAGCTCTCTATGTAGCGAACAATCGTCCAACCGGTTCTGGACCGGAAAACTTCAGGCAATCTCATTCGCGACATTTGACCCGCACCTAGCAGCAACACGGATCGGAGCATTGCAGTCTCTCCATACTCTAGCCCGTACCTTCTTTAGAACTAGGCGCGGACGGCAAAGGAGCTCGTCGCCCAACCAGAAGGAAGGCGTTCCGCCTCCCCGGGCATCCTCGATAGCGACCATCATGCTCAGCTCTGACGGGTGTAGTGTCCACTAACGGGCCAAAGATCTCCCGTGGCGGGCAGGGACGTATGTCGATATATGTGACTTCCTGCTGACCATTTGAAGCCGTTGACCTTGCTTAACCGTGTCTTCTACCCGCGAGAACCTCACAGCCAGCACCACCATACTGGATCCCGTGTGCACCACGAGCAATGTCGCACGACCGCCAAGAGACGACGGAATTTCCAACCCCTATGTCGGGAGGACCCCAGGATGCGGATGCTGATGTCCTTGCCAACACCCCTTCGGCCACTGATCCCGACTCAACGCCAACCGACAACGCGGGTGGCTCTAGCAGACTCTGACTCTCACATAGCTAATTGTTGACACAGGGTAGCCATGATTCCGCCTTGGGCGACGATCTTGCCGTCGATACGGTTTCCTTGTCATCGTCGGCGTGTGCCACAGTCGAAAGATATGGACGGCATTACGCACTCAAAGGGAACTGGTTTGTGTGAGACCATTGGAAATTTCTGCAGGGAGTCACAGCTGACGTTCTGAAGGCCCAACGATGAGACGTATGCTCCGACTCTTCGTTCACCAACTTGACAGCTCATATGTCTAGTGAGCAAACTCGACTGGACATACTGCATGAGGTGTATCTCCTTGCACTCCCAATTGCCGTGCACAACCTCCATCTACCCACAGAGGCACCCCGTATCTTGGATGTCGGGACGGGCACCGGACAATGGGCGATCGAAATGGCCGACCAGCACGAAACGGGCGAGGTCGTCGGGATCGACCTGAGTCCGATTCAACCCATTGTGGTCAGAGCCTGTCACTGGGTGTATTTCACCGCTGATGTGGTACAGGTTCCCCCTAACTGCAGTTTTCTGGTGGACGATGCCGAGCTTACTTGGGACGACCCTAAGAAGTACCATCTGATCCACTTCCGCAACATGGAAGGGGCCTTCAGGGAGTGGCCGCGAATCCATCGACAGGTATGGGAGTCGCTGGAGCCGGGGGGCACCGTACAGATCCAGTCGCTCGACTTTGACGTCTACGCCCAGCAAGGAGAAGTGCCAGACCCAATCAGGCAGTGGGTTGCGGATCTCTATAGCAGCGCAAGCGAACGTGGTACACCGATAGACGTGGCGTACCGGCACAAGAACTGGTTGAGAGAAGTTGGTTTTATGGACGTGAGCGCAGATGTTACTCACATACCACTGGGGTCCTGGGCCGAAGAGAAAAACCTGAGGAATGTCGGCCAATGGAACCTCATCGCCACTCTCCATGGATTAGAAGCTTATAGCATGGTTTTGTTGGTGGAGAACGGCAAGTTCTCGCCGGAAGAGGTTCTGGTGCGACTCTCGTCTGTCAGGAAGGAGTATAAAGAGAATTGCTGCGCGAGGCGGATGTTTTCCAAGGTGGTCATGATTGCGGCTCGCAAGCCAGGCTAGCACTAGCAGGAGGTACCGATTGCCCCTGCATCTCGCAGGATCCATTCGGTAACGCTCCTATGTTCTGCCACAAATGGGGGCTACCCTACTCGTATCTGCGGTGATCTAGGATCGGAGCCACTGACCATTTGGCGTGGCAGAATGGGCTCGTATAGGACCCAAGCGACAGATGAGGTGTGGGTGGACTCGGTGGTTCAGTACACGACCTACGAGGGGCAGGTGGAGCTCAAGCTTATGACACCTCTTGGATGCCTTTTTCCTCTAGCCGCGTGATGAGGCCACCGAGCCGCTGGAGATCCCAGGCGACCTGACCAAAATCCATCAACGAATGGCGTAGCGCTTGGCGACGACTTCGGGGAAGCTGCTCTCTTAAACAGCGTTATGCCTAGGTATTCAGAATCCGAGCTGCCGCCGCACAATTTATATGAGGAGTTGAAAGTACTTGTTTCTCGATTCAGGCCAGTCCCCTCGACGTGTTAGCGGCTACTGAGTCTCCCGTGGCTTGGAACGCTACGATGCCGTTAAAGCACACAGTGAGGGTCTTGAACCCCAGGTATGCGCTACCACCCCAGATCACGTCCATACTCATCGTCTGCAGCCCAGATATCGCCGTCGACACGGTCCATCTCGGATTTATTTACCGCGGAACGGTAGAAACAATGCTTGAGTTGAGCATTCTTGCAAAGTATTGCAGCGGCCTGCATCTTCGCAGAAGAGATGAGGTTGAGGAGGAATACCTGCACAACTTCGGGCACAACCAAAGCTTTACGGTCGTACAATGGGAAGAACTAGCACTCCCTGCGCCTCTAGAATGGGACGAGGCCGGAATGGACAATTCCAGCACCTTCAACATATTCCAGCCTACTTCAAACAACAATCCGTACTGTATGTACAAGACAAGTCATATTGGCTGTTCTGGAAAGGTATTTGAGGTCCATACGTTCTACCGGTCACCAGAAGCGGTAGTGGACCCGGTAGGTTTGATGATTGCTATGATCAAGATCCAGATTGTAAGTGACCATATCGCCTCCTGGTCGCACGCTAACAAGATGAAGGACCGCCCCAGACGCGATGAAATCCTCCTCTGTGTTAAGTTAAGGGCACTTCTGATAGTCGACGATGCCCTTCTCGCCATTCCTGAGAATGGGCTTCCTCCCGTCCCGGTAAAGCAAAGATTGGAAAATATCATACATGTCTCGTCACGCATTCCGACATTGGCGCCACAGTACGAAAGGCTGTCGCATCTCAGCGAGGCAATATGTGCGATTGGTATATCGGAAACAGTCAGGATAGAGCTCATGTCGATATCGCGTGCCATCTTGGAGATCATGGTCCAACTGCTCGAGCCTTCCATCGTCCCGCAGCTGGCTATGTGTTCAAGACCTTGAGCGTCTCACGTGCTTTATGGTCAGCCAGACCCCGTTCGTGGGTGACGACAGGCCAGTCATGAGCATTGTACAGCTGTTCGATATAGAAGAGATTCCAGGCGGCTCTAGAGCTGCGCAGAGTGCGATTTCATTCAACACGTTTGGTTTTCTTTGCTCTGACTAATATCTCGATGCCACTCTCGCACTTCTGAATCTAAGCCCATGTGGTCGGAATTCTTGCGGCACTGGGTCGAGTCCCTCCTCCAGCGTTTCCCTCCTGGGAGAATGAAAGATCGGGTTTCGGCTTTCGCATATTACGTAGATTTCTTGATTGAGAAATTGATCGTGCCCCAAGAGAATGGCAAGACAGAAGTCGACGCGGATCCAACCCCGGGTGGATTCGATGTTCGCACGTGTGAGTATGGCCTTGCCCGGTGGGCCCCGTGGGAATTTTCGTTAGCTGAAACTCTGCAATTCTTTAACGATGAGCTCCGAGACTTTGTGAGCAACATCACGGATGGAATATTCCAGGATCGCAATCAGTTTTATGCCTGGGTACTCTCCCTCCATACCGAGCATGGAGTCACCGCCGATCAGCTTGATGGTATGAGAGACAAGGCTACTCAATATGGAGCCGGCGTGTATGACGCTACCGAGCATAGGGCGAGCGCGAGGTAGGAGAGCCAATTTGTTCTATTTAAATCATTTGATAACCCATATTGATATCGGATATGATGGATCGTTGGCACAATGTTGATGCCGCAGTCGTATGCCCACCGAGAGTTCTCTAGGTTGGAGATTTTTGCCGGAGACTCGCCTCGTATGACATTTTGCACAGCCCGGGCTTCTGATGACCATCGACGTCCTGTGGGCTCACAATCGGAGACAGGCGGCTCTGATAGGTATTCCAGGTGGGACCTTTGGTACTTGGCAAGGTGCATCAAGTCTAAGTCTCTAAGCGGGTGATTGAGGCTAGGAGCTAACGGACCGACGTGAGTATATGAGGAGGCCCCGTATACTCGATTCTCGTTGTCAGATAACCACATGCCAACATGTGGCCAGCCGACATTCCTCTGTGGAGCATCACCATTGTCCTTCTCGCATCATCGACTCACTGGATCTATTTACTTCAGCGTCGGTTGTATGGGAAGGCTCCCACTCGCGCCGACACAATGCTGCTGCTCGAGACAGAACTTCGCTATACGAGCTTGAAATGGCTGGTTGACAGCAGTGCTCTTGGACTGAAGTTCCTGAGAGGACGAGGTATACGAATACCCATTTCTACAGGATCTGAGATTGACGATGTGCAGAGGAAAAATGGTTGTTCCTGATGATGCTCGCGTTCGCGGTGTCGACCTCCACTGCGCTGATTATCGAAGTAAGGCACGCCTCGATCCCCGTACCTGTCTGAACGTGATCAGGGAGCACGTCGACGAGAGAAGACAAGACGAACCAATTTTGCCTCTGTCTGCGCCATGGACTATCAACCCCACTGTCGGCTCGGCATTGTGGTGGTGCCTCTCGTCGGCGTCATTTTTCGGCGCGACCTCAACCTGGATCTGCTCGTCTACCTGTCCAGCACGATCCTACTTGCCCTGGACTACGGCGTCGGTTTCCTCACCATTCGGCCGACGGGTTCGAGCGATCCTAGGCATGATTTCGATCGGTGGCGACAACTTGTGGCGTCGATTCTCCTGGCGACAAGCCCGGCGGTCGGATTTCTTGGCAACGATCAGTTGGGAACACAGTTAGGCGTAAGTTAGATTCGTCATCTACAGGCGTGCCTCGTCGCTGATGTGCTTGTAGATCATGTGGACAATCGTCTCAACGGTTAGCTTGCCGATTTTTCCTGCATGTGAGCAGATTCATCGGCTCCTTGAATTGTCAAGTCATCCATGGGATTCAAGCGAAAGCCTACGTGGCTCCAGCTCTCATGTCGAATTGACGTCGACGATGGGTGGGCATTTTCAGCCACGCCATCCGCGCCGTAACTCCATGGCCGGCTCGTCTTCGCGCACCAGTGGAGGTTAAAGGGAAGGTCGCACATAACGAGGAGGAGGACGATAGATGGGCGAGTTCAGGGAGGTGGTACAGAGATTCTCTATAGCAGCGAGGAAGCAGTATATGCTCAGACCACCCTGGAAGCAGGCTTCGTGAGAGACGCGGCTTGCATGCCACGTCGACACGGCGTAAGGAGAATCCAGCAGCACTGTTGGAAGATGGAAACGTCGCCGCTCAGACTTGAAGCTATCCTTGTGTGTATGTATGTTGCAAACGAACGGGCTGAGGTAGTCGGCGTTCAAAATTATACGCATGGGAAGCCTCTGGCACGCGAAGCATTGACCTCGTAGTTGCAGTCAATGTCCGTCTGGAAGATAGAGACTTGGACGCCTATCGAATCTGCGTACTTTCGCTCCTGTCGGGCTTAGACTCATTGAAATCACGGACGATCTAGGCTCTAGGCCGTGATACTTCAAGGAGGTCGTGTAAAGCCTTCCAGTCGCGTGCTGGGGGTGGAGACTTTAGATTGGTTGATGCTTGTCATTCATGCTCCGGAAACTCAAAGGTGCGCGTTATGCCAAGCCGACTGGTTGACGTGCAGCGGCGGCGTGACCTGTCACATTTTCCAAGAGACTCGGGTCCTCCGTGCGAACCTGAACGTCGTCTCCATGTACGTAGGTCCGCCCGTCAGTATAAGATGCGGAGTGCAGGCCATTGACTGTTCTCGTCTACTCCACTTGATGATACCACCAGAATGTCGCGTTCACAAGTTGTCCAGCCTACCTATGTCGGCTTCATCAAGGACACGACTGATGCCGCCATCCTTTTCGAGGCCTGCATCCAAGGCCACTTACCTCGGCTTTCCCGCCGACCTCCCAAGTGGATCGCGGCGACGGTGGCTCAAAGTGGCCACATATTTGTGTTCGAAGAAAAGGAGTCTGGCATCAACCGATGGACAGACCTGGTTCAGTGGAGCCCAAGTCGGGTCTCGGGAGAATTCATGCTGTATCGGGAGCTCGACAAAGCACAGACAGCGAAGCAAGGGGCCAGGAAACTCGTCCCCTCGCCTGAGCGGACATCCGACCCTGATGCGCCAACGGAAAGCGAAATCTATGGCTCACTGATCAACTGTTACCCTTTCAAACGGGGCGGGCTCCTCAAGAAGGCCATCAGCGTGAAGCTAGAAGATCGCTGTTGGCGACTGATCTCCTATTACTCGGCAGAGGATTTCAGAACTGGTTGCCTACAATCTCCTTCACACGATCTGCAACTAGTGCCAATCATGCCGAACGAAACTTTACGTAGGCAACTCAAGTGCTGGAGCGATGTCATGCCAACTGTGGCGGGCTACGTCTATCACCCTCCCTGGGAATTTGGAACTGCGCCTCTGGTGGCCTATGTTCAGGATGGGCCACGGACGGCTACTTGCGCAACAGAGGGCGACCAGGACTTCAGTATGCAGTGTCCAATCGGTTCAGGACAGTAAAGCAGAAACATGAACATATGATGGGAATGCAGTCCATTGTCGTATAGCAGATACACAAGCTGCATGAGCCGTCAGCGCCTTAGGAAGCAGGGGCCTTACGAGTAGCACTCGTACCGTAGGGTCCATCACCGATCGCTACTACAGCACAGGATGACAGAGAATCTAACATGTGTATATGTGACTCGCATGCTCCTCGCAAGATGTTTAGAGACAAGGCATAGCGATTCGCACTCTATTCCGGTGGCCACATACACATACCGCGGTTCCTGGAATGTCATTTTCCACACATAAGCCCGACGATGTCGGGCGTGGCCGAGCAAGAAGCTTTGACATTCCCTGATCCTCACAGCCGCCAGCATGACAATTAGCAAGGGTGAGCAATATTTTGCCATCTGTATCAGATTAGTCTCGAACCAATGCATCGATGGCAAGAGTAAGTAGTTAGCTAGATGCGTCACGGAGTGTCGTAGCAATTTTCCGAGCAAGCGCAAGAGGCGCTTCACCATGTGCTAGGATGGGATCCATCGTATGCTATTAAGGTCTCAGACATCGAGTCCGAGACCTGTAACCGGGTGACTATACTCACTTCAATTCTACCTTAGTAGTCGCTCTTGTCCGCCTTGGTGAGATGGATCGAGTTCGCTGTCACCAGCGGCGTCCATCACTACTCAATCCAAGGTCAGATGTTGACCGGTGAGTGGATTTCAGCATGGTTGGCCAGCGCTTCTTGGGTTCGAAAACCTGAGTCCCTTTCCTTTTGGAGACTTTGCTCTAAGCAATGATTGACCCGGTGATCAGGCTCGTCGATTGTCGAGCGTTCGTTCTATAATATTAGTAGGTAAGTCGTTGGAAAAGAGGGCCTTGGCATGAAGCTGACCAGCCAATCGGAAAGATAACATGAACGCCGAGGAAGAGTCGTAGCGGAGGCTGCCAAGGCGACCGACTACAAAAACGCGCGATACGTTGTCTGTACTGGTAGCACTTTCCGACTTTTTGTGAGTCCTCACAAATCGGCTGACCCTGGGGGAGCGTCCATGACCAGCGAATCTCACCGAGTTGGACACGTCTCTATGCCTCCGTGCGAGTGGTGGTGGGTTATCCAGCCGCGCCGTGACATGGTGCTAACAGATAGTCCAAGAGTCCGCCCTCTGTTGCAGCAAGAGAGCACGCACGCCAGCGGATGGACGGTCGACATCAGGTCCTCTGTAGGAGACAGCTTCATCGGACCAAAGACAAACGATCAGCCTCACTGGAAAGTCCTCTCGCATCTGCTTCAACAGAATCTAGCATGCAAGCTTGAATGTCGCAAGACCCAGCCCATCGAACCATGGCCAGGACTGAAAGAAGCAGCAGCTCTTGGGAACCTCTTAGTCCACGTTCTGGAAAGAGTACGATCGAAGTCATTGTTACTCACCCTCAATTCGGCCACAACTCTAGTGTCCCGGCATTGGTATCGCCTCCCATCGTATGTCAGTCGACGGTGTCTCATGATCCGGAGTCGGCCGTGGTGCAAAGCAGCACTGCGTTGAAGCCTGTGGTCACGAAAGTAGTGGAAGCGGCCGATGATCGATCCCTGAACGATGCACGGAATCAGCGACCAGTGCGGAGACGAACCAGAAACGGCTGTTGGACATGTCGCAAGCGCAAAAAGAAGTGTGATGAACGAAAGCCCCACTGTGAGTGCATGTACAGTGAGTTTAGATGACCTCCTGATGTTCTATCAGGCCAACAATGTATCAGACTCGGAATTCCTTGTCTGGGCTACGGATGCAAAAGAGTCGCCGCGAACACCATACCATTGCAACCCAAGATGGAGAAACACATGGTCAAGGGCGCCGACGTTGCCGATGACACAACCTGTTCTGCCCTGGCTATTTGCGAGACCGAAGCTGCCCATGCTAAGCACCCGTCAGCGGGGCACTCCGAAGCCATCGAACCAATCTCGTTGGAACGTGGCGAATTGATATCGCGAGACCTACAAGATATCGCTCCGGCTGATTTAGCGCGACCTCCGCCAGCGGCTCCGCATCCCGATGTTCGTCAGGCCCAACCAGCGGAGAACATGCCGCCGGCTGATCAACGGGAATGTCCTCATCCGTCGGATACTACATCTCCATCACTTCTTCCCACCCCGCCCGATTGTCTTCTGCTCAATCGTGGTGTCTTCTCGAGCTGCCATCCAAGCCAACAGCTGGGGCCAGCACAGATTTCAACACGGCCGACGGCGCAGCCGACAGCACAACTGCCCTCACTCACCTCTGTGGTGTCATCTTCACGCACAGGACTGCCTCCGCATGGATCGTTACCATCGCTCTCTGACGTGATTTCAGGGCCGGATCACCACATGGTAGACGGTACCACTCATCCTTCTCCGTCGCCCAGACATGTCCCGCATGCGCCAACGAAAATCTTCATGTCAGAGGATGTCGAGAGGAATCGTATGCTTCGCAGCGTATCGTACCACCATCTCGACCGAACACTTGCTATGGACCGGAAAAGGTGTGAAAGAGCGTTGGAGCACTTCAACGACGCCTTGAAGATTGACTCGGCAATCGGCGACGAGGAAGCTCAGAACCTCTTGTGGCGAGTGCTGGACCCCAGTAGGGACCCGCTTTCCCACTACGCAAGTTATCCGAAAGAGCGAGGCGATTTATCACAAGACGTGGTGGTTGAACGGGGCTTCTCGTGCTCGTACGGCTACAATCTCATCTTAGAGTCGGGGGTGTATGTCGACCGCGACGTGTTCATCGACGACGCGGCGAGTGTTAGCATTGGTGCAAGAAGCTGGATCGGTCATGGAGCACGGATTCTCACCTCCCTTCCGATTCTGAGGTCGGGACATGCTACAACCACGAATGTGACACGTCTGGCAATGGCGGTCATCATTGAAGCTGAGGTAGTCCTCGGGCAAGGGGTTGTAATATATCCTGGTGTCACGCTGGCGAGAGGTACCGTGGTGGAACCAGCGTCAGTGATCAAAGCCACCCCTTCAGTGTAGCAGCGTGTGACCTCTTCACAGTGTGAGGAAGGCTCAAGCTGACACAGTGATGGATGGAGCAGATCGTTGCTCAAATATTTCTCGGTGTGGCGACAGCACGGCGTCCTGTCCTTGATTCACGGCTTATATTTCTACAGTGAAAGACTCCGTGATCTTTTCGAGTGTTCTTTTATGTTTGGGCGGGGGCGCACAAATACACCATCGAAAGCTCTGCAAAAGACCTAGAGGTGATCCGAACGATTCGCTCGCCCCTTATCATTGCTCATAGGTGACAATGGCGATGGGGGTGCGGCGCTGCCGTCTTGCAGTCAATCTCACAAGGCTCACGTCGAAGACCGCGTATGGAGTACAGCATCCATAGTGAGTCGTGGTCGCGCGATTGTCAATCAGGCGTAAATCACTCCTCGATCTAGGCGACCATGATCACTAACGAAGCACATCGGTGTATAGCTCGACGGCCGGTACCGGCACAATGTACCGGCGGTTCGCAGCTCGAGGTAGTAGAATGCTCTTGCGGGGGACATTCAATTGACACTGAAACACAGAGAGATCGGCCACAGGAGTACGTAGGAACTTCATCGTCAAATCAAAAGTCCACAATATCTACATGACTCGCTTGCTGGTGGCGATTGACGTTGGCCGCTTTCTTGACCACATCTCGTATTTCAGAATTGCACCCCCATCGATCTGTGTCCTGACTTTCCGGGTTCTTGCCATGCCCGCCGCTGTTCGGTTTTACTACTTCGTAGTCATAAATTGTTCCATCTGCTGGGTTGGCATTGGATGTCCGAAGACGCGACGACACTTGCTTAACGCGCCGCTTCCATGTCTACGGGGCACGACGACAGTCTTATCGCTCTGAATGACGCGTAATATACAAGCACCCATCACTGTGGCATCGCAATGAGGCGTACAGTAATCGCAGTGTCGATGTCTACTTGCCAGACCTCGATCTACATCTGCTTGAACCCGATGGACATATTCTCATGGCAGCATGCGCGATCGAAGCCCCGGTCGCAAGCAACAGCTGCGTCACGCGTCGATATAATGTACGTATCAACCTACTCGAGCCTATATCCTGCTACAATGGGCCATCGGGTTGAGGAGGAGAAGAATATACTGCAATTCAGAGTCACAAATCTTCAGCACTTTGTCATTGTTTTCACTTTGCCAGACATTGAACTTGGCAATTGCTCGCCCGGGCGCACATGACGAACAAAACTTTTCGCGATACAGAATTTCAAACCCTTGCGTCAGCGCCCCCATACTGCCCTCGTCCTCGACCACCAGGGTTCGATTCTGTCAAGCACAGTGAACATCGTTGGTTTTAGCAAATTTAAGTAGTCGCAGACGAAGGACTTGGACTGCGTGAGCGTTCGTTGCGGCGGGATCTTCGTTTCTTCCCCATTAGGTTCAGTGCTGCCGCCGCTGGTTTGTGTTGCGCACCGTCCTCCTCCTTGTAGAGATTTAGAGTCTCTATCAAATCATCAAACAGGGATGCGAAGCGACCTTTGGGAGATAGCTGATTCCGAAGTGTACGCGCTGAATTGGACGCAGCGCAGATTATCTTCTTGAACTTCTCTCTCTCTGTTTGCAGCAAGTGAACGGACGTCTCGCGTTGAGCACTTTCAGCAGCATTATGACAAAGCTGTCGTGTCAAGGAGGAGTTGTCGGCTTGCATGGTTAACATTTGAGTCTGCAACAACTGCAGCTGAGTTTTCTGGCTCGTCTGATCCTCCATCGTCGTAACCAATTGATTGCTGAGGCGCACGACTAGCCTCTCGAATGACGTCGCCATTTTGGTCTACAATTTAACGTTCAATACGGAGGAGGGAAACCTCCATTCACGTGTTGCCGCCCATCGGTCCGTTTTAGTACACAGAGTCATGCCACAGGATTATGTGGTGATAGATACACAAGCCAGGATGGACGAGAAAGCCACAAGTTGCTATGGCAAAGTACGATGCATGCAGTACTTGTGGAAGTTCCGGTCCATCAGAACCTAGAATCAAGAAGCTGTTATCCAGCACGACACTGGTGGTCATCGTCAAACCAGTCCTCACGACATCAATAGGTCTTAATGACTGGCACAGGCATAAAATGCTCTGAAGTTATGGCTCCTTGGCATCGTACAACGAGGGGAAGAGGTTTTGGGGGCACCGTGGAAAAAGTTTGATCCTAAAGGTACTGCATATACGGGTGGTTGCCATAGACCTGTCAAGTCGCTAGAAATTGCCATCGTACAAGTCGGTCTTGTACCAATACATTCATGGCACCTCACAGGTGAAGTTGTGTCTTTTGGTGGACAATTCCTGTATCTAGCCAAACCAAAGAAATATATTCAGTCATGGACATGGAGTCCGCCCTCTTTGGACCACCGAAATTCGCTGAAACTAATTCACGTCCGTAAACAGAAAGTCGGTTTTCCCGCCCACTAGGCATTCACCTCCACGGCAGACCGCGGAATCGCAATCTCCAAAGTGTAGTATGCAGACCTCTGGCACACCTTGTGCGCCTGATATGTGACATCGCGACAAAGGATACACTTTGGCTGATGATGGAATTTGCAACACGTCAAACGTGATACGACGCCAGCCGAGGCTCTCCTTTCAGTAAATCAGACCTTCGCAGCTGCAGTGGAATGGTGATAGCAGGAATGCGCGCCAAAATCGTGACATATTCCGAGTCACCATATGTCGCCGGTGACTGTTTGACACGTTCTTGTGGAGGTGGATTCTGTGGCTGGGTAGTCCGGAGGCGGATCTTCGGGTACGCTCGCCCGCGGCCTCGTAAGATATTACGAATAGCACAGTGTTTATCGGCAACCTGAACCTGTCTATCTTGATGTGTGCGTTGAAGGTCGATCTCGGAGAAAACCCGATCATCGGAGGAGTCGTGCTTCATGTAGAGATACTGTCGGACGTCTTTGACATAACCGTAGCCCCGTGGACAGAAGGAGAGATGTCCGTGCTTATGAGTCTGACATATTCGACAGAGGTGGATGTGTTGGATATATCGGCAAACTACTGAGAGCTCATCCTCTTGCATGTGGCGTGGTTCAAAACGAACTGCGGCAGGAGTTGACATGGTGCGGTGTCCCGAGCTTTCACTCGGAGGAACGTCCTAGCCTGTATCCAATGGTCTCTTCAACTTATGTAGTACAGGCTCTGCAACCACGGCAATATGTGGTAGTTTGGGTATGACGTTGGTCATCTGCCCGTGCAGCTTCTGCCATCTCACATTGTGGTTCCCGGAACTTAGCTCGGCATTGATTGGAGGAAGATTGTGACAACTTGAGGGTCTTTTTGTGTCGGTCGATAGATGAGGGACTTTCAGGTCCTGGTCGATAGGTCTCCTAGCTCCGAGCAAGTAGAGCAAGCATCAACACAGTAGTTCGATGTCACGTGGTCGTCACGAAGCGTGACGTGGTCAGAATCTGCCTAGCATTTTTACGAATCAATGTAGTCTACGACACTAGCCTGCTGCAGTGTACGAATAGGGTACCACATTCTCGACGAGTTCCACACATGCTAGTTCTGACATTCTATGGACCGAGGTGTGGAGTTTCCATGCAGAATTGGATTTCGTCGAGGGGGGAAAGTTTTGCGCGGTTCATCACGGCTTCGAGCCATAGCCGATTCTGTCTTGTGTCCGCAGTCACAAAACACCGCATGGCAAACCTGACAGGATACTCGATCACATAGTATCCGAGAGCTCCACCAGCAATAAAGTAGGGCGTCATACGGCCTATATCGATGGCCAGAGCAGTAGTATCGAGATGCGGGAGACACTCCGACAGCTTGCTATCATGAGGCCAACAGCCTGGAGTTGAATTCTTGATCCGAGAGAAGATTAGGAGGATGGTGTAAAAGATTGAGTACGCTTCCGCGGCTAAAGGGTTGTTGAAGGTGAGAAACGATGAGAATGGACATCGGGAGTTGGCAATGTTTTGCTCGATGATTTCCCAGCCACACCGGTGTCGAACCGTTCTGTACCACTGGTCGAGACTTGAGATGCAGCCTTTGATGCCGTTCATGGTATGCACCATGGAACTCTCATCCTGGTTGGCCTGGATTCTCCAGCCAAAGTCACAAGTGGCGTGCAAAATGTCGGTGAGGTTATCGATAGCACTGTAGCTGGGTTGGTGGCACATGCCGTGGCACCACAATGGCATACTGAACGGAGCGGGCTCGCCATGATACAGACTCGCGTATAAGACCACGATTCGACATGCTCTGAACAGCTGGAGCGCTCGGTCGGTCTTTACATTCATGGCGTCTCGGGCTTTCACGAGAGCGCACAATCCTCTCGTGTGTATCAGACCATCGGGGCGGTCATCGTTGACGTCGAACATTCTGGTCTGGAAAGCCAAGAGGAGACACTTGCCCATCGTCGCGTCGGACAGTCTTTGCTCATGAAGTTCCAAATCCCGTCGCAGCGCCTGGAGCGACATGATGTAGGTCATGTCACAGTGTCTTCCCCGCAGTTTGTCGTTGAGACCCGCCATCTCGACGGAAAGATAGCCTTGCTGGTAAAGCCCACCTATCGCCATCATGAAGTTGAAAGATGAACTAGATTGGAGCAGTGCGCCATTGACATAAGGATGATGTGTCGACCATTCCAAGAAACCCCTGAATGCGCCTGACAGCATGATAGGTCGTAGCCTCGTATACGTCGTCTTCTTCGCCTGCCAAGTGAGTCCATCCTCAATTACAAGCCACCTGGACGCTTTTGACACTTCGTCGCCTCCTGGGATGACAATGTCCATGCTTTGTACGTCGCACTCACGATATCAAGAATAAACAGGGACTTGGAGTATCATAGCCACCAATTGGAACATCCAGGTGATTCACGCACGATAGGGCGCGCAGGCTGAACAAATATATTTGCCCGACATGACGGGCCAGCCTAGTTCGCCGTCGCCAGATTCTACAGAAAAAGGTGGTTGCAAAGGCAGCAGATGCTGGGAAACATTGTGTAGGCTACACATTGATACGCATGGTTTGGCATCTTGAGTACAGCACAGGACTGTTGTCAGGACGCCCAGCCTGCAATGTGATTCCTGAGACCTATGATCCTAGGGCTGCCTCCACAGAGGCCTGCCACCTGGCCAACTAATTGGAGCAAACGCCTCGCGCCCCAACTTGACATAATTAGGGCGTTACGGGGGTCGATCGTGGTTCAACATAGCGCTGAAAAGTTACTAGGCCCGATGGAGGCCAGCGGGGGCCTCGCCAAGGGAACCCCCTAGTTGAAAATCACAACACGACTGTTCAGTACTTATCTTTTGTGATCCTGCACCCGTTTCACGGCCACTTTTTGCGTGCGTACCGATGGACACTTCTTTACAACATATACGTGCACTCTTGACAGGGCCACGCAGCATTGGAGGTGGCGTGGAAGTGGACGCCGCATTCCGCACATTATTGAGCCAGGCTGAAGTTTTCATCAGAGCGCATGACCAAAGGCATCGACGCGACCCTTCTTTTCCTGACGAGATCGACAGCAACAGGCTAGGCTCGTTCGGCTCCAGCCCAACTGCTAGCCCCGCTGTCGTCTCGGCACGCAACGCCAGGCCGCTCCTGTCAACGCAGCAAGGCATTGCGCAGCACACCCCGTCCAGCGTCCTTGAGCCTGACACCATTAGCGCATCCAATCCGGACAACGAAACCTCTCCAGCCGGAACGAGGATCCCTTTTTGCGAGGAGGACGGTGTTGTCACCTTGTTTCCAAGAACTGGTGAAGAGTGTCGAGATGTGCCGCGATTGATGAATCGAGCGGCCCAATTGGGTGCCTCGTACGCTGGGGTGTTCAAATTCGTGATGTCTGATGACATCAACATGAACGCGGAAGTCGTGCGAGCGCGTCATGTCTCAACGTTTCAGCCAGCCAGTGAGCCAAATGGAGCGTACCACATTCACCGGCAACTACAGGATGAGGAGATGACAGTGGCATGGCATCCGTCATCGGAATTGTCGGCTGAGGAGCTCGCCTCGGCCTTAGAAGAAACCATTCGCGATGCCGGAAAAATGAAACGCATGCGTTATAGCACGGACGGATCCGCACGCACCTCGGCAGAACGCCAGTGGCTGGGACTACCCTCAGAGTCGCCATTAAGCTCACTGAAGGGCAATCAGCTCGAGCAGACCAAGTATCATGTACCGGGACTGCACTCGCCGTATGCGTATGTCTCTGATGATGCGGGTGGGATTTTCATACTCCACTGTGAGGACGGTAACCTCCACTCTCTCAATGTCTCGTACTGGGGCGGCCCCAGGGTCTGGATAACGATCATCCCGCAACATCGTGCCAAAGTCGAAAAGCACATTCGCGGCTGGAGATGTGCCCAACGAGCTCGGCATGCTAGCCTCTTCATACCTCGCTCGCTTCTTGACGAGTGGGGAATTTCCTATAACGTCTTTCTCCAGCGACCGCGAGAGACTGTGGTTGTGAGCGGTCATACACTCCACCAAGGCGGCACATTGACCTGTAGCGTTGCGGAGGCGGTCAATTATGGGCCACCTGGTTGGGACATCAACGGCTACAATGAATGTTCTGTGGGGAGAAGTCCATGCCCTGGTTTCCCCATTCCTAATGAATATCTGGAGTTTCTACCACGTGGTGAAAGACAACGTGACCAATTAAATCTGGACACCGCCGAGTCTGAAGTCGAGATGGATGTTCAGGTCGTCAGCACTGACGACGATGATCACGATGGAGATGCTCGCGACGAAGTGGTCCAGGGTCTAGTCGAGCAGCTGCTACCAGCGTTGCCTCGTCATCGATCTAAGCGGAAGACTCGAGAACACGCGGCAGCGACGCATGCTCACGTAAACGGCGCGTCGTCGCTACCGACAGGCTCGAAGAAGAGACAAGCGAATACCTCGCTCCCTCGTCGTCCGTCCAAAGTCTCGAGACCCACAATTGCCGTGTCACAAGAGCTGATGAAGTTGGAGCAACAGATCAAAAGCATTGACAAGCTATGCAGAATTCCAAGCTACGATCCTGCTGATCCGCCAACGACTAAAGTCGTGCAACTCGTTGCCGCCATTTGGAGCCGTCCAGCAATTCGGCAACACTGTGCTGCCGTCAGTAGTCAACGACAGGCTGGACTGCGAGACATCGGTCCCGACCCAACGGGCAACAATTGGCACAGAATGATCACGTACGCAAAGAGCATCACGAACTCGCAAGATCGATCCGTGTTCGAAAAGCTGTCGATTCGTCTTCATCAGCGTCTCCTTGCACAGGAACTCGAGCTCTCCAGAGGCACGCGCCGCCGCAATGACTCCAAAACACTGGATGCCATCTGCCAACCCTGTGGTTGGAGTCGAGATAATCTCGAGTACCATCGCAAAAGAGGTCTGAAATGGGCCCGGGTCTGTGGTCCCTACTCCGGACTGCTTAGTTTCATTCCCATCGGTTCCAATGCCTTTGGCATATCGCCCGAGGTGTACCTCGAACTGGATGATACCGAGCTCCATATGTTCCACCGCTTGCTCCAGGACGACTATTCTCGAGCACTATCCACGGCCGGGAACGCGTTCGAGAGTTCCTTGAGGTGGGACGTGGAGGACGTGTCGTTTCGATGGGAAGAAGGAGATGCTGCCTTCCAAGCGTTGCCAGAGAAAAGTATGCTCGACAAATTGCAGCCCTTTCCGAGCGACGACGTTGATCTCTACGAACCGGCCGCGGATTGGGTCCGGCCTACAGATTGGCCGACAGAGTGGGAATGGCCCGTGAATCCAACGACCGTGATGGCGGACTCTGGCCCGCACTGCGATTTTTGCCGCGAGGCTTCTTGCGAGTGCTTTCGCATCGTTTTCGCCAACCACGGCAAAGCAAAACCACGGATCCGACACTACGGCAAAAGGGGGCGCGGTCTCCAGGCTGTAGCTAATGTACCTGGTCAGGCCGCCTATAAGACTCGCCATATCCTCGGACGCTTGAGTGGCAAGTTAGTGCCGGTCGACACCCCGGACGACGGGTGGACAGTAGAGCTAAGCCGCCCGGACCTGCCACAGGCCGAACCTGTCTGTCATCTCAGCTGTCTCACCCGTGGCAGCAACTTCAGATTACTCAACCATTCTTGCAACCCGTCGACCACATTCCAGGTCGTTAGAGCTTCAGGGCAATTTGTTTTCGCCGTTGTGGCGCTGCGTGATATCTATCATGGGGAGGAGCTGACTGTATCGTATGGCAAAGGGTATTTTACGACCAGTGGAATGCCGTGTCTGTGCGAGAAATGCCGGCCCGAAAGTTTGCCATGATGTCATTGCGCAGCGAGCTCCGGGAGTGGCCTCCTGGCCGCATGCTTGGCATTGCGATACAGCCATTGTAAACGTGCGCCGCTATTTGCGTTTTCAAGGATAATCGCAACGTAAGTCTTTCTCTCCCTCTTCGAGTGTTGCAGGGGTGAGCGTGTCGGATATCATCGTTAGGTGCCCACGGGCTGACCTGAGGCAGTATTGTTGCCGCCCAGCAGCAGAAGTGTGTGGTCGACAAGGGTGCCGTGGTGGTAACATACCTTCCCTCATATGAAGATCCAAGCGGCCAATCATGTTGGGTATATAATCCATACCTCATACTTCTTGCTGGTTCGGTGCACCGGTGATTCCCGCACGAGAAAGTGCTGGTCCCCGGGAGGCCCACAATGCGGCCTCGACCGCTTCGGCGACCTTATGACCGCCAACGACATCGATTGGGGAGTCGTGTTTCAGAATCTGCAGGGGGCCGGTGGACACTCCGCCTGAGCGAGGATAATTGGCTTATCAGATCGACCACGAGAAAATGGGGGTTATTCGGAAGTAAACAATTCCCATGTTGCTCGACTTTCTCTACCTCGTGGAGTGAATCGAGTGTCAAAGGCCAGGAAGAAAGAAGAGCCGTCAGAAGCGACTAAACCACTCATGTTCACGTGGCGTGGCGCGGCACCTAAGACAGAGAAGTACGCTTGAGGAGTCAACGTCGCTGATCGGGGCCAGTAAGTGGCAAGTACATGATATCAGAGCATTTAGATCCAAAGTTTCTCGCATTCTAAAATATTCCCTTCCAAAGGTACCCGATGACCCAACCTCGCCCGAAGTACTCAGGAGATTACTAGATCGTGATCAAAGCCCTTCAGTGGAGAGTATAGGGGGAGCGCAGTCACTCCAAGACAGTCGGAATTAATAGATCTTCTCGATTAAACACTCGCTACTTTGCGACGCCAGGCACCGTGTTGACTGTACAAGCAGGCGTCGGAGACTGTCTCTTTTTCCTAACAAGGTCTGTCAATGAGTCTTTCGATGCAATGACTTCACGGAGTCGCGATGAAGTCATCCACTCGAAAGTTGGCAACTGCGAGAAGCTTAGTTGTTGGCGAAATGCTCCGATCACCGCCGTCGTTATTCAGCAACATCGACTCAGTGAATGATCCAACAACTCGTGTATTGTGCACCACATTCACGCCCCGTGATACGACAGTGTCCCATGGTCGCTCTGGAGATTACGAGACTGTGTGTCAATCTCGGGGCAAAGTGGCAACGAAGTCGCATGGTGCTTCCAAATCTCCACACCAACACCCATCAACATCGAGGCTTCCAAAAACCAAGAAAACATGGGGGCTGCAGGAGTGTTATATCACGGCACAGCTTCACGGGAGCAGATCCCTACTTCACAGTGGGACTTACTGTCCCTCACAATGTCGCCCTGCACACATTCACAATGGTTAGATCTTGCCGCTGTCGATCCGGGCTGGTCTATCGTCAACCCAGATCGTTTGAGAACGATTCGAGACGCGCTACCAGACCCGGACCAGCAAAGACCGATAATTGTATTCTTTCTCGGCAAGTCAAGAAAATCTCGGACGCTCAAAAGATTGCTTACACAGAACAATGTGGCCAGGAAGAGGCCGCACGGAATCGCGAATCTGTACGTTGACCTGGCCACAGAAGTGAGCAGTCACCCACTCATCGTGGCCGATTGCACACTTGGCGCGCCGCTATATTATCCAGAAGATCTCTGGAAAGGATGTCATGCCCACCGGCATCTATCCGTGAACCATAGTGACGGCCGCAAGGAGCTCTCGGAAAGTGCCATCATTCGCAAACTTCTGGCACATCTACTCTTCCCGCTAGTGCATGTTGTGTGCCTCTTTGCAGTCGATTTGGGGGGCAATGGGCCCTGTGGCACGTATGTGGCTCAACTCCTGCAAACATATGCCAGAAACCCGTCCGCAGTGCTAACCACAGCGCCTGAGCTGATCATCGTCTCCGAAGACGCCACCAGTATTGACGCCTTAACTCAGTTGCAATGCGAGCCAGCCTTTGGTGGCTTATTTGCAGGACTGACCATTGTCACGACCAATGTGCGTGAATCAACAGACGTCTCGGTGCGAAGGTTGAAGCGAATAGTACAAATAACCGCTGAAACCGTACGTAGCGAGCGCCAAGAGGACTCACAGCTATTCTCCGCGGCTGACATGAGGCGCATCTTCGATTGTGGACTCACTGGCTTCGCTGAGCAGCCTGGTAAAGCACTGGATGTATTCTCCTCCATCGACCACCCTGTCAGGGAGCTAGTTGCGTCTGATATGGTACGCCATATTGGCGAATTTCTGACGCAAGGGTCAGCATTGGAAATTGCTGGGCCAGCTGCGGCCAGCTTCATCGCGACAGCCCTGTTTGTGCAGGGATACCCACTTCACTCCCACCGTAACGTCATGACCCTTAAATGAATTGTATGGCAGGAAGACTAAGATGTGTAGGTTTTGCGCCTGGCGTCATCTACGACTCTGTCTTCGCGCAGTCCATCAAGTTCGCCTGTGAAAGCAAAGGGGCATATGCATCCATTGTTTGCGAGGTTAAGTTGGACTTTTACGCACTCTTTGAACTATTGACGCAAACTACTACCCCAAACTTGTTGAGGAAAGAGTACTTACGAAGATCCGGGCATTTGTTTGCAGGCTTACAGTCGGTCACAACGTGCTGGGGCTGCCTCGTCCGCGCCCCGGAATACATGTCCCACTTTGGACACGGTCTTTGTGCAAGATGTGTAGAGCAGTATGGTACACGCTCCAGCCATGCACACAGCTACAACTTAACCCATTGCCTGATCTGTGGGGAACAGCACCAGACCACTATTCATCTAAAACCATGGACAGTGGAGCCCAACATTCTTGCTATTGATGGTGGCGGTGTGCGAGGGATCGTTGCATTGACAATGATCCAGAAATTAACAGCCGCCCTCGGCTCGCCAGTGAGTGAATATGTTGATTATGCTGCAGGCACCAGCGCGGGTAGGACGTGAGACCAGCCTAACCTTCACAAGCTGACTTGACATAGGCGGACTCATCATTCTTGACCACATTATTGTCGGCACAGCCATCGACATGAGCATGGAACGATTCACACAATTGGCGTCGAGGATATTCCCACCAAGAATGTACCGCCACTTTGGCCTTTTTCAGCTGCTGATGGATTACGTACGATGGTGGCTCAGTGACAATAAATACGACTCAGATACTCTGGAAGATGTCGCGCGGGACTGCTTTGGCACTCGCGAGCGGCTTTTCGACGCCCATGAGACTCGCGCACAGAGCATCAAAATTGGCGTCATGGCGACGACGACGAGCGCAAGCCAGCTCCGAATATTTTGCAACTACAATGGCGAAGCCAGAGCGTCGCAGCATGTCGGTTACGCCATACTACGTAGCAACAAAGCCACGAATGAGCCCTATCTCTGGGAGGTGTATGTAGGCTTCCAAATTCAGTCCACAACATTACTGACGATACCAGAGCTCGTTGCACAGCGGCAGCACCTAGGTCAGAGCACTTCCGGTTGCATGGTCTCCACTAACTCGCGACAGTTACTTTCGTCCCAAGAGACTCAAGGGTTTCGGATGGCTACAGGATGGCGGCATGAGAGCGAATAATCCCTCTGCAGCAGCCAGGGCGGAGCTCCGATGCATTTGGCCACGTACGCCGAAGCCGAACGTTGTCATTTCCGTAGGAACGGGCTACTCCGAGACTGCTTGTCCTGAAAGCGAGCGAAACCGTAGTATTTTACGGGACGGCTTCATTCCCCGAACGATACGTGGTTTCCTGGCATCGCCTTCGATTGACGGAGAGAGTGGATGGACCGACCTGCTTCAAAATTTATCTGACGCGGAGAAAAGAGGGTATCATCGCATCAGCCACAGATTTGCCAAGAAACCACCAGCCCTGGACGACGCCTCAGCGGTCCCTGGCCTAGTCAAGACAATCGGCCACCAACACCTCGACTGCGACGAGATTGTGAGTGCTCTCTGGGCGTCCCGATTCTTCATGGAACTGCAGGCAGAGCCCGAGTACAACCGTGGTCAGTATCAATGTCAAGCAGTCGTCCTTTTCCGGGGTGGTGATGTGCGACCACTGGTCCGGGCTATGAGCGATCGACACTCATCCCTACGTATCATGCTCGGTAGTCGAGTACTTTTGCACCTAGAAGGGGGCGACAGCAGCTGCGTTGGATGTGGGCATTTCCAGCACAACTTCACGTTTACCATACGACACCTAGACGACATCATAAAGTTGACGCTAGCGTATGGTGGACGGCTGGAAGGCTTATTGTCAGGGTCCGGAAAATCGGTGAATTGGTTCATCGAACAACAGACATGTCATGGAAGGCTGAGGCGGTGGGCGGAGGAAGGTCACAGCTGTGGCTACTCGCCCAAGAGGGCGATCTCTGTTGGTCGTGGGAGCCAATCGTCAAAGCGGCGAAGGTTGTGACCGACATCAAGGCAATGATATGTGGGCGCCGGCAAGCTTCTCCATCATCTCCTTTCCCAGTATGTACTATGCCAACAACGGATCTGTTTGTGGGACAATTATTAGTGCGAAAGCGGCGTCTTATTGCGTAGCGAGACGTCTGTTGTCAGTCCGGGTGCCGAGCCACCGAGAACCTAGCTCATCCGCTCTGTGCCGTGTGCCATGGGTCGGAGCGTAATGACGTTATTTCAAACTCAAAAGACAATGGTCAACATTCAGCTTTCGTTGCCGTAACCAGGGATTAACGGGATTCTCCAGTTCTCATATATTTTGATACCTGTGCTTCCTATGATAAAGACCACGTTGCGTGACGGAACACTATGTACGCACTTGCGTAAATGGTCCATCGCTAATCAACATCAGTGACCGTAAGCTACAGTCGGCTCTCTTTTCTCCTCTTGTGCATCGTAGACAGTCAAGCGCCCCGCCGAGTCTACAGATGCATAGGAATTGGTGATGCCTTCTCCACCATGCTCAGCTGCAAAATGTCGTCCTCGCACTGTTGAGACCACAGCGTCACTGATGCCGAAATCGTCGCGTGCAATCCAGATCATGCCGTCATGGATAATGGGATGCTCTTCCTTCTTCTTCCGCACCGGCTGTCCCGGATATACCGACCAAAGACAGCTATAATCTTGCTTCAAAGAAGTATCAGAGCTGACTACTGGAGTTGCGTGATTCATAATGACTCTGTGAAATCGTCTATGAAGAAATGTCCAGAAGCGCAGTGTGATGTAAAGTGTTAAAATTAGCACACTCACCTGCGCCACATTCTGAGCAAGGTGCTGGCGATTGACCTTTAGCATGAACAAGCCGATGAAGGCGAGTTCCATTGCAGACACACCCCAGAATGTGGCATAGAGGGAGTCGAAGAATAACATACCCTGGGTATCCGCGGTCACAGAAGCATGATATACCATTGCATACCTATAGCTAATCCTCGTGATCGCAGCACTCAGTGCTGCGATTGGCAGAATCAGTGGGGATAAAGGAGCATAGATAACGACTGATGACGCCTTAGATGAATCTCTTGATGCTCGACATAGGTGACTCACCAATGGATGTTATCGTTGTTGGCAGTGGGTACATCACTCCCCAAGAGATGTCTGAATATCGAGAGGCCCGATTTGCCATCTTGTCTCGCGGACTTTGCCAGGTCGACTGCCGGACTGCGTGAGCCAAGACGGCTCGTATGCGGAGAACGGTGAGAGCCAGCCCCGAGGCGGCCTGCAGTGGTAGATAGGCCACGTAGTATGTCCCTGCGAGCGGCAAGTTCTGAGCCAGCGTGCGTGGCAGCTGCGCCAGTCCCCGGTTCAGCATGTTCAATGCCGTCGAGATTAAGCCAGACGACATCGAAGTCGTAAAGAATAGCTGAGAGAAAAGAAACAAAAAGTAGGGGCTGTTGATCGATCTTTGTTCGTCGATAATGGACAGAGTATGCTGCCACGACGCAAGAATCTTCAAAAGCTCGACCATTACGAGCATCAGAAACGAGGATGCCACCTGGGGCACGACGCCTTGCAGCAACCCTATCGTGTAGGGCGGTAGGTGCAGGCCGGAGACTTCTTGCAATAGGGATGTTGCAGAGCTCAGTTGATTCAAGACGCCGGTGGCGCCCATGGGAATCGTCCATAACACAATCAGTGCCAATCTGACCAGACTCACGGCTTCGGAGATAATATGGCTAGCTCTGGGAGCTCGCAACACGTTGGCGACGACAATATGTGATGGGCACGTGCCAAGACAGCGCATCTCCATGTCCATGCGATCGATGTAAGCGGAACTCTGCACCAGCTCTCTCGCAATATGATAGTCGGCCACGGTTATAATAGCGGACACAGGTGACGACTCTGATGACTCGGCCGACAGCCTTGACAAGTCCCGGGAGAGGTGCAGTAGCTCTTCGTACAAGGAAGAGACACTCCTGTAGGCATCGGGCACGATGTGCCGTGTGAAATCAAGTGCAGCCCAAAGCCGAATCGCGGATGGTGAATACCGTTCGCCCAGGCATTTTCGCAAGGTAGTCGAAAATCCTGCTGGATCCTTTTTCCTCCGACTCAACATCGTAGCGATGAAGATAGATTCGTGTCGCTCGATCGCACGAACACATTGTCTTCTGCGTTTATGGACTTCGCCGAGCTTCCGTGATGGCCGCAGCATGGCGACATGACGTACGTGTTGATGCCATTTCTCACACATGGCTCGGATTGCATTCTCCGTACGCATGTGCTTTGGCAAGCCTCTTACAGCGATAAAGTAGTCGGTATCTCCGGGTGTAGCATGGTCTGCCACGATCCGGGACCTCATCATCAACGCCTTCTGCAGCTCCTGGGCAATCATAGCCTGAACGTAAGCGGCGAAGCAAAGTACAAGGGCAACATAGAACCAATAATGGCTCGCGTTTCTCGTCGAGAGATTGGTCCACCCAAGACGGTCAAGCTTATCTAGATCGGATCTGGCACCCCCTCCAAGATAGAAGTTGTATGAGGCCACAGCCGGGGTCAAGACTAAGGCTGCGTATCCGAATAGCTGGGTCGTGAACCAGAGATATCGGTCGAAGAAGACGGCTTCGAGGCCATGGTCCCGGAGCATTGGCCCGTCATACAGTGCTGCGGATGTGAAGAATGATCTGATGGTCTCGAAGGGACTTCGCCCATCCTCAGTCCGTGTTTGGCTGCCACAGAATTAGTTTCAGGTGAGGTCAACTACGTGGTCAAGACTTGCGTGACTCTTCGCAGCCATCGGCTCATGCGGATGGCAATGATTCCCATCAATGCGACAACCGTGAGACCGCCCGCGCAAACGAGAGCTGCGAGGCAGGAGGCAAGAGAGTATGATTGCACTTTGACCGCACGCTGATTGTCAGATAAGGAGAAAGTAGCCATGGCAGAAGACGCTTTGTGACGATCTTTGAGGGAAGCTCCTGGCAACATCGATATGTGTTGCGCCATTAAAGGATCTCATTTCCAGTCCTCTCACCAGCGTAGGGTTGAGCTCCAAAACGCCATATTCACCATGTTCATGCGTGGCTCGCGGCTACCGACCATTCCAACCGTCTAGTTGTTACAGACCTCTAGGAACCACACTTCCATGCTGATTCACGTGGTTGTTGCATTTTCACAAGCAAGCGCAAGCCTTTCGGGACAGGTTGGATCTGTGCAGGACGGTAATGCAGTACCTTTGTGCAGGCCGGCCACAGGGAGGAAAGCTGCTAATGGGCAACAGAGACTTGAACGAGCTTGTGCTATACAGCACACTGTTTGATGGGGTTTGGCATAACGTCGTGCCTTTGCCCGGCGCCTGTAGTGATCCAACGCTTGCTTTTCCTACTACTGCATCATACATGTCGCTCCATCACTCTAGTCGAGCCATTTTCCTGCTTTGAGGGAGATGTCTGGCGAGCCGCTGGAGGTAGAGAAACCCAAGCAACGTGGGAATCCTGTAAACCCGGAGTGGCCCCCAGCTCCTTGTGGGCGAATCGACGAGCCAATGATTAATGACCATCCAAAGAGTTTACATCGCCCTGCAGGTTCTGAAACATGACTCCCTGGCTGATGTCGTTGGTGGCCACCAGGCCGCCGAAGCGGTCGAGCCAGAAGCAGTGGCTTGACCAAGCACCGCATTGCTGTGGTGTGGTGGCAAATTGATAGATCCAGCAAGAACTGTGGGCGTAGATCACAGATTCGATGCAATTGGTTGCTTTCGACCATCGAGTTCTCAATCGGGCCGGTCAGTACAACGACCACTTCTGTCAACCACACATTCGAGTTGTCAGGTGGCGAATCTACCAGCAGACCTTGGCAGAAGAGCTCCACCTGGCCGCTGAAGTGGCCGCCTTGCCAAAATGTATGCTCACGTGGCGATAAAGCAGCACCAGCAAGAATGGTGGGTGCCAGAAAGGCCTACGTAATGGGAAAGTGACAGTGTCAGGGTCAAATGGACACCCGCCATGCCCATCAACTTCTGGTCGAATTGAAGCTGAAGTCATGTTGACTCCTCACATTCTTTTCGGAAAGCCTTCCGAGACTCGACAAACGTAAAGCTCTCGTGACCGCAGTGGTCCCCTAAGTATGCGGTGTATATTGACCGTACAGTACTACAGGTGCTCCCATCGCCACCCTGTTCACGCCAACTTCTCATAATCGACAGAGCAAGATTCCGTAGTCGTGCTTGTCGAATATACACTGGCACCAGATGCAATTTGCATTTGCCTTGTTTTTCAAGGCTGCCTCTGATTCGCAGACTGAGATGTTCGTGCGACTGCTCCGAGAGCAAAGCACACGCCAATGGGATGACTGATTTGGTCCCGCGAATAACGAGGATTCAACTCAAGGGAAGTCCTGACTGTGCTTTGGGCGGCTATCGGACGTCCGCGGGAAGGGGACTGCGCCCCAAATTCTTGGCCGCGGCTCCGCTCTGGCGAGAACGAGCTCGCGTCGCGTTCATCCTGTTCTCCCCTCTTTTTGAAGGTGCCCTGTAACATTTGACGCGCTGCTTGCAAGGGCTCACCATTAAATGCATAGAGACCGCCGATGCCGATGCCGATGTCGAGAGGATGATGGAAGCTGGATGTGCAGATGGCGCAACAGGAGCAGCGCTACATGGAGCAGATTGATCTCTTGAAGTCGCTTTTGCCTGCACGTTGAGCGCAGCATTACTATGGGCAGATAGGAGTCGTCTGATATCGCATTATGTTCTCCTTGTAGCAGCGGAGACTGCGCGCCATCTTCAGGAACAGGAATCCCATGACCTTGCGAGACTCAGCCTCCACTGGCATTGGACCAATGGACCTCGGCATGACGATCATCGCGGCCGATTTGCTGCATAGAACGACCGAGTAACCTCAGTGAGAGATGTTCTTCAGCGATACGGTGTTGTTACTATCTTGCAGATCGTGGAGTTTCAGAAAGGGTTTGGATTATCGACGGTCAATCTTGGTGACTTCGGCCGGTCTTAATGGGCTGTCGCTTACTAGCGTAGGGAAGATTGATCTCCTTTGACAACCCACGAACAATGCGATGCGGAGAGGTCAGACGGATTTTTGCCCGGTCCTACTGTCACATAGCGGGGCGATGAAGTCCAGGCATGGCTTTCGAGTCCTGTACCGGCTGGTAGAGTCTATCCTGTAGCACTTTCAAAGGTAGGCAATTTACACTTCGGTGGGAACGCTGTTGACCCCGAAACGCTTGCTCATCGTGCAACAGGTCTGTGGTTTGGCAGTCAAGCCCGACTTGCAGGTTCTGAAACAAGCGCAGGCCTTATGCGTGGCCGTCGTCATGCTTAGTATCCAATTAGATCGAAGTGGCGAACTATACATCTACCGAACATCATGGGGAAGAGGTCGGAGAAGGTTGGCAACTGTCGAGCTGATGACGCCACATTTTCCACCCAACTAAAACCGTCGTTCTTGCTCGAGCTGCACAGGGTCAGCAGCATTCCCACTTACCAGCAAAGCCTTCTACTTGACCCTAGGTCAACAGGACTTCATCAGAACAGCAATGGAAGTCTTTGCTCAACACCTACCACCCCGAGACAAGACCGCCGCGCAGGCGACATAGAAGAATCACAGAAAACGGGTTTTCCTTCTCGCCAAGTGAGCTCGGAACTAGAATGATTCTATTCAACAAAACATGAGAATAACCCTTAAATATTCACTCACTAGCACAAGCCATTTGGTAACCAGCGCTCCCGCCGCTGTGAGTCATCAAAGAAAGTGAATACAGTGGCAGCTCCAAACGCGAATCGCACGTCAATCCTACGAAATTTTCCTGGACAGTCAGCAGATGCACGATCTGCTGGACTTGTTGGGCATCCGCCGTTTATGCCGTTCACGAAGAAGCAACAAAGAACATGCGCCCGTTCGAGCGCCAGGAAAGATTTTAGACGGACACGGATGCTGATGCACCTTTGAACATCTGCTCCCATCCGATAGAGCAGGAGAAATTCCAATCGACCACATTCGATCATTATCGCTTCTTTGCTCTGTGCCCGTCGTGATCATCTCTTGCGCCAACGTAACGCGCCAGCGAGTCCGTACATGCGCTTTTGGGTGAAAAGCGAAATAATATATTGTGAATATGCAGTCTCCATGCATAGTTCAGCAAGAGGACACTCACATAAAGTCTTCTCATGTAGTATTGATTAGACGTCCGCATAAGTCTTCTGTGACCAATATGCAGATCCAATCACCAGATTCAGTGCTCTGATCAAATCTGACTGTCTCTAGGCTAGGAGCGATGTGGACCAGCACCAAGTATCTAGCACAAAGCCAACGGCAGCAGTCAAAGGTCTGCATAAGTCAGGACGGTCGGCTGTCTTTCCAAGACGCCTTCTTGAACAGTGACGCACTCTCGTGTACATCATCGGTCTCAATCTGGACGATGCCACATACAAGACCGTGGTTAAGTCTCGCGAACTTGGGGGTGTGGAGACCGTTTCACAATATGCAGGTCAGTGAAGTCCCATGGGTAGATGGTGGCGTCGTCAATGTGATCAAAAAGGACCGCGCAAATTTCAGGTTTGCTTAGAACCAGTGTCGTCTTTTGTTCAGTCCGTTTGCAATGGATCATGGGCACAGCCTTTTCGACATCCCTACTGATTCGCAGTATGACCTTGATATGGAACCGATCGGGAACGACTTTGACCTTGAGTTTGATGAAACAACCAATATAGACAGCTCTACCGGAATTCTTGCACCTGCAGGCATTCAATATCATCAAGGCGCACAGCGGTCCAGGGTGAATCCGCCGTCGAGACTGCCACCCTCCCGCATGCAACCCCAGAAGGGAGTGCAGCACCTGCACAAGCGAACCTTCCAACCTCAGAGAACCGGCACCACGACACAGTCGAGCGGTGCAAAGACGCTGCCGAAAGCGCAACACGTGCTGCATCAGTTCGGGCAGGCCGCTCATCGTCTACGTGCCATGGACGAACGAATCACTAGCATTGAGAAGTGGTACGACACGGAAATGGCACAAACGAGCCCACGTTGACGTTTTCCCAGGTCCACGCAGCTGCATGAGATGTCTCGTCGGCTAACGACGATGGAGCAGCGGCTTTCAGAGGTGCAAATCGGACTGAAGACGGCCGAAGAAGGACATGAAGAAATTAGTGAGATGGTCAAGGCGTCCCTGTCGTTCTTAGACGACCTAAATGCTGACCAAAGCATCGGAGAGCAACCACTCAACCTGTAAATAGCGCTTACATTCTATCCACTGTGAAATGTCATCACATTCGACGTACGCCTGTGTGTGACTCGAAGTTTGCTAAAGAGAAGAATGTATATCATCCCAGTAAGTTTCAGTATATCGAAAATGAGTCCGCGCTTCCAACTCATTCCTCCGCGCTATCAATGGCCGAACGACCGGCGTCACGTCCAAGGTAGTCGTCCCTGAGTAGCACAGCTGCAGCCCCTCGAAGCCTACGCCCTCGACCAACTTGCACCCGGCAACGTCCACTTATGTCCCGTAATTATTGCACCACGTCAGCGAACGTTTGGTCAGTCGCCGTCTGTAGCCTTTCCGACCGACGTGGTGCCAGCTGCTGCTCGAGATCTTCCCAGAATCCCGCAGTGTTGCACATTCTTTGGACTGTGCCGCTTTCAAGCCCTCTAGCCTTGAATTGCGACTCGATGTCGTCTCGTGTTCCGGCACGCAAGCTCCATGCCTGCGCGAGACGGAGGCCGAGCTGGTGCACATCGACGATCAATTCGTCGATATTGTTGGCACCGTAAGTATGCACCATCATACACTCTGGATCTTTCCGTGTAAGAGCAGAGACCTGTTGCTGGAGGCGTTGTTTCTCCTGGTCGATGCCATCAATCTTCCTGTACGCATTGTGGAGGGTTTGTTGATGCTTCTGCAGGAACTCGGTGATGCTCTGCTGGATATGTTGCTTCCGCTGCTGATTGGCGTACAGTACTTGATCGTTCCAGACACGATCTATCTCAAGCAGACGGGCGTGGATGCTTGTCATCTTGGCTCAGACATAAAGAGTGAGGCAGAAATCTACGAGACCTACCAAATTTAAAATCACGTTAGGGGAGCAAAGTATATCCTACAGCGCGGCAACCTGTTCCTGTAGCGAAGATTCTACACTCGCCTCGAGGGCTGTGCCCATAGCCACGCCAGGCCATGGGTGGCTCAGAGCCACCTCTGGCGACCAGATATAGCGTGATCGCAGACAAGAGCTGGAGTGAGAACTACGTGATCGGATCAAGCGAGCAATGGCAGACCCACTGTATCATTCCCGGTGCAGGCGATGTAGCGCTTCGCAAGCTTCCTGCCAACAGGCCACATATCTGCTGCAGTGGCAATCAAGCATTCTTCATCAGCACCAAATCTTTATCATGCACATGGCGACTCGAATTTCATCCCAGCAGAGTCAACTCGAAGGACTTCAAGCGTTGCTGGTGCGGATGATGTTGGCGACGTCGGTTGAGGTGGCACATCAAGCGCGCTGCCAAGAAGACCAAGACCATGGCTTAGCGGGCGGTGGGGCATCAACTTATTGAACGGAGCACTGGCCGACCTGGTCCGCGAGTGGCCATCTTACACGCGCGCGGTCGAGTGGACGGCGCTTGCAAAATGCGCCTTGAACTCTGGTGGCCGTGGCCATGGTGCAGATCTGGCACATGTGTATACATACTTTCGGGCTGGTTGTTGGACCGTATAAAGCACACTGTCGCCAGAGCTCTAGTCCGGCTTCTTAATAGCAAGTCTACAGACATGGCGAACAACGCTCTCGTGACCATCATCTTAGCATTCTCCCTCACCCTCGCCGTGATATCTGGGGCTTTGGCCCTAGTGTACTTTTTCTACAGGGCGCAAAGGACAGCTTTTCTGGGTGATGCAGAGTCTCCGCCACTGACCGGTCACCGTGAGTCCCCAAGCGAGCACTCCATCTATCTCTGACACAGTATCGGTAGGATCGCCTTGTCATAACAAACCACTGCCACCTACCCCGCCCAACTGTCCCGTTGTCGAGCTGGCAGACCCTGCGCATCGCGTTTCGCCGGCAGAAGAGCCGCGGCCGTCCATCCTCGAACGACGAAAATGTACACCACATGCTTCACGCCCGCCTCCGCGGCAGCTAACACTCGCTAAACCTCGACCTGTGCCTCCGCCTCCGCCGCCTAGTCAGCCCGCAATGCCTGCAGAGCCATCGGAACAGGTAGTGCAGCTTGGTGCCGATCCGGAAGTAGTGTCGAGTGCAAGTCTTCCAGGTGTTCGGCCCCAACGACTGTCGAGACAACAGATTGCCAAAATGCGGGAAATCACCCCTCGTCCCTCGATGAGAGAGCACCGTCAGTGCCATCAGCAATTTGACTCCACGAAGCTAATGTTGACAGCAATTTACGAATCCGACGGAGAGCCAGAGTATACAACATCACAGGAAGGCAACTTAAACGACAACAAATTCTGAGCTATAGTCTTGATTTGCCCGACCAGCGGGGATTCTTAATGAATGTGCCAGACTGCGAGTACTTGAAGATCCCTTATGTATTGTCGCTTGCACCTCAGTATCCCTTATTTTTGGCATATACCTCAAAGTAGACGTCGAATTTCATCTTCTGTTTCGAGTTCATGTCACCTGCGGAGCGAATGTCATGGGCAGCACAATATCCTTCCAGCACAGCTTCTTTCAGCTCTTCTATACTCAATGATGCTTGCGACGAACTTCCTTCCTGGCGCGCATCATTACCACCCTGGGTATGCTTTAACGGCTGGGTGCCTTGATTTGCGAGATTCGGCGGCGGCGGCTTGGAATCGCCGACCGAAGCTGAGTCTGACGGCGTCGTTGGCTTTGCCGTGTCCGCGGGTTCGAGCGACGGTGTGGGTCTGGCAGATGGTGAGACTCCAGGACTCGCACTTTGAGATGACCGCTTGAATGGCTGCACGGTCGGCTCGCGACTCTGGGATTGACGGTACTCGGCGTATCCGTCAGGATGGCGCTGCTCAAACCAATCGAGGAATCGCTTCGCCTGCAGTTTCGCCGCCTCGTATACGCGCCATTCGGCTTTGATCTGATCCTTGCGGTATAGTGCCTTGTATTGCGTGGCCAGCTCCCAATTGTTGTATACATCGCCCTGGTCCTTGTTGTCCGGCCTTGTGGTCAAGCCGTTGATCTTCTGATGGAACTTGACATCGATGTGGGTGATACGGTAATTCTCGAGCCTGTGATCCTTACCCTTATGTAGCCAGTCACGGCGGGATTTCGAGGTTGGTAATTCAACGGCCTTTTTGACTTTGGCAGGATTGAGCAGTTCCGCCGCTTCCTGAGGACTTTGCTCCAATCCTTCACACTCCCACACGATGTTCAAGATCCCGTGCACGTTGGCTGCTCGGTACTTTGGTTTCCCTTGCTCCCGTGGATAATCAAGCACTCGATGAAAACGCTCACTGACGTTCTGGAGATCTTCCACAGACATGCCATCGCGAATGTGAGGCGTGGTACTCCACACGAACCAACCTTTCGCACGTGGACCGTAACGATTGAGAAACAATGGGGCTGGATCGTCGTTGCCCTTCTTGCATCTTTTCGCCACTGTCACACATGGCACGCCAGGAAACAGCTCGGAAGGACCCGAATCTTCTTGCAGGAGTTGGGGCTCGGCGTCATCATCAGCCACCTTGTCACTGCCCGGAGCGTGCTCTACTGACTTCACAGGCTTCAAAGAGTTCTCGTTGCGCTCTCCAGACTTGGGTGCAAGGTCGACGCTTCCACCTTTATTCTCACCCCCTGCCAGAGCAGCGTTGGCTCTGTTGGTGCCTTTGGACGCCTCTTCTACAGCATGACGCTCACGCTCGTCTTCGTTGAGCGAGTTAATCAACTCCACATCGCCGTCTTGATTTCCTTTCTCGGTCTTGACCTTTTTGCCATCTGCGGTGGTCGCCATAGTTCGAATGATTGTTTTGGCCGGAGGCATGGAGCACGGGGAACTATCTATATGGCGATCACCCACCAAGTTTGTGGGCCAGAACCTGAGAATTTGGCTTTGCAGCTCTTTGTGCTGATATTGTAGCCATGAATTTTGAAGGTGCGGCTCATGTCAGATAGCTATTACCCACCTGCGTCGTCCATCTCCATCAATCCATCGAAGTGAAGAGCTAAGAAATGCTGCCATTGATCTTCTGTGCCTGGCTAAGCGGCACTTTCGGTGCTGCCGCATCGACGTAAGACTTGACCGTCCTGTCAGGATAGAGAACTAATGGATTGCTACAGCACCCCAACTTCACTTCCCGCCTCTGGCGACATTACCCTTGGCGACTACTGGTTGAAATGGGGCAAGAACGAGACAAGTTCCACCTCATTTGTTCCGATCACATCTAACGGTGAGCAGCCGAACACTTCGCTCAGCGAGCTGGTCTCACCATCCGCCATCACAGCAGACAGTATGGCACTGAGCCGGATCACTGTCACGGCGAAGCCGTTACCGACAAAGCCTTGCATTCAGAGTATCTCTGCGCACCATAGATCGATGGACAGCTCCAGTCTGTCTGCCGTCAATTGGGGGACTGGCAATATCACCGGGACCGCAGCCTCGCGCGGCCATGCCAACCCGGCCAACAGTACATCTTGGACGCAAGCTTCACTCAAGCCGAGTGTCTCGTCGTATAAGTCGACTGCGAGCATTCTACAACCAGCTTGGACGGTAGCCTGGGCATTGCTGGGTTGCTCATTTTTAGGATGGTGACTGGGATATGGCGGGGATTACAATGGTTGGTGGACGTGGTTATATAGCGCAATAGAATCCTTCAATAGTTTTCTTTGTTCTGATCATACTGTGTCCAACGCCCCGTCCGTCCCGATCGAAATGTTGATGAGCACGCAGCCACTCCATCGATTAATTCAGCGAAGCTCTCACACTCCGCAACAGCTCAGCCTGTCGAGAGCTGAACAACATGAATCTGTTGAGAAAGTATTTGAGGTGCTCGGATCGAGCTGGACTGGCAGATCTGTGGTCTCGCTGAGCCGGTGTTGACTCGTGTGAGGCTAACCACGGCGCAACGCTGCCGCCTGTGACAGCTTTTGAGCAACCATCCTCGTCAGCCAGCTCATACCACGCATCATCACTGGAGAGACTGTCCGTCTCAACCCCTGTGACCAACGTGGAGACCTTCTGACCTCTGGCACCTCGCAGCGGGATCGGCTTTACGTTGGAATTCGAGGCCTGTATGTCGGGTCAGCATGACTTGATGTGAGGGTGGCTCCACCAACCATTGTTTCACCAGAGGGCGGCCATGAACAAGACAAGGGTTCGGAACTGTAGAAGTGTGATTGTTGCTCTCCCTCGTCAACCACAAGCAGGAACACCTTCGCCCCACAAAACTGATTCAGCTCATTGGACTTCTTCCCCAGACACTTTCGTCGACGACGGTACTGCTCGTAGGAAGCTTTAGCTCGCTTCTCTTCACGCGTTCGAGTCCGACCTTCGGCTAAGTGCTTCTTCTTCTTCTTGCGGCTGCGTGACGCTGGTGGGCTACGTGAATACATTCTGCCTGTCAGATCTTGTGCCCTCGTGAAAGTGGTGTTGAAGGGATGAGCAGGACGAAGATCACAGTCTATAAGAGCAAGGCGAATTGACCGACCTATGCTATGGTTCAGTGACCGATGATGACAGTTTGACAAATAGCACAGAACGATGTAGGTTTCCTAAGAATGGGTTGCCTGCGCGGGAAACATGCGGTCGAGAGGGGGCCAACCTCACAAATCCGAGGGAACTGGAGGCGAGGCCCCGCGTTGTAACGCAGGACACGATGGGATACTTCTTCTGTCACTCCGACGTAGTACGTTACTGCATCTTGCGCATTGAACAACATTGTACTATGTAGGGACATTTCATGGGTTGCTCCGTCATCCAGCTGCTTCTCGGGCTTGAACTCAACGCCAGGTCACGACCAGAAGTCTTATCGCGACCGATGCACACCTGGGGAACATCATCGAGTATGCTGCGTTCGAGTCCAATATTGAAGATATTCTACGTTGCGCTCAATGGACTTGCCCTCGTTTTCAAGGCTGAATCGGCTCTGGGGATCGGCAATCGAGGTGGTATCCTTGCCACGATCAATTTGGCTCTCCTTCTGTACAGCAGTCATCTACGCGCAATATCTAATCCGCGAGGAGAGTCGTTGAAAACTCAGTTGGGCAATCGGTGGTGGCTACTGGCTGCAACGGCGGTCACAGGTTCGATCCATGTCATTTGCTTTGTGTGCTTCACATCCACATCGAGGACATGTGAGGCGACGCATGTTCTATCGGTATGTCCCCGGTAGCGCGATGTATGTTGTAGTGACTGACGTGGCATCAAGGCTCTGCTCTGGTCAGCGATTGGAACCCTACCGTTTCTCTTCCGATTCAGATGGTCTTTCCAGCTCCTCTTGCAAGCCTTTTCCTGGCTTCATTTGCCGGTGACACTGTTACTGTGGTGGCATGTTGCAGCTCAGAGGACGACAGCTCGATTACAAATACTCACGGTTATCACGCTGTGGGTTTTCTGCCTGATTCGAGCGCGTTCTGCGACTGTTTCCACAGCAAGATTTGTGGACTCCGAATCTTACACAGATCGTCTCCAAAGCTCATCGTGGGAGCAGTGACTCGTGCAAGCGACGGACGAACGTTGGCGGACTACATGTGTTTGGTCACTTCTGGATGTCCCGGCTCCCCGCCCCAGGAATTACTTCAGTGAGAAGCATATTGTCCTAATACTGTGGCATGATGATGATACTGAAGATAGCGGCCACCTATTTAATTTTCGTGCGAATGGGTCGCTTTAAATCGGTCGATAGAGCCACCAATGTCAAGATCTGGAAACAATTGGGCTTACGGTATCGTTGAGGATAGGATGGCTACCAATCTATGCTAGCGACCTAACTACCACTACCGACGAGGAAGCTGGTAGAGGACAACTGTCATTGAATATTTTGACAACCTCGTGTCTAGATCACAGGGCTTGGGTGTCTCAACAGTGATGGGACAAGGCTTTATCATCAAGCAAACGCAACAGCAGGATATTTGCCAGGTCCATAGATAGCAGCATGCTGTATGAGACGGTCCTCAGGCTGAACTTTCTTTGCTTAATTTGTTCGCAGCCACTTTCCGTAACTTGAGTCTTGCTTATGTCATGGCCAGCGACACTGTGTGTATCGAGGTTCTTGGCCGACTCGAATCGTGACTGACCATGTGCAGGGTGACTCAGGTCCCGCCCGTCAGGTGATCGTCCTTTAACACGGCTTCCGTCTTGCCAGGAAAGTCGTTGACGTTGCGGAAATCGATTTGACCCTGAAAGTTCCCCCTACCACCGCCTCGACTTACTGCGAACATAGGTTTGCCGTGGCCACCAAGACCGTGGAGCCTTGCCTCTCTAGCACTTGCACGGCAATACGGTAGTGCTCGTTCAGTCCCTCAAAGTGCCGATCACCGAAGCCAAGTCATGGTGTAAGGGTGGCTGCCGGCATGGCCACGTTCCAAGTGTAGTTCGGATGTCCCATACACTGCTAGGTAGTCTCGATCAATCTCCCAAACAGATTTATGTTCTACCGTGAGATGTGCCCACATGGCCGCAGCACTGAGATCAAACCCCATGGCTGAGTGTCTCTATCGACCAGAATATTGCCGGCCATATCGGTCGAGCTGGTCGTTCGATCGAAATTTCGCACCCACACTTGCAGCTTCTCTCACTTGATGGATCCGCCACCCACTTATGGGAGGCTGTACCCCGAGTGATCTCCACTCTCGCGGAAGCGTCGTGCCATGCCGACTCACCCACACAACAAGGACGACAAGTGCGCAATGTTTCGGAATCTGCAGGGCGACGCTTATCTCGAGGAAGAGATATCATTGGTGCGCTTTTCAGACCACCAGAAGACGAGGTGGACTCCGAGTGTGAGCATTTCCCACTTCGCGTGAACTTTTCTACCTCGTACAGCGCGGCCCGCACGGTTGAACTCTACACAGGTCGTCAGACCAGCGCTCCGGCCATTCTAGACTGTCAACGTGTGGAGCGGGACTTGAAGATCAACTCTCAAGTACGGAACCCTAAGCACTGCAGACTTACTACAGTACTGTCGTGGTCCAATTATACAGAGGCTTCCCGCAGATTCTTGACGTAAGTCACGACCAAGTGGCGTAGTCGAGAGGGTTGAAATTGTCCAAAGCAAGCGACTTCGTTCCGAACTGCCTGCCTGAAAAGGCGTACTTTGTAAGCGCCGATAGTGCGCATTGGAAAGTATTCCGATTGGGCTTAGGGTTGGTGGCAGCTGCGGCCTAGTGATTGGCGCCTACGAATATCATGGCGTACAAGCGCCAGAATTGCCGCCACAGCTTCCCTTGCTCTACAGCACATCTTGCCTCTCGTACTGTCATTGTGAATTTTTGTCATTTCGACGGCTCATCATACATCAAAGAATACGTAAACACGCCGTCGTTGGTGTGCAGCACTGACTGCTGTGCATGCGATCAATAGGCGGTTGCAGCATTTTCCTTCCCCCTCTGGCACAGAGTACTACAAAACGGGGTCGACCTTAGCGCGGCCAATTGGAGCATTGGCGCCAACACCCTGTAGCCCGTGCAGGGGTGTCTGGTAAACTCTATTGCTGGAGATCCAGAGTGAGGCCCTGTCGCGGTAGATCTCAGAGTGATACAGGAATGCGCCATCATTTAGACCAAACGAGCGTCTGCACGCTAAGATCGTGAGCCATCGTAAGACCGCGCCGGATATATTAGGGACGGTGGTAAGCCCGCCAGCTCCCTCCCAGAGTAGCGCCTTCATCCTTTCTTTCTGTTTTGCCTCTACACAATGATTTCACAACTTCTACCGGGACAGCGAGTTCTCCTGCCATCAGAATTAGTACATACCCAACCGGCAAAGCCGAGCAGCCATAAGAGTCTCCTCGCGGTCGGCGCTGAGAAAACCATCACCCAGGACATCACACTTCGTCAGAAATTGCAAGCAGGGGAGAGTCGTTCTGAGCCGGTACAATCGTGCTCAACGGGCACAAATGCTAGTGAAGTCCCCGCAAATCAGAGAATGCTCGAGCAGACCGAGGCATACCAGTCCGTCGTCCGCTCGCATCAACAAATCGAGCGAATGCTTGCATCTAGGGACGAGGATCTTCAGCAATCGACCACAATGCTGGCACAGGCCCAAGCTGATTTGGCATATGCCTCCACCCAGCTGGAGGACCTTCAAAACGAGCATACCTATCTTCTGTGTATCGCACAACGCGCCACGACTCTGCTGGATCAGGATATGCCTTCCACATTCGAACTTCTCTCGGAGCTGGACCATCAGTACACCAAAAACCAACTTTTGGAACGAATGTTTGCGCACTATCTAGATTCTGAGATCTTTGGAGGAACTCGCCAGACTCTAAATTACTTGGAGTCATGGCGCCAAAATATTCGAGTCCGGCTTGGTGTGGCAAGAGTGATTGCCGACTCTGAGATGGGTGTTGGCGAGAGTGCTCAACACGAACCTGAAGCTACGATAGATAATTCTGATAGCTGGTAGCAGTTTCTATAACGTATGTATAGACACTTTCTGACTCTCATCAACGCAGCTGGCGCTGTTCTCTGGCTCGTACTCATCCACAGTCACATCGTGCACAAGTCTTGGCTCATCCCAGAGGGCTATGTCCAAAGTAAAAGCTATCCTCTTCCCCACCTGCTGATCTCCATTGAGTACGCCTGCGGTATCGATACCCGATCCCGACCTTTGAAGCTCAATCTGCGCTAGACTAGGGGCTTTAGCTCCAACCTCTTCAGCATTTTTTCAGAGGACCGCGAGAGGAGACGCGCTCGGTCGCGAAAACGCGATAGCACGAGCGCCCGATGTACCGGCGGGACGGCTGGTCGAGGAGAGCTGCAACTTCACTGACCCGGCACCATCATCGCCAATTAGCGGGATGATCTCTGATTCTGACAGCAGCTGGTATGGCTATGACACAAGCATTTGATTGTCTCGAAGCCGTAGATCTCGTACTGCAGTATTCTGTAATGCTTCTCATGGACGTCGCACCACTCTTCGGAGTATCAATTCTTTCGGTGTTATATGCAGGGAGCCTAGTGGTGTGTCCTACTTTTTGCAGGACATCTGCTTTGTTTGTATCCGGCTCATCGTCACCGGCAGCAGCAGCGGTCTGGCGGGGTACGTCATTTCGACGAGTATGAAACATTGCAAGTGCAGGATCTGGTTGTCGTAACGTATTTGACTGCCTCGTATCGACCGGATAAGGAGGAGGAGGTTCGCAATAACCGTGCAAGCAAATATCTGCACTTGTTCGGCAAGTGACGACAACGTCGTCGCGCCGTGGCTCCAATTCGTCCAGCTCGTAGATACTGCGTCGTTTGCCTCTTGCAGTGCGACAGTCGCAACAAGCGACCAAGCAGCATACCGCCATGGTGATTAAAATTGGCACCAGCAGAACGAGGAGATTTGCTGAATTGGGGGATGATGCCAACGGCCGAGCCTCTACCTGACCAGAGACAAGTAGAATAGTCAGGATGATGAAGTTTGCCATATTGAGAGGCCGATGACTGATGAGAACTATTGCATGATGGCGATGCCCTAGTTTTATGCCAACTTGGTAATCAGATATCGTAGAGGCTAATGGTGGCAGTGTTGGGTAGAGCTCAATTTCAATTGGCCCTGCTGCCATGGACGGCGCTTATCAAGCTATGCCAGAGGGACGATGCGTCAGTGGGCGAACCTGACGTGACGCGACCGATTCCATCTACAACCTTGGCTGACTGCAACCGAAAATCATTGTGGAAGGAAAGGCAGACTGCCCACGACTCACTGTCGAAGTAGAGGGTGCGTCACCCACGCTAACAGCTGGCAACGTTGGTAAATTGTTAGAGCCAGCTCACCAAATCCCCACACCTTGTTTTGCAGACTCGCTGTACCGTAATTGGGCATTAGTGGCATGATTCGAATTTGAGAAGGAAATACTCTCTACTGTACGTGGTCTGCGTGGAAGTGTGATGTTCAGTGAGGCCCCTGCAAGGATATCGCCGATGTCTTGGCATTGCGCTGTTATGCCCAGAGCTGTCGGCACCGAGCACTAGACAGACCCCGTCTCTGATATGGCCCATCCTGATCTTTGCATGCTGTATAGACCTGAGACTCCGAAGCTATATCACCACAAGCCCTGCTTGAGTGATCAAGGACGTCTCACAGGCTGGCGACGTACGGTATAGATGCTGTTCGCCGAGCCTATTTCCAGGCGCGATATTCAGAAGAGTCCCAAAGTCATCGTTTGCACAATACGCTGTTGAGTCATACAATGTGGCAAAACAAGTTAATCGGCCTCTGAGGCAATTTCAACTTTATGTGATCGCTTCGTCTGGCCACGCTTAGTGTTTTGTTGTCCGCATCCGACAGTGCTTACACTGGGCACGCGGCTACCTAGCGTAGTTGCACCACCAAACTACCAGATATCTTGCTTGCATTTTGGCGGGCGCCTGGAAAGTTCCGAAGTTCTAGACTGCCTGGAGCACAGTATCGAGCACAACGCAAAATGTAGACAGGATTCCCAGGCGACACTCGGACTCGTCCAGAACCTACAGGACTCGCTCTTGCTCGGAGAATTAGAGGCAGTACGCAAACCGTGGTTGAAAGGCCTTCGATTTGCAAGATGAGTCCATACAAGTCTGGGAGGCATTGAAAGTACAGGCTGCGCACCATACCTAACCTTAGCTGGCGTCTGCATGCGCGATTACGTGGGCGGGCCCGATGCCCAAGCCAAGGCGTTGCACACGAGTGGTATACAAACAAAACCATCAGCCTGGTGGAACGCTTTGTCAACCCTGATCTAACTTCACAGCACCGACACCTTTTGCCTTTTCAGCCCTACAACATGTATCTGGACACATACGAACAACTTGCGCAGAGGCTGCATCAATCAGAGCAAGTCTACGACCTTACAATGATCAAGCTCAATCCATTCAATCTGATGAGTCAAGGCTTAGAACTTCGATCAGAAAACGTTGCTGCGGACGTGGCGTGTGATCCACTCCTCTGCACGCAGCTCACCATTGTTCCGAGTCAGGTCTTCGGACTGCCTATGACATCGAATGCTACTTCTGGAGCAGCTGACGAAACCGTCGAGCAACACGTCGCCTCTTCGGAAACCACGCAGCCCGAGCGCCCTGATGTCCAATCGTCGTACGAAACGCAACAGTGCTTGACACAGAATCAAGAATCTTCAGACAAAAGGAGGTGTGCCAACGTTGACTCCTTCAACGGTTCTAGGGCTGCAAAAGGGAGACACCGCACCCGTTCAAGGTCAACTCTTGCCGTGGAGTTCTTTATCTGTGGTTATTCCGGCTGCATCGATCGTCGTACAGGCCAGCAAAAACGATTCCGACGTCAGGAGCACCGCAAGCGTCATGAGCGAACGGTTCATGAAAGAGATAGCTGTGCCCTGTATAGGTGTCAGGTCCGGGGATGTCGGAGTAAAGCTTTCACGCGCAAAGACAACTGCAAGAGCCATATGAACACAGTGCACGGGGTGAGCTTTTCCCAGGCGGACGGTCGCTCGACAAGTACATAAGAGCGAAGAATCGTTGACTGGGACTTGGCTTGGTCTATCTACATAGCGAAGATGGCCTCGTTCGTCGCGTTCAGATGAAATGGAACGACTGTTGTATGCAGCATGCCGAACTCTCCTTAGGCAGGACTATCTGTGTGCTTAATGCTCAGTTCAAACTTCTGTCGCTGTCTAAGATAGCTTTCACCGTCGTAGGGCGCGGCCAGCAAGTAGCATACAGTACACTGTAATGGCAGTCTTCCTCCCCTAGTCCCGCGGGCCTTCCTGTTCTTCTCTTCTCCCACCCTTGGTGGCCAGGGCACTATCTCTACCTAGGGAGATTGTTAGTTTGAGTCCCCGAAGGTCTGTGTAGATGCAAAAATATACTCAATAGTAATTTTGAAGTTTCGAGTTCTTGTATTGATTCTGGGGATGTCTGTCGTGCTATGCACACCGCGAGTAGTGGACCCAAGATGAGGAAGAGTTTCAAAGCGATGCTAAAAAAGTTGAGAGACAAATACAGAAACCAAAGGAAATCTGCCATGGCTGATGGTTAAGGAGCTGTTGCAAGTGTCAGCAGTCACAGTAGGTCTTATTTATAACAATTTTAGAATCAGGGCTGACGTTACCCCTGCATAGACTCAAAACGAATTTGATCGAGATGATGCAATCTGTACTTCGTTCGCTGAATTAGCTCAGCTCGAATAGCAGGACACGTTCTCGTCTACTGTGCAGCCTCACCGCAGTCGAAAAAAGCCTCGATTTACTACCGAAGTTTCATGTATGCCGCATTCTGCAAACCCATCAACCCGAACTACCGAGCCCAACATTGATGGTTGCGATGGGTGGCATTGCACCTACTGATGAATATCTTTGTCGTGGTTTTTCATTACTCTTGGCTCCATCCCCACCCGGACATTTCATGGTTGGAACTTTCTGCTCGTTGAGTACATACAGTACTGTGATTGGAGGCAGATCCTGTTCGTCTTACCTTCTTCATAGCATGGGTTGTCAGTCAGCTGACTCCAGGCCCCTTAGGTTTTCGCCATGTAAATCCGTGGTTTCGTCTCCCTCGTCTCTCTGTAGGCCACTTTGTGCGTATATTAAGTTTATAGAAGCGAGCACTGTTCATTGAGATACTGTAGCAGACATCATGACTTTGAAAGACCCATTTTCATGCTGTATGCGGCGCTTTCTCCGAATCAGTGCTCAGCGACTGATGAAAAGGGGAGTAGAAATATCATACCATGGGTGTGGAGTAAAACAGCACGATGACGCTGTACCTGAACAAGATATTTGCCCCTGCGAAGTCAAAATATGGTATCTGATGGCTCGAAATGAAGAATCCTACCAAAGATATGTGAAGCAGCAACAGCCGCTGGGTTCCTGTGTCTGGTTATTTTGGTACTTGAAATCAAGTCGTGAGTCTCAAGCAACACGTTGACGGCATATCTAATACAACTAGCCCGTTGGCCATCATTTCCGCGAAAGTCATTTGAGGTATTTTATCAGCACCACCTCAACTATGAGGCCTGGGAACGCCAAGGAATTCAATACAAGGGAGGTATCGGGAATCTATCGATACTCCGGAAATAAGCCCGGGCAAACAAGGACTCGCGTGTACTCGACCGCTGCGGCCCGCATGCCAGGAGGCAGCAGCCGTGCTGGCACCGCCCCGGCATTGGCTCTTGAGCCTGAACGTGAGGCCTAGCAAAGTGGGGAATGAGCTATGTGGGGAATGATAGTGAGCATGAGCTAAGCGATGCGAATGAGTAGGTTGATACGTAAACCATCGCGGAGGCCCGAATGATCCGGATATTCCTTTTCCGCAGGCATGTGCGGCGAAGGGAAGCCTGAGGCAAGGGCCTCCTCGCAACCCCTGAATTAGGAATGCTACGTTCTTCGTCCTAGCCCTTCCATATTTACAAGAGGGCATGTATCAGTCCATCCCTGCGCATAGGAGTATCACCCTAACAACTCGATAGAGAACGAACATGCTATCCATCTCATATCCTACCCCGGCACTGTTTGAAAGCGTCGATGATGCTTCAGCTGAGCTGATCCTTGAGCTCCAGCTCGCCGATCTCGAAGACTTGAAAGAAAGCTATCCCGGGAAACAAAGGGAGGGTGATCATCGCGATGGGGAGATCGCAGTGTCTGTGTTTGAAGACAACGTTCGCGATCTACAGACATTCTTCGCCGACAAACGAATGACGAAGAGTATCGCCCAAGCTGTTACAGCTGATGGCGCAGTGATCAGCGAGACCATTCTGGAGGAGAGCGCTGCGCACGACGATCATCATATTGCAAGCATGATCGGTGGACGAGACACAGCTGCCAATCTCAGCTCGACACAAACTGCCCCAAAGGACCTCGACAATGTCATCTTAGCTAAGCTCGCCGCAGCATATATCTCAGAAGACATTGGCTCAAATCTGGGTGAAGAACACGACCTATCTACTTCACGTACGGAGTGCGAGGTGAATCACGCCGAGGCTTCGGAATGGGCCGCCAGTCGCGCAGGTCGAGCTGGTGGTACAGACCATCGCTGTGTGGCGTGCCTCGAACCGAAGAAGCATTTCGATGTCATTGCGGCACCGTGTCAAGATGAATACTGTCGCACATGTTTGCGCGAGCTTTTCGATGCATCCTTTACGGACGAAAGCCTGTTCCCACCTCGTTGTTGTCGGCAGCCCATTTCTTTGAAAGATGTCGAGATTTTCCTCACTCGTGAGCTAAAAGAGAAGCTCGAAGAGAAGGTGGTTGAGTATAGCTCTCAGGATAGGACTTATTGTCACAAACCCGCGTGCTCAGTCTTCATCAGCACAGATTATATTACCAGTGATGTGGCCAGGTGTCCTGCATGTTCAAACTTCACCTGCTCCACATGCAAAGAGGCAGCTCATGACGATCAAGACTGCCCAAACGATACGGCCCTTCAAGGTGTACTCGATCTTGCCGAAGAACAAGGCTGGCGACGCTGCTTCTCTTGTGGGCGAATGGTTGAGCTAGATACAGGCTGCAATCATATGACGTGAGTTGAGGCTTTCAACACCTATCGTCCAGATCTAATTGAAATAGATGTGTGTGTCGGACAGAGTTCTGCTACGTATGCGGTCGTCGATGGAAAGAATGCCCATGTGATCAGTGGGACGAAAATCGTCTCTATGATAGAGCCAACGTTGTGGTTCAGCGGGATGCTCCCCGACTGGCCGGGGATAACCCAGAGCGGGTAGCAAGAGTGAACGCAGCAGCACGAATGCTTCAAGAGCGACACAATTGCACCCATGATAGCTGGAGGTGTGTGCAAGGCGAGCACCGATGTGAAGAGTGCCGTCATCACTTGTCCCAGTACATATTTGAATGCCGGAGGTGTCGTATCATGGCCTGTAACCGCTGTCGGAGAAACAGACTCTAGGTTGGGGGAATCTAAGCGAAAAAATGCCAAGTGCGCTGGAATAGAATGTTCTAGCATCACATCTCCCGTAATGTTGCTTGTTGGACTCTGCTTCCGCCAGCCTTGCGTCTTTCATATTACAGTGGTGCTGCGTAACGGCTACCTTACCAATGACGCATCAATTCCCAACTTTCAATTGCATCTGCAGTTGGCTGCAACAAGGTGCTCGTCAGTGTATCTGGTATCTACCAGACAAGGGAAGATGCTGCATGGTTAAGCTTGAAGCGAATGAGAATCAGTCGGTCCTCCAGCTCGCTGTTGCGCTCCTCCAGGGTGATCCACTCACCCCTCATGCTCAGCAGTCATTGGCACAGATAGCTGAGCGCTGCTGCTGTACCCGCCATCATCGCAACAAGATCTGGGGAAGCGGGTTGGCAGACTCTCTTGCCACCCTGTGGCAGGCTGAAATACGCGATGCGTTATTCGCTACGAGGCAAAAGCCTGCAAGCCCCGCCACTTGCAAGATCATGTCGCCGCACAATACACACAATTCTCGTGCTCCAAAGAAGGTGGCTTTCAGCAAACATTCAGTTTTGGATGGTCAAACGTTGGCCACTGCCTTACTTTCAGACATCGATCTACAGGCTCCCAAAGAGGGCATTGTCTACATCTTCACGTACACGAAAAGCTCTTTTAATGGCATGCTCAAAATTGGCTTTACCAACTCAATCGATAATCGTATGGGCTACTGGGCTGAGTGCAGTCATGGCTCCCCGTCTCTTCTCAGTCAGCACGCCAATACACGCCACCCGGAACGGGTGGAACTACTGGTTCATTTCGAATTAGTCGAGCACTGGTATGCTCTGAGGTGGTGTAATGTTCATCTCCAAGCTCACATTGAGTGGTTCAAGATTGGAGTGCTCACTGCTGACCGAATCATTCAATCCTGGGCAGCATGGATGAAGCGTGCCAATCCATATGACAGGAGGGGGCGCCTTAAACCCTTTTGGCAAGAGATCATGGAGTTCCTGGCTATCTATGAGATATCGATCACAGCTGAATTAATGATGCAAATTCAGGAAGTGGAGGAGGGCTTGTTCGACCTAACAGAACTCCTTGACGATGATGCCCTTCGCCAAGTATCCCGAAACAACGTGAAGGGGGAGCAAGCCAGCGGCAACACCAGCACGCCGACACAAATCGGTGCACAATTCCCCACCGCAATGAAGCACGAGGCTGAGTCCGTTCGGATCAAGAAAGAAATCACGGATTCGCAACCCAAATTCACGAACTAATAAGTGGCAAATTCTCACAGAGAGAGCTGTTGCAGATCGACATTGTTGTGTCAACATTGTGCTTTAGGGTAGAGGTGCGTTGCGCCTGGGCTATCATGTTGATAAGGCAAGATCTCGAAAGTCCGTAAACAGGCAAGCAAGATGACCGTTCCCACGTTGGACGCAACGGAGTGGGAACAAGTGGGCAGCAAAGAACGGCATCCAGTAACTGCGAAGGACAAATCAGCACCGGACTGCCCACACTAACACAACCGCAGCCCAAGGACCGCCTTCCGTTGAGAGGCTTCTTCATCTACGACCTTGTACGGAGTACTTACATAACATTTAGCTTAGTGGGTTGCCAGAAGATGTCGTACGCCAAGGCGCTTTCACCCGCTTAGCGAGGTGCGACTACCTGCTGGGCCTACGTACACAGTAGTCGATATGTCCAGGTTGCGGGGAAGGCGATCCCCCGCATCTGTACAAGAGTTCGCTTGTCGCCCTTGGCTTGCAGTATCCACTAGCATCGGAATTCTTCCTGCCATCGCTACGAGGCAGGTAAATGACAACCTGCGTTTTATAATGGCGCGAAGAAAGAAACCCTCTAAGCAAGCCGCACCCAAGCAAGCCGCACCCAAGCAAGCCGCATCCAAGCAAGCCGCACCCAAGCAAGCCGCACCCAAGCAAGCCGCACCCAAGCAGTCTGCTCCGAAGAAAAACTGGGCCTTGGATAAGGATTTCGATACATGTGCCGCTCGAACGTTCGATCCACTTGAGTATGTGACGGAGAAAGAACTCAATGACATCGATGCCCAACTGGCTTCAGCCCTTGCAGGAGTGGATGTGGTTCTCTTCTGGACCGGTATTGACTGGGCCTATGCTCAGAAATGGTCAGCGATATGGGGTATCAAGACGCTGACAGTCGCGATGGGACCTCTGATGGATTCAAGCAATCCCAACAGTCCCAAGGCTCAGAGAGGAAAGTCGTACTCTCGTTATGTCAAGGGTGCATCTGGTCGCTTCGCGCAGTATGCCAGTCAGCATTGCCGAGTCCTTGTCCTGACAAACCCACCACCCTGTGTTTACAGTAGCCGAGAGAACAATACCTATCAACGTCTCGAAGAGCCTATCTTGAAAGGACATTGTGGTAATGCACCCGTTCGTAGAATCGACTACCTGCATCCGACGGTCGACGGTGCAGCTCATGTCACCTACCAAGTCTGGCCATTTGATAAGACTCAAGACTGGACTGGATATTTCAGTGGATCGTCGATTAGAAAGTGGAAAGGACTAAATTGGAGCTACAAAAGTCTCGTTACCACGTCTCAGTTAAAACTGAAGCCATATGTGGAACAGGATGCTACTGCTTTTGACATTAAAGGTCATGAAAGTCGAGACCTGGATCCTCAACCAACAGCTGGAGCTTCGGTTGGTAGTGACAACGAGCGTATTGAAACGCGAATCCACAATCAAGTGGAGCGAGGAGTCGACTTTCATGAATTAGGGCTTCTGGATAAGTCCGATCGCCCGCAAACACCAGTGTACGTGATTGAAAGGTGTCTGCCGCCAGCATCATTGCTCGCAGTGCCTGTGGTCAGCATCGATGATCTTCCTGTCGGAATTGATGTAGACATCGACATTAACGAGCACGATTCCAACGAGGACTTCCTATACTTAACAGTGAAGGCTGGTGCAGAACTCAAGTGGTGGAAGTTGAGATGGGAATAAATGGAGAATTTTATAGCATTGCGAAAAATTGTGCGAGAACGCCAAGGTGACGCGCTAGCTCTCAATTGGACTCCCGAGTGCTCCATTTGCTGACAAAGTTCAATCAAATTGGTTGCTCAAATGCAAAGCCGAACTTGCAAAGAACTGTATAAGGCACCGAAACTCGCACTTCACTGTATACGGTACAATAGAAAAGGACTGTATACAGTATTAAAGAAGATTTTCTGGCGATACTGTTGGTGGAGAGAACGAAACCCGAAAACAAGCTTCAGGGGCAGATCCAGACCCCGCAGAGGACACGTGTCCTTAGCGCCGGCTGCAGCCGCGCCCCGACGCAACCATGCTGCGAACGCCAGACAGGTCGACGATCACGGTCGCACCTGCCAGCGTGGTCCCAGCACCCCGCAGCAAGCGCCCACCGGCCCCGTCAGCCAAAGCTCGCGAACTTCAAAGCGCCCAACGAACACGCCAAACCACCCGGAGCGCCAGACCTGGGGTGTCCCGCATCCAGGCCGTCGAGGATAGCGATGACGACTATGAAGAGGAAGGAGGACATGAAGACGACGCAAACACGGTCCAGCAGCTGCTCGAGCTGGTCAAAGACCTCAAGACCATCATTGAAAAGCAGAGCCAAGCAATCGAGGAGGTCCAAACGGAGGTGAAAGAGCTTAAGGAGGAGCAACAAGCTGTCAAAGAACAAAATCATGAACTAAAGGCCCAGGTCAGCACGCTCCAAGACCAGGTCAGCACCTTGGCAGCACCGCTGCCGTCAACACGGTCGTGGGCATCCGTCGCAGCAGCTCAGGATGGACAGGGAATAGCACAGCCAAGATCATTTCCCCGCGACTTTCCGCGCGCCACGGACACCGTAGATGCCCTTCACTGCACGATTAATACGTCCCGTGTGGCCGAAGTGGATACCGAGAAGATCTCCCCAGGCACGATTCGATCCATTGTTGAGAAAGAGATGCGAGCCGTCAACGAGCAAAGCACCTGGCGATGCCGGGCGGTGACCAGGGATGTGAAGAACACCCGCCGGGTGAAGATTACGTGCAGAGACGAGAACGAACAACAGATGGTCAAGCAAGTGGTCGAGACGAAACTAGCAGCAGGGGTCAGAGTCTTGAGAGACGAACTCTACCCGATCAAGGTAGACAACGTCAATCGCCAGGCGGTCCTGGATAAAACAGGAGCGGTCCGTGCAGGAGCCACCGAAAGCCTCGGACAAGAGAATGAGACCACGGTGGCGAAAGTGGCGTGGCTGAGCAAGAAGAACACGCCCAAGGCGTATGGATCCATGGTGGTGTATGTGACGAAAGCCAGTGACGCAAACCGTCTGCTGCAGGAAGGCTTCTTCCATGTTGCAGGAGAATCTGGCTACACAGGGATGTTTGAACGGCGCCCGCGTCCAGAACAATGCTTCAACTGTCAGGAACTTGGTCACAAGGCGTTCCAGTGCCAGAAGATGCAGAAATGCGCGAGGTGTGCCAACAGTGGCCACCGCCACACCGAATGCGCGGAAACCATAGTGAAGTGCGTCCCGTGTGGAGGTCCACATGAATCGTTCAGCAAAAACTGTCAGAAGCTCTACCCATCTCAACATGAATAGAAGCTTCCACATGATCCAGCTAAATGTCAGAAAACAGGCCGAAGTGCATGAGAGTCTGATGAACGACGAAGGGATACACGACGCGATAATCCTCGCGATACAGGAACCACAGGCGCATCAAATCAGGGGTCGACTTTTGACAACCCCGATGGCACATCACAAGTGGACCAAGATGGTTCCCTCGACGTACAGGGAGGGGAGATGGCCGATCCGGAGCATGCTGTGGGTGAACAGAGAGGTAGAGGCGGAGCAGATGCAGGTTGACTCCCCTGATATAACGGCGGCACTAGTGCGACTCCCAGACCGACAGGTTCTGGTGGTATCGGTCTACGTCCCACTTCACGACCCTCGGGCCTTGCATGAGGCGTGTGCCCACCTCCGGGGGGTGGTTCGCGATGCACGACGACGCTCGGGTACGACGGTGGACGTGGTGTTCGCCGGCGATTTCAACCGACACGATCAGTTGTGGGGTGGAGATGATGTGGCCCTTGAACGGCAGGGCGAAGCCGATCCAATCATCGACCTAATGAACGACCTCGCCCTCGGCAGCCTCCTGCCGCGAGGCACGAAGACATGGCGTGGAGGCGGCCACGGAGGGATGCACGAGACAACCATCGACCTCGTTCTGGCGTCCGAAGCCTTGAGCAATGCATTGATCAGATGCGCGGCACACGAGACGGACCATGGATCAGACCATCGGGCCATCGAGACAATGTTGGATCTTTCCGTTCCAGCTCTACAGCAACAGGAACGACTGCTGTTCCGTAACGCCCCATGGTCAGCTATCAATGCCAGGATCGCACACACGTTGGGGCCAACGTCGCTGTTGGGCGCGGTTCAGCCTATGACTGACAGATTGATGTCAGCGGTGCATGAAGCCGTCCACGTCCTCACACCCCTTGCGCAACCCTCGCCCTATACCAAGCGATGGTGGACAACCGACCTTACCGAGCTCCGTCGTATACACACGTACTGGAGAAACCAGGCCCGGGCGGAGCGGCGTGCCGGACAGAGGAGAGCGGAGCTGGAAGACAGGGCGAAAGAAGCGGCCAAACAATACCATGACGCCATCCGACAACAGAAGAAAAGGCACTGGGAGGAGTTTCTTGCGGATAACGACAACATCTGGAACGCCGCAAAGTATCTGAAATCGGGCGACGACGCTGCGTTCAGCAAAGTGCCGCAACTCGTGAAGACGGACGGAACCACGACCGCAGATCATGGCGAGCAGGCAGAAGAGCTGTTGACCACTTTCTTTCCGCCACTACCGAGTGACATAGAGGACGAAGGATCCAGGCCCCAGAGAGAGCCTATACACATGCCTGCCATCACCATGGAGGAGGTCGAACGACAGCTCTTTGCCGCCAAGTCATGGAAAGCACCGGGAGAAGACGGCTTACCGGCCATTGTGTGGAAGAAGACCTGGCCGGTGGTCAAGCACCACGTTCTGTCGTTATTCCGAGTATCAATGGAAGAGGGAAGGCTGCCCCGTCAGTGGCGGCACGCCAAGATCATACCACTGAGGAAGCCCGGCAAGGAGGACTATGCCGTGGCAAAAGCGTGGAGGCCAATTTCGCTCCTCGCCACACTGGGCAAGGTCTTGGAGTCGGTGGTCGCAGAAAGGATCTCGCACGCGGTGGAAAGGTACGGTCTCCTACCGACCAACCACTTTGGGGCGCGCAAACAACGGTCAGCGGAACAAGCCTTGGTGTTCCTGCAGGAACAGATCTATACCGCGTGGCGAGGCCGACGAATTCTCAGCCTTGTCAGCTTCGACGTCAAAGGTGCCTACAACGGGGTGTGTAAGGCGAGACTGCTCGAGAGGATGAAAGCCCGTGGCATACCAGAAGTGCTACTCCACTGGATAGCAGCATTCTGTTCCGACCGGACCGCAACGATCCACGTCAACGGACGGAGCCCGCCAGCCCGCGAGCTCCCACAAGCAGGCCTGCCGCAGGGCTCTCCCCTTTCTCCCATCTTGTTCCTCTTTTTCAACGCCGACCTGGTCCAGCGACGGATCGATAGCCACGGCGGGGCAATTGCGTTTGTGGATGATTTCACTGCATGGGTCACTGGGCCGACAGCAGACAGCAACCGAGACGGCATCAAGGCTATTATCGAGGACACTCTCAACTGGGAAAGAAGAAGCGGTGCGACATTCAAAGCGGAAAAGACCGCTATCGTCCACTTCACGCGCAAGCCATACAGAACGAGTACGGAGCCTTTCATTATCAAGGGACAGACAGTCACGCCCAAAGAGCATGTAAAAGTTCTTGGAGTAATCATGGATGCCAAGCTCAAGTACCGGGAACATGTGGCCAGGGCAGCGTCCAAGGGGTTGGAAGCCGCCATGATGCTGCGACGACTGAAGGGTCTCTCGACATCGACCACGCGGCAGTTGTTCACGTCCACGGTGGTGCCGACAGTGGACTACGCCTCCAGCGTCTGGATGCACGTCTTCAAGGATCGGCTGCTGGGACCGATTAATCGCGTACAGAGGACCGGAGCGCAGGCCATCATCGGCGCGTTCTCGACGGTGGCGACGTGGGTCGCTGAGGCCGAGGCGCATATCATGAGTGCGGGAGAACGCTTCTGGAGGCGCGCTGTTAAGCTGTGGACCAATATTCATACCCTACCTGACACCAATCCTCTGCGACAAAACACATCTCGCATGCGAAAGTTCCGGAAACAACATCGCTCACCGCTATATCAGGTGGCCGATGCGGTGCGAGGCATCGCGATGGAGAAGTTAGAAACCATTAACCCATGCACCTTAATGCCCTGGGAAATCCGGCTGCCCACCGTCATTGGCAAAGAGGGGTCAAGACATCTGGCGGTCGCCGGAGTCGTATACGTCGCTGTCAGCAGCTCGGCACGGAACGGCGTCGTAGGATATGGTGGAGCAATTGACATGCCCAGAACCACCTATGGGCGCGGCGAAGATACGGTCACCTCATTGTGCTCGACATTGAGCACAAGGAAGGAACAAAACCCATACTCTGGAGAGCTGGCGGCCGTGGCCGACGCTCTGAACATGCTGCCACAGGTCCGATTCCGGAGGGTGGTGTTAATGACAAGGAACAGAGCAGCGGCACTTGCGCTGGGGACGCCCCGACAACAATCTGGCCAAAGTCACATCAGCCGGGCCTATGAATCTATCAGACGACTACGAAAGCATGGGAACATGGTGACACTCCTCTGGCTCCAGCCGAACGAGGAAGTCGACCTCATGAAGCATGCCAAGGACGAGGCAAAAAGTGCCACAAGAAAGGGCTGCGTGCCACAGGCGCAGCTTCCATCGGTGCGATCAACGACTTTGGGTCTCGCGCGAACTCGCCTCAGAGAAACGAAAAGGACGCCAGAGAACGTGGGAAAGTACTCCCTGAGGATTGATAAGGCCCTGCCGGGCAAACACACACGCCAGCTCTATGACTATCTGACATACCAAGAAGCCAGTATACTCGCTCAACTTCAGACAGGCATGGCCAGAGTGAACACATATCTTCACCGAATCGGTGCTGCGGCGACAGACGAGTGTGACTGTGGGCATGCGAAGGAAACTATTGAACACTTTCTGTTTCGATGTAGCAGATGGACTCAGTATCGAGGCGAGATGATGGAGCTGACAGCCTCACGGCGAGGAAATATCTCGTTCTACCTAGGAGGAAAAACGATCATGGACGAGGAGAACTGGTCCCCCGATATGAACGCGGTTCGAGCGACCATCTGTTTTGCGATGGCTACAGGTCGACTCAACGCAAACTAACCACAGGTTCGCCGATAGCAACCTCACTCTAAAACCCTAACCCACCCTCCACCTCACCTCGTGGCACAAACAGCAGACGCCGCTTCAGCCGCCGAAGATAGGACGCTGAACACTTGGGGAATCGCCTTCAAGCCGGTCTACTAACCAATTACTAACCCATGAGATATCCGAAGCGTGTTGGATAACAAGCAAAAGAGATGGACCTATACTGTATATACTTATGGGCTTGATGGAGAGTAGGACTTTAAAGTTGGATGTGTATTATTAGACGATCGATAGTTGCCCTTTCGGCCAAGCCGCCGGGCGTTAACAAATTGTGTGTGTGTGTATAAGGCACCACTCCGAAAGTTTTCTTACATGTTTTGCTGTAGGAAAAAGCACACGAATGTGTTGGCCAATCCTTGTAGAACCACTGATAATTGCTGGGAGTTGTCTATCCAGAACGCTGTCTGTTCCGCAGCTGGGAGTGCGCTACGACATTTTAAGCCGCACTGCCGCAGAGGAGCTGCAATTTCTGCCGAACTGTTGCTAGGAAGAAACTGTAGAAGGTCCAATGCAAGGAGTAGAAATAATAGTGTTCCATCTAAGATATCAAAGTGAGGCCACGAACCCCGAGAGCTTTTGAATTTTTGGTGCTGGCCAGGATAGACTCATTTAACACCCTAAGTGGCCCTTCTGGCGCAGTCAGCACGAACACACAATGATTAGGTAAGTGGGGCATCAAGTTTTGGATTCGAATAACAAACACGCATGGCGTGCAGCAAACTCAAGTTTACTGTAGGAACTTTATGGTGCGCTTGTTTGGACAGCCGCTCCATGTGTTCAGGAATACCCTATACTACTCTAGAGTACTATATTCTACTCTTATGTTGATCGAACAGGACACCGAACTCGCGCTTGACTGTATACTATACGGCATGACTTGAGTTGATGTCGTCAGTGTACGTACATGCAGATTTGCGGATAAGACCTCGAAACTGCGACCTGCATCAACTTTGCAGCGCGCTAGTCAACTGCCCGTGTAGTACACTGAACGCCTCTTGACAACGTTCAACATTAGTGGCGGTTTTTGTCCATTGGAGTTCTAGTGTGGTTGTGCGGGCTTCCGACGCTAGCAATTCTTTTCTGCTGGATTCCAGGTTCGCTTGCAGTATCATTGTGGTCTCTGCAAGCTCTTTATGCTTGCGCTGCAGGGTGGTGTTCAACCGATCACGGGCCATCAGATCAGTTTTCAAGCCGGCCACAACTTCCCGAAGAGCCGTGTTACTCCTCCTCAGTCTTTCGACCATCGTAATGAAGGTATCTGGGCCCAAGCGATGAACTCTGGTGCTGTCTTGTGTGCCATCGGCTGTTTGGGGACATGCTTGATCAGTCTTAGGACGAGCCGGCGACATTTGATCGTCATTTGCAAGTCGCGCTCGCACTCCCAAGGATTGACCGAGTTCGCGACATACCTCCTTGTATGCCCCTGTGTTATGTTTGCTCAGCGGCTTGTCGAAGAGGTGAGTGCGTGCCGGCAAGCAGACCCATTGGTATGGATCGTCTGGTCGTGGAACCAAGCGAACTTTGTCGGCAGAGATCTTCAAGCCAAGTTCTTTCTCTGAGAAATGAGTTAGCACACGTATCGATAGAGGCCGCATTAACCTCCCAATATGTTCTGAAATGAGTTGCCGACACTTCGTGCGCCAGTAAGCACGGGTGCGACTAGCAGTCCCTGGTCGAGGTATCATTTCCGCGTCGACTCGCAGTGTACCCTAGCCAAGGTCTACAGTGACCAAAAACAGCGGTCAGGTAGGAATATTGTGCCAGGAAACGACTATTGAACTTAATCATGAGACGGGCGTTTGCATTGCTGACCTCTGATTCCGATGGCTCCCAGTTCAAGGGTCGCTGATGCTCGACACCTTCTAGTTCATGCGTTCCTGTAGCTTAGGACACCCTAGGAAGACGTGGCCACAGCAAGTATGGGCACTGGTGTCTTTGCGGCATCCCACGTATTTTTGTGAACAAGGCGGCACACTGAGCTGTTCCGAGCTATCCTGGGTAATCTCGACACGCCGGAAATATTTCCAGTACTTATGACTCACTGTACTATTGGTACAGTATGCTTGAAGTCGGACGTAACAGGAAATATGAACCATCGACAGCGGCCTGACTTGTAGTCCTCGAAGAGTACTTATCTTTTGCACTCTTGCAGATTGTTGTAACCGAGCACCTCTTCGACGGAGCACCCGCCCTCTCTTGAGAGCTGGTATCTGTTGTAGTAGATGGACCATCTGACTGAAATCGACTTACAGTCGCCTTCCTGAACCTGTGCACATAGTGCCTGCCGTCAAGTAGCACAGTGGAAGGCCTTGTGGGCCCATTATTAGAACCATCGAGCAGATCAGCATCGTCTGATAGACTTACAGGCAGTGTGCGACCTAGATCTCTCCCGTGTATGTCTTCACTCAGATCAAGATGGGCATTGTCCTGACATATCTCACGCGTCCTGCCACCATCGCCTCATGCAACTGGGCGGTAAAACAAGGTCGTGGAGATGGTGCCGAATCTCGAGATGCAGTTCTTAAGCGTTCAATTCCACCGAAACTGTTAACTCCTGGCCAGCTGACCCCAGGTAGACAAAGCCGCGGAAGCAGGAAATCGTACAAACCCGGAAGGACACCCCGTTGCTTGATGTGGTAGGACCATCAAGCGAATCATCGAGCGTTTCGTGGACCTCCGATGATCCCCCTGCAGATCTTGGGACGCGACGCTCGATTGGCGTCATCGCCACCTGCGAAGCAACACCGCTCCATGGGCGGGTGGCAAACTTACAGCACCAGCAGCAACCGTGGGTATAGGTCTGCACTTCGATGTGATTGGTCATCTCCTTTGTGAAACCCACCGGTCGCCAAGCGGCCTCAAGCCACACTCCTGTCGACCACGTGGACATCCTCGGTGGCGAGTTCAACAACACCTTGGGATGAGTCGTGTTTCGCTCTTCATCGTGGTCTTGTCTGGATTTCCGGGTTTTGGGTTGCGTGTCTTTGGTTGCTTGGGTACTCATCTTGGCCACCGCATGGGCGAAGGTGGCCTGAAAACCAGGCTCGCCCCATTGTTCAAGAGTCAGCGAGAGAGCCGGCCCGGGAAAGCAGCGTCGAAGTCGACCCTTGGTGCTCATGACAGCTTCGTTGAGGGGCGCAAGATCGAAAGCTTCTAGCTGAATGGAATTTTCAGCCCTCCTGACCAACATGCCGGCATTCTGAGCACGGATATCGAGAGCAATTATCGTCTGTGGTAATTAGTACGTGGATGGGGAGAAGATGGGTGCTCATGACGTGCCTCTCTTCGAAAGCCGTTGTAAGGCACCCAGGAGCCGATATTCACTTATGAAAGTCGTTGTGTTAGGACGCCGGAGGTCGATTATGCTCCTGACTGTCATCATAACAAAGTGAACGCCGCTCTTATACTTGTTGGGTACGAGGCCATGGAACTGTTGGAGAGCTTCTGTGATTCTGTGCAGGAGAATCATCCCGTATTCGATATCGAAGTCATCTTTCTGAGGGAGCTGGGGTTGGAGGGAAACCATGGTGGATTAGGTACATAGTGGCTGCCAAAACAGGGTTTTGGAATAGTGCGAGACCAGCCATTCTAGACAGCCTCTATTTGTTCGTCGGTTGTCGTCGGATGTTAACTGATTGCCACAACCTGAAATTCAGAAAAGACCAGATACCTTGGGGAAGGGACATATATAAAACCTTGCCAGGCACTGTTTTAGCTAGCAGCTTTCTGAACTGAACCACATCAAGTAGCGCAAACACAAGCCGAAGAGTAAATCTAGGAGGTCTCGATGGTGATAGTCGGTCTATTGGCTGGAGAGGCCCCTACAGGTTGCCCATTTGAGCTCGATGGCAGGTATCAGCCAATCATCAGTGAGTCATTCGAAAATTTTGCACAGGGCAGGAGCAATGAAGGCCGCAGAGTCGAACCCTGGAGCTGAATCAATATCGATGCTGCTAGTAGTTATCAAACTCTATTGAGTTGTCAGGTACTCAGCTGAATCACCACACCCAAAGAACCTCTTGCCAGCTGACCAATAAAGAATCACATCTGGTTCCTGTCACAAAGCGTTTGATCAACAGCTGAGTAGGAAGATCAACGAAAGTCAGTAGTCATCACGTTGACCAAGCCAATCCAAAGCTAGACAACCTTTTGCGTCCACATCAACGAGAGTGGACGGCCTTTACACATGTTAGGGACGAGCGCTTGTGACATTAGTCCCATCCACAAACTCCAGAAGAAGGAAAGGGCAAGAGCTGAGGGGACGTTTCGCGTAATTTGCGAAGACTCGTCCGGAATACCCATGGCGCACCGGACGATGCTGTTCGCAAGCCACGGCACAGACCATGAGTTACGGACCATAACTTTGGGTCGAAGGTGGGAGCCAGTCCACTCCGTAGAGCATATTGAGTGTGCGCACTGTCTGCGCCAACTTGTTGCCGATTTATTTCAACCCGGCGTTTTCGCGGGTGCGGTGGCTGATTCCCTCGCACATCACGCCCCTGGTATGTTCCTGCTCTTCTAAATGTCCCTCAATCGGGACCGGCGCAGAATCTCGGGTCGTTGGGCGTGCTGGCGCTTTCTTGGGGTTCCGTCTGGTTCCCACTTGCGGCACGAGGATGTCCGTCAATACCACTCTTTGTTGGATGTCCTGGGGAGGCCAAATCGTTTGGACTGGACGCGCTGATGGTTGTAGGACTTCAAGGTGCCGCTACACTGGAGGCGTTTGTATCTTTCCCTTTCAAATTTGCTGTAGTTGTAATGGATGGCTCCTCTGGGTTCGGGCATCGCATGTAGATCAGGATCTCATTTAGCTCCACGGAGAAAGTCGCCTCCAATATAGAGCAAATCCGGACCTCTGAGACTTATAATTTGCAGACTTTCGGCTTCTATTCTTTCGACGACATGGGGGTGCTATACCTGAAGTAAGATTCGGTCACTTTCGTTAAGACTCTGTACCGTACCTCCTGCTTGAAGTACAGACCCATAAAATTCCCAAGCATCACTGTACTATGTTTCACATCGCCATGTTCTATTCCTTTACAACATAAGAACGCCTTATCGTCCATCTATCACTTACACCGAGGAACATCGTTGATCCATAATATGATATATAAAGAATAAATTCGTAGCGTCGCCAAATCATCATACTTGTGTACAATTGCGACTTAGATAACGAACTTCTAAGGACGATGGACTGCCGTTGTCTATCAACGGTGTGACTTTAAGATGCCAGAGGTTTCAACACAGAGTTCCAATGAGACCGTACTGCTCCTTCACGTCGTCGGGGGAACTTCTTTAGTATAGTGGACCACGGAGTGCCTGCTTCTACCAACCTCGTCAGACGCAGATCCTCACTCAGCGTCCACCCACCACGTTTCATCTTGATAGGGGGGGAGCTGGAAACGCTTTCATCATCTGTTTCGCTATGCGAGTCATCGCTCACAGTAAGTTGGAGTCTCGCCTGCTTGCGCCGATCCGGATGATTATGGTGCTCAGTAGGATCAGCGCTATGTTTTTCGGACTCTGCGTCGCTTTCGGAGGGAGGTGGCCTTCTTCTCCGCTTCAGTTGAGATCTTCGCTGCCACGAACACTTTCTGCCGGGCGGGGAGCGGGTGGCATCGTTGGTAGCACCATTAGACATCTTTGCCATGAGCAGCCATGTTTGATCTCCTAAGGGTCTGATATTCATGATGGTAAAGGTTTCGGAAGATAGGCTAGGAGGAAGATTCCAAGGCGTCACCGACTTGGAGAGATTGGTAAGCTGTGTCGCATCGTGTACAACAGCAGTCAAGATCGATGTGTCATCTGGCGATAACGGGTGAAGGCTAACGAACGACGATGTGGGACTGGATGCGGGCATGGCGTCTGTGACAGAGATCGGTTCCAACGCTGCAGGTAGTGGCACTGCTTCGCTGGGGGTTTGATGAGTGGGTGATTGTTCTTCATTTGCACATTTGCATGGAGACGAGACTTGTGTTATCAGTTTGTGGTCGAATGTTTGGACACTTGTCTCTGTGGGACGCTTCTGGCTTCCCTTCTGCTCCCAATAGTAGCTTTCAGTAGTAGGTGTGGTGGACCTTTGGAGCGCCACCTTTTTACATGGTCTGAGCCATGGCTTATCAGGAGCCCGGATTCGACGGCACTCTTCGAGGCATGATGAATCGTTGCCACAGTAGACTGAGGGTGCCACGGAGCCGGGGAACGACCAACGTCGTGCAGAGCCCATGCAATTGTGAAGATGCGCGTTTTTTTCGTTCGAGCCTATCGTCTCTTGCGTCGCGCCGTAATCGACGGCTGGGGTCTTTGTCTTTCCTGTCTTCTCTACGCAGGTTTCGGCCTGCGTTTCCGGTATTTCAAATGAAGAATTGATGTCCAAGATGGGTTCCTGAGAATTGTGCCCCAGTGCTGGACAATCAAGTGACCTCATAGTGGTCTCAGATCCGTATCGAAGGCTGCCACCGTCCTTATCCTCGCCGTCGCCCTTACCACCGCAATCGAAATTTCCACACTTGGAATAGATCGTGTTAAGTTGCTCGTTTATAACAGCCGGATCGCAGGCGTTGTCACGAGGAGCAGCGTCCGCGCAAAACTTAACCGGAGTTGGGAGATTGTCGTCGGTATCATCTACATTCTCATGGATCAAGGCTTGGGTGTGAGCTACGTTGACTATCAGAGTCAGCTAAATAAATTGCGCTGGAAGGATACGACTCACCACTAGAGCTCTCTTCGGTCGATATTTTCAAGTCTAGCGGGCGCGGTGAGCCCTGGAATGGCACCGTATCTGGATAGTTGATCTGAACGGTAGTGCTGAAGGGAACCTTATCTTGAGGTTGTGCCAGCCATAGGTTTTCATCCACACTGGAGAGTCCAGTGTCTACAGACTCGACCGGATCATCCTGATTCATGATCTTCTTTGACCTCACGGGTGGAGGGCCCTGATAAAAGCAGATGTTGTTCATGAGGACTTTCGCGCGGCGGATTGACTGCGTCCGAGATTTCTTGGCGCTGGATCAGGCGAAATGATCAAAGGAGCAGTCAGACCAATTGGGATTTGGTCTTATATATGCCAGCTACACTGGAAAGTTACTGCTACAGGCCTGCCGGGATTGCCTCACCGTACATTAGCGGCTGTGGGCATGGGACGTGAGCCACAGTCCGATGCAGCTGCTACGGCTCGGCGCTAGAGTATCCCCGAATGACGCGCTGGTTTGACGTACAGTCACATGAGACGCTATCACACCTTGATAATGTGGTAGAGACTTGCAATTGAAGCGAGCTACCACTCATCGGCAACCTCGACTTCGTGGTCCTATGAGAATTTGTTGAACAACCAACGACCGAATCCAAATCTGTGGAGGTCGATCGGTTTTATTTTATTTCAGAGCGTGCGAGATGGATTATAGAGCGCCGCCAGTCTGATGTGAGGAGATATTTAAGAGTACTGAATCCGGCAAGTGTAGCAGAACGCAGCTTCACATGAGTGCGATTGGCACATATGGCATTGTCAGCCTGTCTTTCGGCAGGCCCGACTTCATGTCGGTCACGATGCCAGAACAAACACAACTTTTTGGAAGGCTATTGAGCACCACTTCCCACTCTTCGTACGCAACGGCTCCATCGTGGGTGAGGATGAGCACTTTCCCGCCCGCAACGATTTGCATTACCTGAAACGCATGCATCTGCTCAATCATCGCTGGAGGAAGGGATATCATCTGGAAAAGCTCGACTAAGAGCGGAGCACCTGCGAGCTCTGCACCAAGTCGTGCGTTTCGCCGACGCGTGCATGACCGGCACGTCGTGAGCAGCAAAGTCGCGTGACCAGGTTTGATCAAAGGTCCTGCGGCGGAGAGATCACATGCCTTGCCAAAGCGGACTAGCAATGTCTCGATACATCCATGACAGAGGAGAAATACCTTCTCCGCCAGATGCGATTCGTCTTCGGTGGACAGTGTCTCGGTGGATTTGTCGTGTGATAGGTCGCGGCTGAGATCGAGATCTGTGGTTTCGCTCGTCTGACTTAGGGAAACACCGTCTTGCGCACGGCCGTAGCTTCTTCGCCCCTTGTTTAGGGGGGATGCTTCCCAATGAAGAGATGTATGCTCCGACATGATGAGAGTGGTGTTATTCGACCAGATCAGTCACGAATGGCACGGAGCGGAGTTTAAGTTCTCCGGGACAGGTGTTCACTTCGGCATTGGTGGTAGTTGTCGACCTCAAGTTTCGCTGGCACGTCGATAGCATGGAAGTTTCAAAGGGGCGTCCTCAATGGCAGCCACAAATCTCTGCGGTGCTGGCCCAAACGACGTCCAGCGCAACACATGTCAGCTTGGTAGTCAGATCCCTTGTATGGCCTTTCATACTCATGGCCAACGGTCACCTGAAAATGATCGCGGAGACTCTGGTGAGTCTGACGCAGCTCTTTAGGGAGCCTGAGCAAAGACTCGACCATCTGAGGTGTATTCCTGACCATGACGTTACCGGACATCCTCTGTGCACACTGCGTTCTCGTTCTTACTTGTTTTGGTCTACTCGTCAAGGCCCATAGTTGGGTCGAGGAAATCGCCATTATCAGCCCCGATGGCAGTTTGAGCCAAGTGCGAGGATATGCTCGCCAGCATGGTGCGTGACCGACCTATGGCTCAACAAAGCTGACGATGGCAGTGTTCCGTTTGCCGGGCGCAGACGTGGATCGAGCAATGACCTACCAAATCCCCTCCAATCCGAACTTGTTCGTCAATGCTTCTGACAACATCTGCAGCGATCGCCAGAGCGCACCCGACCCTGTTACGGCTTTCCACGTGAGAGCTGGTGATGCAATCGTCCTTCGATATCAAGAAAATGGCCACATCACGTTGCCCGAGGTCAATCCCGGAAAGCCAAATTCAGGGTCTGTGTTTGTCTATGGCACATGGCAACCAAGTAGCTCAGAGAAGCTTCGAAGTGTGCACCATGTCTGGCTTGCACCAAATGTGACTGGCCAGCGCGGGTTCCTTATTGGCACAGCATTGTTCGACGATGGCCGCTGCCATCAAGTCAACAATGGAACAATATCACGGCAGCGACAAGCGGCGTTTCCACATCCACCCACGCCTCCAGAAGGTGTCAATGTTTGGTGCGGCACAAATATCACCGTTCCAGGCAGACGTCGATGCACCTCGACCGATAATCCATCGTTGGACCTGCTCAGTGTGTACTGGGTCTGGGACTGGCCAGGAACAGCGGACAACGCATCTTCGGAGCAATATTATACAACCTGTCTGGATCTCTGGGTGTCGAGTTCAGAATGAAGGCAACGTATGACGCGGCCATCACAGCTGTCGTCATGGCACCAGAGGGCTTCCGGCATTGTCGTCAGGCACGAGGCAACAGAAGAGTCAGTCGTTGGTTAAAACACCAGTGGAAGAAAGTGCATTCTAAGATAGTGGTAAGTAGTTAAAAGTAGACAATTCCAGCCGCTACGCCAAAATCCTGGTTGTTTGTCTGCCTCTGAACGAAGTGTAGAAAGCCCGCCGCAAACATCGAACAAGAGCTTGACATTTCATCAAGTCCCGTTGTACTCATTGATACAGAGATGTGCGAGTCCGGTGTCCTGTCCAAGCAGCATGAAGTATTTCTGAAGTCAGTGGAGTAGATCCACCTTGCGATGCGCTTTGCCGTTTGTATTTAGGATAAGTGTACCTAAAGCCAATCATCATCTCAGTCTCTGGTACGCTACATTTACCATACGTCTAGCAAAGCGTCATTTAAGGTTGGACGACAATCTTCATTCCGCGGCCGGCTTACACTTCAGCTCAACCAGTCTGTGAGACCCCTATAGTTTGCGGCATCCGCTCAGGCCATCCCACGAAACTCCGGGTGTGTATCATCGGACCCAAGGCGAAACCGATTCTGTGCCCTGCATGTCCTGTTTGACATTTAAAGAGTATAAGAATGAGCATCGTGACGGCATGTTGGATCCATCGACGATGAGTGGGTGCCACGAGCAAATGCAGAAGACCTGAAGAGTACGCGGCTAGACTCAAAGAATAAGTACGGTTAGATACAAAACCCTGGGAACTCCGGCAGCGATTCCCAATGCACCATAAAGGAGCTTCGTTAAATCCCGCCATCTGAGCCACAGATTTTGGACACGAACCGGTCAAGGCAAGTCCCGGCTCACTTGAATCGAACGCATGAAGAGCGGAAAAGACTGGGATTCAAAAGATTCAAGCTCTCAGGCAGAGAGGCCGATTTATCAACCAAAAGGTGATATATCGACTTTGCGAAGCGTGAATTTTGCTTCGACGTCCCAAACTGGCTTTATCGCCATCGATCGAGTACACCAATCAGTAATAGCCACCTATGAGGTAATTAGACAAAGTTACCAATCTAAAAGCAACCACTTACCCACTCCTTGTGCTGGGCAATCAAGCGCTCGCTAGGGTCAAAGAGCAAGGCTAAGGAAAAGAAATTGAATGTGGATGACAGCCTAAATCGTCGGCCGCTTTCGTTCCAGACGTCAACAATCGATTGCAACTTGCCCTTATGTGGCTGCCGGCCCAAACGATCAAAGCCACTCGCAAATCTTGAATTCTGAAGGAAAGCAAGCCCAGCGTCGTTTGGTGATCCGGTGGACCTCTCAGTATAGGCACGCATATCGCTAAGCATATGGCCAAGGTCAACCTCGACTGCCTGGAGCTCAGTCATGCACTGGAGGAGAGACCGAATATCAGCCACACGTCGCACATGACGTAAACGAAGTCGGATACGTCGTAAGGCTGGAAGACACCCGCGCTCAAATCTCTGTCGCAGATCCGCATCAGCGAGTTGCGATATCTTCGAGACGTCAACGACTGCAAAACGAAGCAACATCGGACGAGCTTCGGATAACCACTGCCTCGAAGCGAAAATTGCAGAGATGTTGTGTGAACGATTTCTGGATTGCGGTTTGTGGCATATTTTTGGTTGGATAGAATGAAACAGGACCCGGAAGATTTCACACCTGATCTCGACAGGAAGGTCGTCGAAACGAGCCATGAGGCTCTTTGCGTTACTCAATTTTCAGGTGCGATGAACTCTGGCTTATGGACGTTGAACGAAATGGAAAGACCGAGGCCGTATGAAGTGAAAATAAAGCCTTTGGGCCAAAAAGGGGTTGGAGAAGATTCAAATGACGAAAGGTATCCACGTACAATCACGACGCTGGCACCTCATCTCAGGAAGATTTATTGGTCAGATATATAGTTTTGGTCTTACCACCTCGAGGCAAGTCGCATCCACTATGGGATTGCCAGCGGAAGTCTCCTTGTTCTGTGGGTGAAGACATCAGTAAGTTACTGCAAAGACATCTAGCGATTTGACATGACTGTTGGCAACATTTCTGACCTGTCTCTCCTATAATATCTGATCTTCAAAGCGTCTTCGAATGATCTGCGATCATGTTTTGCGCACTTAATTCCAACCAGTTCTTCTCTGCGCCAGTGAGCGTGCGTAAGTGATCTTGCAAAAGGCGGTCCAACTCGTCGCTCAGCGCCAGCCATTGCTCATCGTGCTCGCCGTCCAGCTCAGGGCGCAGGTAATAGTTCAAAATCATCTGCTGGAGGACAGACTTGACGCCCAAGACGAGCGCATCCGTAGCACTGTAGACAGTACGGAAGAATTGTATCTCCCGGCGGTATCCCCCCAGTGTACGTGCCATGTCCAAAATTCGTTCCTCGTGATTGAGCCGCATGAGTCCTTTTGATTTCTTCAGTCGCTCTGCCTGTACTCCTAGTGCGAATGTGTCTGAGCCCATTTCCGCATGCGCATAATCAAAGTGCCAAAGGCGCGGAAGTTCGCCCTTTGCGGATGCGTACGACGTCAACATTTGAAGCTGCTACTATGCCGGACAGAGGTTCGAAGCGATCGATCCATCTTAGAGATCAGAAATATCCCGCCACACTGCATCCCGTGGTCTGATAATTCCATCATGATTGCATCTGATTGGTTGAACTTTCATACCACTCAATGTAGTTGGTTCGGCGACAGCTGCAGCCTCTGGTGATGGTGGTATCTTTTCCGTCTGGCTGACTTCATGAGTCGCGCGTGGTCTTAAGGTTCAGGAAGATCAAGCTGAAAATGGCTGACCAACAGCCACCTATGCTTCACGTGTCCGATGCCACGTTGCATGCGAGCCGCCAGCGAGCGTTCCTTGGGACGTTTCGCATACGGCTAGACAATATCCAGCTTCCCGAATTGTCCCGCCAAGACGGGATTCACGTCAAGCAGTTGCAAGCCGTCCTCCGGACGGAAGAGTGCTTGCGACTCGATCCTGTCAACTTTATTGAGGCCACCATTCCTCGTACAACTTGGAGCTTCGCAAGAGTGCCGGCGCAACAACATGTCCATACTCCCCTTTCAATTCCAGAACTGACTCTGGCATTGCATGAAAGCGTGTCCTGTGTCAGAGGAAAATGCCGAATCGCAGCCGCAAAGCAAATCTTGGAGGCGGCAGATCGATGGTGGACAGTCAACCTGTACCGTGTTGGTAGGACCCCTCCTCCGCACAAGATCGTTGGTCCCCCACCGCTTACTGTGTGCATAGAAGAAGCAAGCTCTATCATCGAGCATTGGCGATGCTGGTACTCGCACGAACAAAATCCCTCGCGGGGTTTAACGTATCTGCGGGCGCGGTCGTACTGCCGGGACCATGACAAGGACAAAGAGTCCCGAGCTCTAAAGAATCTGACACCTCACATGGAGAGAGTGACCAAACGATTGTGGAAGCATCATGCTCAGCTGGCTACCGGATTTGATCAGTGCGCGAGCTGGCACAGACTGTGGCGTACGGTCAATCTTGGCGTCTTGCACAAGATTATAGCGTCCAAATGTGACGAGGTAGGCTAGTTTCGTGTTCAGTGGAGTCAGGTGCTGACCCCGGCCAGGAGCATGTGAGGTACCTCGATGCGGTAGCTGCCTTTTGGCGCACTGTGAGCGCAGATGGTCGCATTGACGTGGATGAAGCCGTCATACAAGCCCTGGAGGGGCGATGCCCCTACTTCTCCGAAAACGATCGGCGCCACTTGCAAGCACTGCGAGAGGCCAACCATTTTGGTGCTCTCATGACTGATGAAGACAAGGCTCACGTTGTATTCCACGCCACACAGTATCCAATGACGATTCCATCGTTACTCACCTTTTTTGAGGACCACAAGTATATTGCTATATGCAGCAAGGCCCTCCGACGTCTGCTGGGCGAGAATAAGCTGGCCAGAGGAGTGACTGTCCGCACGTACTTTGCGGAGATATACGACTTCCGCGACATGATCACGGTCCAGACAGGCGCCACATCGTTCATTTCCCTGCCGTGGAATGTTGGAGACGATGCCTTCAGCTGGGCGTATTCGCAGCTGTGGCTGTGCTCCATGAGACTGTGGCCCTTCATTCTAGAAGAGAAGCCTCGTAAGGCAGACAAAGGTATTCCGAGTCCGTTTCATGGCGTCGATCCTGGCCCACCGCTGGCAGAGTTGGCACGAACTGCGCAAGGTTTGGGATTTTGCTCCGCCACAATTGACGCCATGGTGAGCTCTGGCCCAGTAGGTCATTTTGAGCATCAGGTACAAGGTGGCTCCATCGAACAGGCCGAAAATAAGGAACTCCGATTCGCAGAGCGTTGTGGAATACCATTTGACGTCGCTGTCAGCGCACGCGCCAACGACTTGTTCATCACCAAGCTGCTTGACCCAGAGCTGGTTCCTAGTGCTGAAGTATCGCAGCTCTTTGTCACGAGGGTTTTCTTCCAGCGACTATTTCCAGAGAGCGAGAGAATCAACACGGCGATTTTGAATACTCATCCTCGACTCAGAGAATGACACAAGTATTAGTTAGGCTGACAATTAACATCGTCATAACTTGTTTTGCTCGAAGTCGTACAATACGAGTGCTCTAGCCAATGCTGGTATTGCAAGATACGAGCTTGCACCAGCTTGGAGTGGAGTGACATAATGGTCTTGATATCATGCCTTTATGTACTGTTCCGAACCATTGCAGTGTGAGTGTTTCTCTCACGGACGACTCGAGGAGCGAATTGGGGTGTATGAAAAAGACACTGCCGATCTCAATGTGCGGCGCTCGACTGTTCCAGATTAGAAAAACTACCATTCAGTAGCTTGACACTATTTTTGAGATATGTCCTGGGACGTTGACCAGACGTCCCAGGAACAAGGAGTCAGCCAAGCCGCGTCAGCTCAGCCCTGCAGATCGTCCCTATATCTCCTCAGCTTATTCCCACTTCTTACCGGTTTCCTCTGAGTTGTGAATCTACCCGACATCAACATGGCTCGGATTAAGCAAACGGTGAGTTGACTTAACAGTAGTGTGAGTATGCTGACCGTCATAGGCTAGAAAATCTATAGCCAGAAAAGCACCACGACCGCTTCCTCCCGGTTACAGTGGCAAGAGCTTGACGGTGAAAGGTTCTCTCGTGGGAGGTAAGCGACCATGCAGAGTTCACTCATAACATCCTCACCATTGTTAGTCACCAAGCGTCGCCATCGATATCGTCCGGGAACCGTTGCGCTGCGGGAGATTCGGCGATACCAGGTGAGTTGCCTATGGCAAGCAGCATGGATATCCACGTACTGAGACCGACAGAAATCCACAGACCTTCTGATCCGGAAGCTCCCTTTCCAACGCCTAGTCCGCGAGATAGCACATGACTTGCGGTCTGACCTCCGATTTCAATCCTCGGCAATTCTAGCGCTACAGGAATCGACTGAGGCGTTTTTGGCTGGCATTTTTGCCGATACAAACTTGTGTGCTGTCCACGCCAGGCGAGTGACAATTCAGCCGAAAGATATGCAACTGGCACGCCGACTGAGAGGCTTGCCTTCTAGCACCTAACAAGAGCGCTATCAGTCAGGTTCATTTACAAGAGAGCTTGCGGTATAATTTCCGACTCCATCTAGAGGTATTTATGTAGTGGGCGTGTCTAAGGTCACGAATCGATACTGTTGCCATGAACCAATTCTCTGATGAAGGTAGAGGCACAGCAGCCATTGCAGTACAACGCCACTGTAAGCCACCAAGTGCATTGGTCTGCTCACAAGATGATACGAGGTTGCCGAAAGATTTGCGCTTGTGCAGAACTGGTAAAAGCAGGCTAGTCTGATTACGCATCGCTGCCAGTGCGCTCGACAAAGTGAGTGACCACCGTGGCGACCTGACCGCTTTAGAGGCCCAGTCTACCCTCACAAAGTCGTTGAGTGCCGTGTTTCAGCTTCTGCAAGTCTGTCGTCATCTCGTCACGAAGGGAATGTTCATTGGCTCCTTGACTGTACCACAAGGAATGGTGGGGGGTTTCTCAGGGTCGAGATGATTTTCCACCTGGTTACCTTTTCTCTCCCCCAAGTGATATGGTTGATGGCTCTGGCGTAACTAGTGAGAACTCTATGTTTGAGGTTGGTCCGTCGACTCTAGGACCTAAAATCCCATTCGTGAACGCAAGTTGCTAACGAATTCATTCGATGTCCTAAAACCCCAGACCGCGATTTCATCTGACTGTCATTATTCGACATTTATACAGTGCGACCCTTCGACCAATCTTTGGGAAGTCGACTCTTCTTTCTGTGCTCTTACTCTCAACAGTCTTGTCCTCTGCTGTCAGCGGAGGGGAAAAGCGGTTACATTCTCTCTTGCAGTCAACAAGACTTTCTTCAGCGCCCGCATCATGAGCAGACGCAGGCCATATCTGACAACAGGTGCAGCATTCGCTCTTTCGACTGTCGCCCTTGTCCTCTCGTTCATATGCGTTTTTGCAGGGTCATCTCCCCACTTTCTGCCGGACATGTATCTCCTGACGGTATAGATGCGATACAGAGCGTTTTCGTCCTACCAAGCTGACAGCTTTTAGTTTGAGGTTTTTGAAGTCACTGCTAGCCCAATTTTTCACGTTCGGCGGGAGCAAGGAGTATATGTCAAACCTCATCAAGACCACAGCCAGCTCTCCCCACAGGATCGCACCGAGACTAGAGACTTCTACTCCATATTCATCCTCAACTACTGCAAAGGTATATTGCGGCGCGATTCAAAGGTACACCAGAGAAATGTCACCCATTGTCCTACCAGTGCGGGCTTTGCGTACATGAGCCCGTCAAGAATTATCGCCGAAAATCACGGCCTCAAACCCGATTGCGACCTGGAATGGGCATTCGACCAAGACGCGGTCAGGACTATGTTTATCTTCTATGCTGTGGGAATAGGCATTCTCGGTTTACAAACGGTGGCGGCTGCGGTATTGATTGCGTTTCGTCAAGATATCCCGCGCTTGCCAGTAGTCATGATCGATGGAGTGAGTATCTCATCCTGCTGATGAAGATCAGTGCTAACCGTAGACTCGGCTGCCTTCCTTTCGATGGCTATCGCCTCTTCCCTGGCCACCAGTGTGGGTATACGTGCGAATACAGCCCTGAATCAGCAGCACGTGGCCACGGGCGCTCAGTCCTTGCTGGGCACAACGTTCCTAGTTTTGACTTGGTCGTCTAGCGGATGTAGCCTCCTTGGATCTCTGCTCGGATTCTTTTGAATCTTTTTCCGAACAGCACTTTCCGTAGTACAAGAACATGCAGGCACTAGAAGATAGGAGCACATCTAAACATTAGGTAGCCCGAATTTAGGTGATTTGACGCGAGCATTTCGCGTCGTGATACACCTGCTAGAACATGCCGCGACTAGTCATAACAAATCCATAACACCAAAAAGTAGTGGAGCCGCGTCGTCAGCGAGACACAAGCAAAACGCGCCTGTACTCCTACAAAGTTATGGTGATATCGATATGCCGAGGAATCTTATATTGGGCCAGATCATTCTCACTCAGGTATAGACCAGTGGTGCAATAGGACACACCAATGACTAGAATGGTCCAGCCCATCAATACAACTGGGCTGTCCCAGTATCAGAAGTGGTCTACACCAGTCTGCTGAATGGGCTGCCGCACATGAAAAGTGGCCTATCCCAGTTGGCAGGACACAACCATTATACTATATACATTTTTCTGGGACGTCCACTGGTGAGATCGTCGCCAGGGCGTTTGCGACCAGGATGCAAAGACATGTACGCACTCTTACAAGTCCGGTCGTCTGGAATCAGAAATACAGAATTGCTCTCGTCCGAGAGAGCAGAAACGATGAAAGTCCGCGTACACAGTGAGCGCAGCTGGCGGGTGTAGAGCAAGAGACCCCGACGCACATATGCTCCGGCTGCAAGCTTTGCTTTGCGGTCATTCGTGTTCGAGACTGCTACTTGTTCCAGCACCTCCGGTCGCCTGCCAGCAAGTGAAATGAACGTCAAGATTTGAGCAGAGTCGTCGCCCGAGCCCAAAAGCTCGTCCTCATCCGACCACACGCTCCCCGTGTCATCTGCACGAATCAAAGGCCCTGGATCAACTGGTGTCTCTGATGGTTGAGAATAGTGACTTGATGAAATTGTGCTGTAGGACGGCCGGCGGAGGCTACGATCGCCGTGCTCGTCGGCACCATATGTTTGACGATCGGCTTCAGGAGAATTACCTGCAGCCGTCGACAATGACTGGATGCCCTCAGGTGGGTCTAGTTGCACGGCTCCAACGTCTAAGGACATTGCACTTCGATTATTGGATGTCGGAACATCCAGATTCGCGGCTCGACCGAAGAATGACCAGAAGATGTCCCTCTGGACGAAGAACGACGTTGGTTCGCCTTGCGAGATTCCCATTTCCCTGTAGACATTTTCGTACGTCAGGAGTCTGGCGCTCTGTCTGTAGGCTTCATTGTAGGGCCGACCGGCCCGACGAGACCGGTCTTCACCGTCTTCACTTGTGGTAAGGCACGGCCGATCCTGTGCGGCCTCTTTCTTTGTCACCTGCTCTAGAACGGCCATCACTTGATCGACGAGCGTCTCGAATTCTGTCCCAACATACTCAAAGCCCTCTGGATCCCGCACCTTTTGCAAAAAGGAAGAAGCCGCCACCCTGTCGGGGTCCCGCAGACGAAGTTTTTCGATGTTGTCCGATCGAAAACCGAAACGATGTGCTTCTTGGGCAAGGCTATGCCACGCCCGGGGGTCTTCCGGGGTTGCCTCGCGTTTCTTGGATCTTTCCAGCATGACCGAACCGGGCTTCAAGGACTCTATCTGTCTCATCGTTGCTAAGACGAGACACCGGTAGCTTTTCTCAAAGCCAGACACATACTCTATCGTACAGGTGTTCGCTGGAACGTCATCGTCAGTCAACGAGAAGGCTGCCCTGTATGCTTCCCGTACCGACTGCCGCCGGACCGGTTTCACCAAAGACTTCAGACAATCTGCCAGACATTCCAGATATATCACATCTCTGAAAAACAATCGCAAACTGGGGATGCGACGGGGGAACAAAATCAACCTCTGCCAGATTCGGTCTCGCTCCACGCGGGTAAAATATCCGAAGAGGGACCCTGCTTCAACAGCAGGCTTCAGGATTGCTTCGTCGGATCTGGACAACGCCGGGACTCGAGCCTCGAGGCTCTCCATTGTATGAGAGTCGATCTTACCCAAGTCTGACTCATCAGAACCCACTAGCATGGTCCATGAATCATAGACGTGACCCAGGTATCGTATGATCTCCTCATCACATTTAAGTCTCAGAATACTTCCCACAGAGCCAGCAAGCATTCCTCTTCCACTGGCAACTATCTTGGAAAGAGTCCGGAAAGGCGAGTTGAGTCTCGTACGTGCAATGAGTCTCCTCAATTCGGCTCGTTCATGTGCTGATTGTATTTGAGCCCACCATATATCCAAGGCTCGCTCATCATCAGGGTCGCACCGCAGGATGTGAAAATAGACCTCCCCCGGGCTGATCGGCTGCTCATTGGAGGTTTGAGTTGTCAGATGTCTCTTCAATTCGTTACTCAAGTCTGAACGTTATCCCTTGAATCAATGTGTGGAGCTTGGATCACTTACTTTTAGAGTAGAAGTCGACAACCCACCAGCGCAAGCCAGGGCGTAGATATGCTCTCGCCGCGTCGATGCGATGTTTTCCTCTTAGGCATTCTACCTGTGATTGTGCTGTAAATGAAAGCATTGGCCACTGTGTATGATCGCGGCCCTGTGCCATGTCATAGGTCGAGCCCGCCCTTGATAATGCCTCCGCAAGATCGTTCTCATCGATGACGGCTGGGATATGGTGACTGGACTCGAATTGGAGACACCCGGTCAACTCGTATGACGACAAGAGGCGTTCAGAATTCTGGTGGTGGATGTCTCTCGAGAAAAATGGATCGAAGCTGAGTGAATCGATGTCAACTTTGGCAGAACCCAAGAAATATTCTCGCTTATCAGCCTCAAGCTGTGCGCCAAAATACAACGCGGCATACTGCTGATGTCTCGCAATTCGACGCTTGCCATCCATTGCGGCCTGAAGTGCGTTCGCCTTCTCTCGTATATCGTACGGTTGAAAATGATATAGCTCGAAAGGTCGGGTGTCTCGATTCCACAATGACATATGGCATTGCATAGCATAGGTATGTTCGTTTGCACTATACGACGGCAGGATAGGGGACGACCCTGCCTGATGTCGCCACACCATTCGGGAGGATATTCTGACGTCATAGGACCGATGGACCATAAGTACTGATGGCTTTTGTTACGCAGCACGGTCCACCTAGTGACATACCTTCAGACTATGTTGGTATGGCGAAAGCCACGTACTTGAGGGTCGGTTTCGGCCTCGAAACGTGTCAGCGATGTCCCAAAGTTTCACCGTGTTCATTGTACTGTATAAGCAAAGCTCCAACGAGATCCGGTCATTTGCCAGAGCTAACCAACGTCTTTCTGTTCCACAAAGATATGTCTTAGTGCGGCGGTAACTTTACCTCAATTCTGTCTGAGTTATGTCCCAGCGAGAAGTGGCCGATCCGGGCTCAGACCGACGCCTCACGCAGATCGAGAACTGGCCACAGGCTGAAAATGTTGGTGATGGGGCCAGGCCAGAGATGCTCTGGCCCGGTCAGGCGCAAGACGAGCATACGCTCCGTCCAGATGTAGGGTCGGAAGAGCCAATCACACCTCCGAGAAAGCGGAACCGAAAACGAAAGCACGGAGAACGACTACCAGTACAGAACGCGACGGCGACAGTTCCACAACGGCCTGGATCGGTGTGGGCAGTTTATGAAAAGCGATTCACGATCGAATTCGATATGGTGGTACCCATTGTCGAGAAGAAGGATGGAACTCCAGGCCTGTGGACAGTTCGTAAAACATCGACAGAGATGCTGGATCGCAAGTTCCGGCTTCTCAATCAGTTTCAGGATGCATCGATGTTTGTCAGAATCATCGAAGTTTTCCTCGCAGACGATACGATGGACATGGTTTGTGAACGTATGGAGCTTTCACTTTTGCATATTGCTGAAGCGCCCTTGTTTCCACAGGAGTTGCACCTCGCAGCTATTGCCGGCCAGGAAAGAACGTCCTCAAGAGCATGCCAGGGTCGAACTGACGTTCATAGGTCACACGTGGACTCCGATTTCTCCATCAGTATCATTTGGTACATGGTAACTTGACTCTTTCCAACGTTCTGGTCAATCCACAGGGTGAAGTCAAGATAGGTTAGTCGACCACACCAATTGCGTAAGACGAGATGGCTGAGACGATAAAGCTGGTATCGAAGATTGTCAACGTGAGGGCGACGGCCCTAAACAGTGTCTTCATGATATACACCAGATATGTGATATCGTCATGTATCTAGCAACGAAGACCGATGACGACGATCGGAGGCCTGACGTCACTCGCTATTCGTCGGCCGTACTGGACTTTGTCTCGCCAGCGCCTTCTGCCACGGCTTCTGATCTATGCCGAGTACGTGACAGCACCTGCTCAGAGTCTCTCGTCCCCGGCTAACAGCGCTCAGCACCGGCTGCTCCAAACTTCGTGGTCCACGAACGATCTCGTCTGGCTGGTCAACTTTGCGACCCGGACAGCCATGCAGTGGCTCGTCCTCCCACTACAAAAGTTTCCTATGGAAGGAGCATAAGGGTCACTGTAGGTCAGGAATGGCGGCATCGGGTTCGAGCATGTGGTCCTTCGCTTTATCTTCACCATGATGATCGTGCTAGTGCCATTGCGAGGTTCACATAGGACTGTAAATGGTCTCGGACCCGTATCCAGCCGCGACTCCCATCTCGTGGTGCCTTTCGCCAAAGGATGGCTACGACACAAGCTGATTATGATGTGGCAAGAGGAATGAGGCATCATCTGAGCACAATTGATACTACGTGTACATTGATGTATTGAGTTCCTCACTTTCTGTTTTCCCACCAGCCCGCAGACTTGTCGCTCTTGGCTGGTCCGACTGAAGTTTGCGCGATTCGCAGGCGTGGCGATGTTCAGTCATCGCTGCAAGCTATGGAATCTATGTAGGTAGGAATTCAGAGCGCCCCAGATTCAAGTTTTAGGTCTGGGGCAGATATTCAAGTTCGGCAAGTTCGACTCTACAATCGATGAGATGGTGCACTGCCTTCCTTACCTCACTGCGAGTGTTGCAATTTGCTGAGACTGTGGCAAAGTTAGACCTCGTTGGCTGGTGTCGCGATCGACTGACCTGTGACGAGTGTTCTTGGAAGTTTCTGCCTCTCGTGGTGGTCGTCTGGTGTGAAAACATTGGAAGCAGTGGCAGGGCTTTGCACCGGAGGCGGCTGTCCGAAGACTTGAGAGCAAATGAGCTCGTTCCAATCAGCAACACCCTGGTGGAATGTGACTCGATGGTGGCGTCCAATCTCTCGATGTGAAGGGTCGATGTAACCATGGCGATGGAAAATTAGCACAGTGATGATCTGAACGATTTAGCGCAATTCCTTCGTAGTCACAGGTGGTTGCCTCACATATCGATCACGAATGCTATCCTCTTGCAGAGCCCGGTTGAGAAGTTCTCTAGCTGGGGCGCCTTGATCTACCGAATGTCACTTCTCGTTCTGTCATGCTCTCGGACGCGATGACTTACCTAGATGATCTAACTGCCATATCATACACACCCTCTGGACTTTGGTACAGCTGTTGCGGGAACTCTGTATTAGATGCTCGAGGTACGGTAGCTGCGCCATGACGCCCCAGTGGGATGCGACAAGAATGACGGTGCCATACTCATTGACGGAAATAGGTCGTCCGTGTGGCCCACTGAAGAATGCCCGATAATGGTACGATGTGCCGGAATTTACACGCTCTGCGCGTTCCCAGAGCCTTCGCGACCATCCTCGGGCGTGCTTGATCATGAGCTGAATGGTCTGACCTGGTGCCTCATCTGTTACCGCGACGACGACGAAGGGATGGCTTTCGAAAGCTGAACGAATGCTCATCCCTGGCATATACAGATTTATATACTGCCCAGTCTGATAACTGATCCGAACTGGGCTATACACGTGTATTGAGGTCGACACACCGGTATTCTGAACGTGAGCCTTGGGCATACCGTGATAGAAAAGACGATGTCGAATCAGTATTTGTAGGACCTGTAAGGTAGTCACCGCGCCACATACAATGGCTGTGGCTAGTACGTACCATTTTGTGTCAGTCTTCGATTTGGAAACATGATACCATAATGTAAGCCAGATACCCGCAGCGAGTAATTGATGACTGCGTAGAAAGACTTCGTATGATAGCCGCCGGATGCGGACCACACAAAGCACAATCAGCAGAGCTAAAGTTGACGCTGCCTGCTCATACCATTAGCGCTGGGTAGATCACCCCACGGATCTCCTGATGACTGACAATGACACCATATCTGCTCTGGGTGTCCGTCCACACCAGCATCGTTGATGTTCTCAAACCCAAGCTGATATGTATGGCGATCGACACGACCAGTGCAACCCCAAATTGGATGTGCAGAGCTCGGAAAGTGCCAAGACACATACAGAGGAGGTCGGCGGCGTATGACATGTGCACAGCCAAGTAGCATGGTGCTAGGTGCACAGCTGATATGATACCTGTTCGACTCACTAACGAGCCGGTCTGACCTGTGGGTATGAAGATTGCACATAGTGAGATGATCACAATGACCGTTTGTTGAAGTATTGCGAGTCGAGTAAATCCATCCGTCAACCGATTGGGTTCGACAGCATAAGGAACTCGGAGATACTTGTTGAAGACCATTCTCGTGTACTCTATGACAGGTGGGACAGTCTCGCCGACGTGTCGACCAATCATGACTAAAAACACCCCTCCTAGGGCCAATGCATAGATGTCGACCGGACCCATTACACTAGCCTAAGCGCACCAATTAGTTGATGAGCAATGTGGACCGTAGGCAAGGGCTGTCTGAGTGAAATAGTAGCATACGCCGAATGTGTCATGCACGGAGTCTGTGTCCTTATGTAACCCGGTACATTCGACATATACCGTGATAGACTGAGACTGAGCATCGAAATTGTTGAACATGCGCACCTTCGAAGAAGAAGGCTCTATTATGAGTAGAGAAGAACCCACCAGGCTGTCGAACATGCCATATTTTCGCATGGTTGCTGTTCCTGGTCATGTGATCTTCATGAAGAAGCTACACAACCAATACTATAGAAATTGACAGTTTCACTGAGTGACGTAGCTTTGAGGCTGATAGTGCCAGTCTGAGGCGCGCACAGTCCAATATCACTAGTTAGAGATGGCGAGAACAGGACCGAATGTCTTTCACCCGGCAGTTCCAGGTTGGACAAAGCTACAGTTGTCAGGGTCTCAGCAATCCCCACGCTACCTCGAACTACAAAAGAAATGCCACGAGTCACATGAAGCAGTCAAGATCACTGGTCGGACTCACGTCGCTTCGTACTTTTAATGAGCTAGCACTGTTGTGCAGGACCAACATGGAGCCTTATGTACCGAACTGATTGCATTTTAACTATCGCCGGAAGTACGTACACAACTCCGGTCGACAGCTCAAGGAATAAGACAATATTAAGGAAAGTCAACTCCTCTTCCGACCTGAACCGAACACAAGCACGGCTTGTCCTTCAACGAGGAAAAGGCGGAGCTGTGGTACTGTAAAGGATGGCGTCACTGGTGTGCTTTTCCTCAGAGTAGCTGGAGCCAGCCCTCCTACATCGCTGGCTGGAGTTACTGGAAAATCGTGTCATGCCAAACGATCGACATAATCACAAGGCAAGGATTTCAGCAGGCAATGAAGCCAGCGCTGCAATCAGCCGCAGCATGGGCAGTTCATGGTATCTCTCCACTTAACCATTGCTAATGAAAGCTATTCACTAAGTGCTCCTACTCTTTCTCTGCAGGTTGTCCTTGCTACAGTACGAGTCGTCTTCTATGTTCAGCCTTCACTTGTGCAATACCCTTCCAGTGCAATATTCGGTCATCAGGATCGAGCCGAATACGAAGGCTCCCTAGCATGGTGAACTGTGTATCGCATCCCATAACTCACGCATCTCACAAACCGCTGTCAGAGAATACGGTACATCAAGACGCTGCCAGGTCCACGTGTCAGCGTGACACCACGGGCATCGATCGGCCTCGAAGTGTTGCGCCGCACGCGACTCAAAGGCTGCGTCTATCCCAAAATCAGGTACACCTGGTCCGCAGTCTACGCAGAGGAGCGTGCCGCAGTCCGTCAGATACACGAAATCCAGATGTGCCGGGTTACATAGTTTCCCGGGCGTGACCTCCAGTGTGTGAAGGTCGTCGCCATATCGTCGGAGTCTCGGAGACGTGTTTGCTTGTAGTCGGATCTTGTCCAGAGTCTCTGTTGTGATCGCGAGTTTCTGCTCCACGACGGCAATCCTGGATGACAGGATGCGGTCTCTCTCCTGCAATTGAGTATGCTCAGAGTGGCTAGTACACAGATCTTTCTCTAACTCACGTCTTTCAGACACGAGCTCGGAGTGCTCGCTTTCCAGGACTCGAATTCTGGTAAGACGAGTGGCTGATTCAGTCAGCACTCTGTTCAACTGACCACGCAGCTTGTCACGTTCATCGGTGATCTCATCGAGGCAGCGTTCAAGTTCGCAGTACTCGGTTTTTCGCAGGCTGAGCTGTTGCTTATGTGTCAAGTCCTTGTTGCGACCTTGATGCCTTAATCGACTCATATCCTTTTCGGCTTTCTGGTGTCTTTTCTGAAGACTTTCAAGCCGGTCATGGACCAAAAGAATTACCTCGTCCGCCCTGGCCCTTCGGTCCTCGAGATCCTGAATGAGGTGGACGCAGCACTCCGAACTTGCGCACCGCTCCCGGGCCGTAGCAAGTTCCTTCGTCACTGCGCCAAGCTTATTGTTGAGACTCGTGAGCTGGTTTCGGAGACATTCATTGGCCTGCTCGAGGTTGTGAAGCTTTCGGTCTTGTTCCTCTGCTGCCTTCTGCCGTAGCGATGAATCCTGCGCCTTTTGCCCCTCCGTGCGGGCAGTCGAAGCGATTCTCTGTTCTTCAGGAAAGGATGATGGATTCTTGGCAAGTCGATGCTCTTCACGGTTCGAGGCTTGTTCGGTCAGTGAGCGGAATAGCGGCCGAGGCTCGGTACCCTTCACTTCCAATCGATGAGCGTAGACCTGTATCCGGTTTTCTTCGTCTACGAGCAGATCTCTCATGCTGTCCCATCGGCTTATGAGAAGTTGTTGCTGATCCTGCAGAGTACGATGCTCCTCAGCAAGTTGGTTGGCGACGAGTGACCAGATTTTCGTCAGTGCTGGTCGGTTATCGTCCAAGCCATCATCAGAAGTCTCCAGTTCTTCGCACGTCGGGTTCAGAGCGCTCGGCAGCAGTGAGTTATTGGGCATGATAGAAGGTTCAAGAAAGGAACTGAAATATCGGTCTGGGCGTGCAAAAGACGTGTGGCGGCAGGCTTTATGTATGAATCTCTCCCCCGTGTGGATGCCAGCCTGGATTTATGTACCGCGGAACGTGATCGTAGATGACATAGGCCACGTAGCTTTGAACCAGGTAGACTATGCAAGGCATCGACTTGGCAAGAGCCGCCGGATGGAGGTCGAGGACCTCAGACGAGAACGCACTCGCGAACTACTGGCCTCCAGATCCGTTCGAAGGTGCCTGTGATTCGATGAAGGCATGAGGTCCACCGCCATCAAGGCAGAGTCAAATAGCGACTACCCGTCCCCAGGTAGCCAAAGTAGAAAGATGTAGATGCAAGTGTGAGACATCCCCACTCACAGCTTGCTGCCGTCCGACTGTCATTGATCCTCCAATCCGACCATCAAAGAGACGAGAGTGGCGTTTCGAGGCATACTTTTAACGCCCAGGAAGCAGTTGCTTAGCCATGTTCATCCGTTAGCACGTGCAGGAACTCCACAGTGCGGACGTCCCAGGACGTCCTCACCTAGTCCTGGGACGGACCACAAGCGCTCATCGCCTGTATCCACTTCTGGGAATCTGCGTTCACTGTCCCCATACACGATACCGCATCCGATATTTTCGGCGGCATCCACTGCACGCCCAAGCAGGTCGCCGTGCCACGCCGCCCAATTAAAGCTCGATATGCGAGGAGAACTTGTCACAGACTCGTGCCAATACAATCATGGAGCTAAGTCACTGGTGTCAACTCTACATCAGGTCTCCCCGGTGTGCATTCAAGACCCATTCAAGGTCCCACGAAGTTTTGTGGAAAGTTGGAATAAGGTTCACGCCAAGACTACCACAGTTCGTCGCTGTAGTCATTGGTCGGAGGTTTCTCCATTCCCCACATCTGTGATACCTCCTAGACCATGAGTTCACGTCAACAATCATCGACGCACGTAAGAGCGGGCATTCCAAAAAGCTGTCATACAGGGAACGTGCTTACACTACTGCATAACACTCATTGATAGCCACGGTATTGAGCTCATCGAGCTCATCGAGCTCATCGGGTAGAAGAGTGGTCCGTGCTGCGCTCGCATTGATCTCCCTTATGCAGCGATACATGCATAGCTGTGATCGAGAAGTGACGGCAGGCGTGGTCGAGTTGAATGGCGTGGACTCAGCCACGACCGCCTGCACAAAAGCCATGTAAGGGACCGACGGGATGGTTAGATTGAATTGACTGTCCCGGCCAGACTAGAGCCAATAACGTGTAGGATGAAAATCGTTGATATTATTACAATACAAGGCTACCCATGTACTACTCTCCATCAGTCAACCGCTGCCATCAGTTCCGCGCCATATTGTCCCAGCCTATCTATTCACCCAACCGAGAAATGACCGCCGCAAGTCCTCATCGATCAATCGTGATGTGTAGAGTACCGAAATGAACGATATCATCGTATTGCAGAGATGCTCACAGTATGAACAACGACTGGTATGCCTTTCAAAACGCTGGGTCGATGTGACGGCGTGAGCGTCGCCACATGCATTGGTCGAACTTTGACACAATGCCTTTCATGAAGCCATATATGATCACCATCCAGAGGATAATAGCAAAGATGGCTCCTATAATTAGGCTTCCGATGGTTGAGGAGGACTCCGGGACTCGTTTGCAGTTCGGATATGGACAGGTGAAAGTCATACCGGTGTATGGTGAGATACCGTGGAAGATTAGAGAAGCCGGTATGAGGTTGACGAAGGCAATAAAGAATATGAGACAAACGAACGTAAGAATTTGCCGGAACATATTTTGATAAGCTAGGGCTTACGAGGGTTATGAAAGAAGGTGAAAAGAAAACATAGGCATGGTCTGCGATTCGCTCATTTATACGTACTTACTCGCCAAGGCATCGCGAGAACTGTTGACCAGAATGTGAGTGTGGCGAGGCAGACTCGGCTCCGCCACACGTGTAAGTCGAAGTTCATGTCAGTCGCAGTGCAGTCGTGGTGTGTGGCTGTGGTCTCGTGATTACAGATGAGTCCGAGGTTGTCTTCCTTTTCGGTGCAGTCTTTCTCATCCGTTGATCTATGCTACGACCAGATTTTGAATCTTGTGAAGCGCGATGGCACGCTGGCAGTCAGTGAGTCGCAAGTCATCTTCATTTTGAGTGTATACTATCTAGCGGCCATGTTCTACCTACGGGGATTCGGGACATCGCCAAACCTTGCTTATAGTCTCTCGCAGCAGATCCATTGATGTGGTGATCACCCGACCAGGTATCAAGATCTGGCGTACCCGGATATCCCAACCAGCCGACCACCGTTCCTTCACACAGATCCTCTTGCACTAGAGCTGGATAGCCATATGTGTCTTGTACTGTGTTTAGGTGGGCAATGTAGAATTCTCTTACTAGAGTGCAGTTGAGTCTAAGATCTGGTCCAAATGACTGTGTACCTGATGGCAGATGAAGGCATTAACGTGAAAGGCTTCTCAGATCTATTCACGTACACAATGGATCGATTTAACTGGTGTCAGGTAAGCCAAAATTGTTCCCATCGCACAGATAAGCTCCTTGTGGAGGGAGATCCAGCTAACGCGGTGTTGAATATGCTGAGACTATAGCGATCCATACTAGGTTAAAGACAGCCTGACGCAGAAGCATTTCAATAACTCGCCATGATCCTAAATATTTATGAGGCTATATGAAATGCTGGAGAGACATGAGCATGAAATTTTCGAAGACGTTTAATACGACTAACTCCCTGTTATCAGCCAGAGCCTGAAGCTAGAGCAATCGCAAACCAAATTCGTGAGCTTCCTAAGGGGAGACCGCCGGAAGCTGAGGTGGACAAGATGGTTGTGTATTGGGGCGTGACACCGAGCAAAAATGATCCGCTATTGCCCTTTGTCATTGACTGTATGGAGATCATTTGAAGGTGTCTTGGTTGAAAGCCATGTGTTTGAACGGTCTGCTCCTCTACTGCACTCAAGATCAAAGTAAAGACATGTAGCGCCTATAGTAGAAGCGAGACATGAAGTGCGCTGGGCTGTGATGATTGTATATCTTAAAGAACATAGGTACAGTAACTCTTTTTCGGTTTTTAGGCAGAGAAAAGATCGCATGAGGGTGGAAATGCCTCCAACCTGAAGAAACATCTACAGCTTTACGTGGTCGATTTAGTTGACCAATCCGCATGCGGGCTCAAGTTTCAGATTATGCGGCCGTTTAGTGGCCGCTTGAGACCATCATGATGTCCGGCCAGCAGGTGAAATACCACGCCGTCCATGGGGACGTAGTTTAGGATACGTGGCCCCCTGCGCCACGTCAGAAATTATCCCCTCAAGGGCTGGGGGCAAATTCTCAGGGTCACAGCCATGCCCGAGCCAATTCAAATTCTCGACCTCATTGCACCCAGAGCACATCACCTGCACCATACATGAATAGCTATCATGAAGGTGGCAGAGGGTGCGAGCAGTCAAAAAGATCAAGAAGATCACTACAGAGTTACACTTGGCCCTGAGACGTGCTCTTCACCACTCTAAAAGTGAATACGCCATTTGAAGCCCTACAATTGACGCAAAAGCAGACCTCTCGAAAGTTGTCATACAGCATTGGACACGCGACGAACAACCTTAACTTAGGCTGTGACTGTCTGGGCGTGATCAAATACCTTGACGGCGTTGTCATCGACTCAGAGGGACAGGGGGCAATAACCCCCCACGTCATCTGCCTGCACGAGCAAGACAACGGCATCGGCTGGAAGCATACCAATTGGCGGACTTCACGTGCTGTCGTCACCAGGAATCGTGAGCTCGTCGTCCAGTTCGTCGTTACCTTGGCCAACTACGACTACGCTTTCGCGTACAAATTTGACCTTTCTAGAAGCATCACCATAGAAACTCGAGCCACCGGCATTCTCAGTGTTGTCAGTATCGATCCAGGAAAGAGGAGCAAGTATGTAAACGTTGCCAGTCCCGGCGTTCTTGCACAGAATTACGAGCATGTTATTTGCGTCCGTATGGATCCTGCTATCGACGGTTATGACAACACCGTCCGTTGTGGACCCAAGAATCCGGTGGGAAACCTCTACGAGGTCAGACGCGAGCCTGTAGAAAAGTCGAAATGGGTGGATGCCACCACACAGCACAATTTCACACCAGCGGACACGCAGCTCCTTCTGGCTCAGCGAGAATCTATCCAGGCCCAGCGAGCTCTTTTCGCGCAGCATCACGTCTGGATTACCAGGTACTTGGACCAAGAGCTGTATGCAGGAGGCCGGTACCCATTACAGAGCAAGAAAGAGGTTGGAGGAGTCGGCGATGCGGGGAAGCGGGAGAATAATGTGAGAAACACTGACGTCGTGGTGTGGAGTGTATTCAGCCTGAGCATTGCTAACAAGATATACAGGCCTGCCGAGGTCCGTCAGATCAGACTGCGCCCGACAGATTTCTTCAGCCAAAATCCATCCATTGATCTTCCGTCTACCAGGAATATGTCTTCTATTTTGACAAACGCCGCATCGCATTGCGCTAATTGATATGTGGCACATTCCGGACATCGTCGGGAGTGCTTTGGCGGTCTATCAATGAGCAGAACGATGAACCTGTGCCGAAATTTGTCGCATGAGGATAGCTCAGCATTGAGACGGCCCACTAGAGAGCTCAGCCTTCAGGGAATCCTACTTTGTAGACAGCTCTATTACTAAGAGAATAAACTAAAGTGAACAGGAGAAGACAGCGATCTATGTACACAGGTGCCACTAGAACAGGCCTACACCAGGAGGTGGCTGGGAAGGCGCTGGCGCGAGGCTGGGAGAACAATAGTTCCCAATCGTTACAGTATGAGGACATTCTAGAAGAGAAAGCACAAGATGAAATCAAGCGTTTCGAGGATGGCCCAGATTCACATCAAAAGTGTCGCACTAGTGAGCTAGATGACGCGCAAGATGATAGTGGCGAGAAATATCCTAATGGAGTACAATATGCAATGAAGCAAATAGGACTCATATTCTGATGAAGCAGTATCGAATAGATGCTTCTGCATGGATTAACCCTGCTTGCGGAGAGCGTATCTAGTAACCTTTCATGTCTTCATGCAATCGGTCTTGAATCTAGGTGTTGTTTCGGCATGCCAACATTAAATTACTTGAACTAGGGTGTAGAAAGACGTGCCACACGGACTTGGATGCTGCTGATTTCCTACTCATTAAACCCTTACGTACGAAGCCTCAGACAGGTGTTGGGTCAATCAGCACGAGTATTTCAAGTGGCCTGGGGACAGGTATTGTTGCATATTTAATTCACCACCCAAGACCGCCACTCACCTCGTTTTGCGTTTGGCAAAGCCCACGGCGGCCACTCATGGCCAATAGTGATTTGCTGCCGGACGGTGTCATTCCTGGCTGCCAGCCTGCCACCGTTGCACAGTCATTCCAACACAATATGGGGCATCAGAAGACATAAGTTTGGCGCATCAAACGCTTATACTCATGGTGCTCTTCCATGAAGTCCAATTCTCTGATATCGTTGATTATACGACACATGGCACCGACGTCGAGGCTTTTGCTCATTCTTAGCCACTGACTGTGTGCGTCGGCGATAGCCTTTCGAGATTTGTTCCCAGGTTTGCCTCCAAGACCATGGCCTGTGAGAATTCCCCAACGATGGAAAGTATGCAGGTCCAAATCGCGCCCGAAAATGTAATCCAAAGCCCATTCCATCGATTCAGCCGGACGGTGATCACAGAGAGAATGTGTAACTTCACAGTCTGGGTTTCGATGCAGCCGGCCATCCGGAAGTCGCTCCACGCCGTTCTCAAGCCAGTCTGTTTGATAATAAAACCGTCACGTCTGAGTATCACATCTTCCATGAGCATTGTCTTGCGATGAAACCCCTCGTTGGCCTGCCACTCTTTCGCGGCCTCTCGGAGTAGAGCCTTGGCGATGGCTTTTGATGGATTGGGTCTAAGTTTTTGCTAGGGATATGGTCATTATCAAGAATGCACTTGCCGCATCCGCTTGAGCAGCTGTTTCCCACAAAATCGGCGATATCGCTTTGCTGGCTCTTCACAGTAAAATCGTCCGGAAGAGAGACCGCTCTAAGCTATCCCTTGCCCAAACTTGGCTAAGAGATTGGTCAAGCTCTAGGCCCCTCCCTAGGCAACAGGCTCCTCCGTCCGTGTACGAAATCGTAGCTCGGGACCTTCCCTTCTCGGCACTGAAACAATCTCTCCAAACATACGGTAGAGTCAGGATCGGAGGGATCCGGGCGTGTAGGTAACGTGCCACTGCCGGACACCAGTTTGAGGTCTGTTGACCACACTATCCGTGCGCACGACCATAACCTCAACAAATTACGTTACAACATTTGGTAAACGTTTGACATCCGGCGTCAAATTCGGCCTCTCGTTCCTTTAGTTGTTCCCTTGCGAACAGCAGACGAGATGCGCTGGCGTGGCTGACTATCACGGCGGATGGCACCATGCTAGTAGACAGCTAGACAGGAAACGGGCAAGGGGGTCTGGGATCGCAACTTTGTGCCCCAATCTTCTCCAATTTGTAATTGGATATATCAACGGTCAGGCATGGTCTCGGAGCTATAAATATCAGGCTTCTCCGATATCACCTTCGTCTTTTTCTTCTCTTCCTTTCCCGTCGAGTTCGGTGACATTGCCTTCTAACAAAGCCGCTTACTTAGAGTTATTATGAGCGCACATTCTCCCATCTTGAAAATGAAAGAGCAACCAATCGAAGATCTAGACACCTATCGAAAATTACTGAGAGGCTACCGAGTCAAAGCAGATAGCGATGATGGGCTGGAGAGGTACGCAGGAGACGACATACTCGTCGATGCGGAAGAACTCCTGGAGCATTGTGACTTCCTAGAAGAAAAGCTTGCCATCAAGGTGTGTTCCGCTATCGCCCCTAAGTCGTCCGCATCAGGACTGATTGGCCATGACAGAAGAAGCGTATCGAGGAGCTTGAACAAGACAACAAAATTTTGGAGCGTCGAGTGTTAACTAGACCAGCGCCTTCCCAGCCACCCCCTGGCGTAGGCCTGTTCCAGTGGTACCTGTGTACATAGATCGCTGTCTTCGGCAGCGATTCTCTTCTCGTAGATGAGGATGAAGCAAAATAATGAATGAATCAGTGGCTGATCTTCGCGTCTTGGTGAGTGCGCTCCATCCAAGAATGGCACGCATTCAATCTATACGGCCCATTTCCGGTCCTCCACCACGGTGTCAATCATCGCCCTCTCAAATTGATGAGATATAAACTCTTGTCCCCGGGGCGCTCACAGCCGTGGTCGTGGTGCAGACGTCTACTGGACGAGTTTGTCGGGAGCTAGAGCAAGCGCATGGCCATGCGTCCGCCCCTTCCGTGGACATCGCTCCTTGTCATCTCGGCTGCCGTCCTGGCCCATGAGAGGCCTTCACGAGGCCCTGTCTCCTATCGTGGCCGTGTCGAAAGGTGGGCGTCGCATGTGGCGGTTTCGACCGATGACTGAGGGACCAAGAGACTGACGCAGGTGCACTAGACATTTCCGACGCCGGGACAATGCCACCACGGCGAACACGATCCTGGAGGCCAAGATGGCCGAAGTCGGCTCGTCGGTAGGCATCAACTCGTCGCGTCCGGACGGGCGCGTCCGGGTCGGATCGCAGCTAAGTTTCCACCACTGCCAGTGTTAGCAACTACAAAAGTGAGACGAGCTTTGTCCTACCTGGAAACGCCAGCAAGAATGACTTCAGCGGCTCCATACCGGGCCTTGATCCAATCAAGAGCCTCATAGGTCGTTTCAAGAGGATGTGGAAATGGGCCCTGGGTGTAACCGATAGAAAGGATGGGGAATCCTAGCGCTGAGACTAGTCAGTCCCTATCAACACGATGGATGAGACGGGTTCGAACCTGGGCGCATCTTCTGGAATGCCTTTGTATCACTATCTACGTCGTCTAAAGCCTTGCCTCCTGGTTCACATTAGCAAGTGCGCACCGTTAGTGTTTGGGTTGACTTACCCCCTGAAATGACCACCATAATATGACACGGGTTTTCAACGGGATCATATTCCTTGATATAGATTTGAAATCCTACTTTATCAATTGTGTGGATCGGCATCGCATCAGGGGGAAGCGCCTGGGCAGGATCAAGAACAGCATCAGCCCCACTCCAAGGCGCGGTCAACTTCAAGTTGTCTTCAGTAGTAGCACGCGGATAGTGCCAGAGATACTTGCTGTAGAAGGCCCTAAATCCTGGATCGATCAAGACGCTGTCTTCTGAAGAGAGTGGTGACATGCCGAGTTGCTTTAGAAAGGGAGAATCGGGCCGGATACCGGCTATGGCGCAGCATTCCGCGAGCATAGGCCCAAGCTCAACCATGCTCAGATTGAGGCAGTGACATATCTCGGTACACGGCAACTCTGAGCAGTGCTGAATCTGTTTGCCGGAAACACCGTAGCCAGATGCTACCAGATAAAGGCCGGTGCGCAGGAAGATCTCGGAAACTTCACCAGAAGTGTGCGCCGCTTGGGAATAGGGATGACGAAGAATGAGAGCAAGGTTGCGAACAAAGTCTTGAGCTTTGTCCTCAGATAGGGTTCCCAAGCTTGCTCCTACCTGTGTAGGCATCAGATTGACGACTTGTGGCGTGACCCGACAGAAGTCCCAGGTAGGATTTTCCGAGTCCGGTGGGAGCTTTCCTGTCCAGATGAATCTGAGAAAGAGAGCGAGAAGCTGATCGGCAGTACCCTATTTGAGTCATGGTCAGCTGTGGAGACCTGGTTCAGATAGGGTGGTCTCACCATTTCGGAATCGAGAATGGAGGATGAATCGGAGAGAGAAAGTTGAGGGGGACGCGAGATGCCTTAAGTCCTAGCGGGACGACATGGAATTCAAGCTCTTGGTCCCGACTTCATCTGCCGCTCCAATACCCTGGCGCCTTGCTGCATGCACAGTATGAAGGTGCGTGGGGAAAACGTGCCGGATCCGATGGCCTGTGGGAGGTATGCGACCCTAGAAATGACCTCTTCCGTCTCGCCAACATAGTCTTGGTGACGTGTGTTGCAGCTGTCACTGCGAGTATCGTCCCAATAAAAGTTAGTGGTGGCAACACATAATGACCAATATTGCTGCGAAACCGGGTCATCACGAGTACAGTCTCAAGCCACCCTCATAGACAGGATCCATGGATTGTTGCTGATTGTACCAAGCCTTGTTACCTCTTGCTACTGTATCTATCACAATCATGCAATGGAAAATCGCGCCAGCTGCCGGGTAGATTCTTCCCTTACTCTCTGTATCAGGGCTGTGAGTTCTCGTCTTACTGTCCTTGATGCATCAATCTTACACCTTGTCTCGCAAAGCGAACGTAGCTCTTCGTGCTCTTGTGAAGGATTCTGGAAGCCGGAAAGTATACGCGTAATCTTTCGAGTCGTTGTTTCCACGTAGGAGGCAGGAAACTGTTCTTAGGAACGGTGAGTGTGGTACCGTCATTGGCCGTCAGAAGTTGCGCCCATACTAGCATTCTGTCCCGCTCAGAACGTTGCTAAATCTAGTTAGTATAGAGTGATGATAGCCTGCTTGTCACTCACAATTCCAATTGTACACATAGCATGCATCAGGGCCGTGGTTGCAGACGCGGTTCCAAAATCATGGTAGAAAGTAGAAACTCAAAACTTCTGCCTGAGTACTTGACGTGACTGGTCTTGTACACACGATAGAGATTGTCGGTCGCAGCGGTAAATATGTTGAATGTCTCAGTCTCGTCCATCCCAGTTTCAGTCCACTTCATAGGGGCTTCCAGGGCAGTCTCTTCCCGTTGTATGATAGTGAAAGCTTCACCAATGTTAAATACGCGGGAGTATTCTTCCCTGGCTTCGCTTTCACTACGGAGAGGAAAGCTACCGCAGTAAGCCGCTAAGAGTGTGATCTCGAACTTCGTTTCCACTGTTCCGGGGTAAGTGACTGCGAGATACTTCGGCTCTGTACTGTTGACGGAGCTGCAACGCGTTAGCCATGAAGTCCTGGGCACCAGTATACTGAGAGCTAGTCTCTCCATATGGTAGGATTGCTTGATCGTCTGTAATCAAACACGGAGGCTTCAATGAAACTTACACTGCGTCAGACACCTTTCGTGGCGTGGCATCATCATCATCCATCACGTTAGGAGTTTTTGGGGTCCTTGATGACTGACTGTCGAAGTTTAGTCTTACGACAGCTGCATGAGCTGCAACGTTGCGTGCGTTGAGAATGGGAAGGGCAAAAGATTGGGCAGGCCCCGATAAATACACCCCGAAGGGGCGCTAAGCTACCGCACCTCGCAGAATGCCCCTGCCTCATCTGCTACGTCCAATTATGCCGCCGGAGGGGCCACCCTCCCCAGCGCTGTTGTTGCACGACTGGAACAGGAAGATATCTCGCCACGGCTGTGTCCCTGGAGGAAGCTTGACGCCATGATAATGCCTGAGGTGCTGTTCGAACTGATCAAATCGGTAGAATATCCGGTTAAGGTTACATTGCCCAATTCGATGTACGTGGAGAAGGTGATTTTCTTGTACTGCTGGCGGCACGATGCCGGAGAATGTAGCCCTACAGAAGATACAGGTGGCCAGCAATGTCTCACCAGTTCGGTGAGAGTCAACAGGATGAGGAATTTCGAAGGCCAAGTTATGATCGGTGAAGGCTGCACAGTTCCACGCCACCAGTTTCTCGTGTTGCGTTCTGATATGTCTGGTGAGAGACTCTGGCGTCTGGAGACGCTGGGAGCATAGCGAGCAAAGATAGGGCTTTTTCGCAGCAGGGGGAATGCTGGGTGCCGTCGTGCTGGAACGCGTGAATTGCACCAGTTCTTCGTTGCTCGGTTCAGTGCCAGTTTGGGCCATATCTGCCATAATCAAAAGGGGTGATTTCGTCCTTGGAGTAAAAGAGTGAAAGTCATGAAGTCGGAGGGAAAACTTTGTATTATTAGTCTGCTCGATGGTTACCGATGCATGCCGTCCCTCGCTATCTTGCCCCGCCGGGCTTGCGAGCCGTAACCACGACTAGCTTTGTGTGCAGCTGATTCCCGTACCAGTTCTCCTGACATGCGTGCCGGACCAGTGCAATGAGCACCGTTGCTTCCTTTAATGACCAACCCGCTTCTCTGAATGGCTCCAAGGTGTAGGCTTCAACTCCATTCAGGGTCGCTTCAAGGTTCAAAACTCCTATAGTCTTTTGTCTCTTATCCTTTGCCCATGGCCCCAGGGGTTGGGCGAATTCGTGCTTTTCTACATCCACAAAACCTGCTGCTTCCATCCACGTCTCGTAGCCACCTATGACATCGATGGGTCTGCCGCGTTTCTTCGTGATGTCGTATAACTGTGCGATCCATGTCAGGATCACTTCAGGCACTTCACCCTCTTGAGCGTAGGGACAGAAGTCGATACCATGGACCTCGATGATTCCACCAGGCTCCAAGACTGTCATCACTTGCTCGAAGATCCATGGCCAGTCGGTGAATGCACCCTCCATGTAACGTATGTGGACAAGGTTGTATTTCTTCGAATCGTCCCACGTCTTCTCGGCGTCATCGACCAGAAAGTGGCAGTTTGGAGGAACCTGCATCATGTCAGCGGCTAATCGCGTCCAGAGATAAGATGGCTCACCCAACGGGGCTGGATCGGGCTGAGGTCGATGCCAACAACTTCTCCTCCCCCGGAGCACTTGTCGGCAATGTCTATGGCCCACAGTCCCGTTCCTGTACCAACATCTAAGACCCTTGGTGCGCTCGAAAGACTATCCTGGCTGACTAGCAAGCGTTCGCCGAGTGTCATTATCGAGAGCTCATGGCGGAGATCCATCCGATCTTGCTCGCTACGGGCCGTAAGTATCGCAGCCGAGGGTACGTAGGAAGAGGTGCGCGATCATACCATTGATCTTTGGGACTGGGTCTGTGTCAGTGGTCTTGTTTCATTGCTTCATGGGCATCAATGGTGAAGCTTACACGAACCATTTCTCCGGATTTTGGTAGCGGCGCCCGTTTTTGGTCACATACTCTTCCGCGGATGAGCGTAAAGATGTCGTGGTGGACTCGACTTCTTCACCCACCCCAGAATCGCTTGCATCCTACCGCGTTGTTTAGTCCTAGAAAGACCATTTCATGAAGTCTCACATCTGCATCATCTTCTGATGTTGGCTCTTGTTGCACAGTAGCTATGACTGTGCCTGCCGCTGGATTCGAAAGCGACTCCAGATCACGGGCCTGCTCGTTTGGTTCTTTCTCCTCATCCGTCACTGCAGTTCGAGCGATTGCACTCGGCGTGGGCTCTGTGGGAGTCGGCTGCATGCTTTTGGCGATCTTCTCGGCGTCAGTTCGACATACCAACTTGGACTTGTTCGGATGGATCGCAAAAGAAACAGAGAGTAGACTGGTCGAACAGACTGGCCGAAGGGTCGACCATATCATACTATGTGGCTGATGGAAACTCAATCTGCATTCGTTCAGCAGATTAAGCGATCGAGGTGCATGCGACCTCGCTTCCATAGGTGGGGATGCGGCCCTTAGCTCGACACCGAGGCAGCATCCTGGCTATACAGCGTACCGGAAGTACGTCAGGGGCACGGAAATCGGAAGCATAGAATGAACAACAGCCGGACATCGAGGGGCGACGGGGCATCGACACGCTTTAATGCAAAAGTAGCCTCCGTTCCAGGCAGTATCATAAACGATGGAGCTGGTTCCAGACTATCTTGCTGTAACGGCGTACAAAGACAGCTTGCCTGATGTTGAGAGAATGACATCGATGCGTGATCTAGACGACCACCTACATTAAAATATCAAAGAATAAGCTCGGACAATCACACCGACTTTTCCCCACCACCGCCATCATTGGTGTGTAGATAAATCACATCCTTGTCGTCAACCTTAGGCAGCCAGCCAAGTTCCTTCATCAGATCGCCGTCCAGATTTCCTGCAGCACTTGTGAGAATTACCACCGCACGGGAATACAAGACTTACTTCCATAACGTTGGTTTGCGACCTCGGGCGTGCTGCCCCAGGGAGTTTGGTCGATGTGCGGACCATTCGATCTCCACGGATACAGATATGATAATAGGGGATGGCGGAGGGGCGGGTGGAAAAGTGGCTGTAGTGTTGTCCTCCTCCAATGCAGCCTCGAAACTTGGCCCAAAGTTTTCTGTTGTTGCGGCCATAATTTCAGGGTCATGAGTCCAGAAGAGGATAGCTGGAGTGAGGAGAAGAGTGAAAGACCACGCAGTTCGGGCGCAAGAAGGTCGCATAGATATAGTCCAGACTGGAGCGGAAAGCGTGCTTGGCGTTTTGGTCGTCCTGGAGTGTCCTCTGTTCGACATGGGTTCAAGTGGAGCATGTAAGGTACCCACTTTTTTGCCATCCTCCTGGACGATGGCAAAAAAGTGGGTACCCTCTCTGGGCCCATGGGTTCAAATGGAAGCGCCGCGGCAACCCGAAACACCTGCGCTTCCAGGTCTCGAAAGCGTTGCCCGATTACAATGCTCTCCATGAACAACGAGGTTTCCGTGCATTCTTTTTCAGAAACAGAGGTTCAAGAAGCACCGCAGTTGGTCCAGCCTCGTCAACAACGACATTGTGCGCTTTCCAAGACAGGCACTACTCAATGCTACTTTCTTGTCCCCTACAGCGACCATTTCGCAGAGGTTAATATCTCAGTATCCGCAACGCGATCCAAGTACGCAAAGCATGTCTCATACGAGGTTCTGGCCATCTACCAAGGTTGCTGTACGATGGTGGAAGAGCCAAGAGTCGACGAGCAAATTCGAAGAACCATTCAACTCGTGTACGACACTCACATTCAAGCCGTAAGACTCGAGCTAGATACACATTGGTATGTCAAAGTGCGGCTAGGTTGCGTTGCTGACTCTGACAAAACCAGCTGTGAAAGGCGACCTTGCAGAGAAGGAGAATCCATCACCTGCCGGGAAAAGAAGCAACGCCTTCTGAGGAGCCTGGAAACACCCAGGATAGGCAGTCTGTTGTCGAGAATCGTGACAACTACAATGTGTCTGTGACCGAGTTACCACGACCCACTGCGGTCGTAGTAGCACAGCCGCAGAGCAACTTACCAGTGAAAGGCGCCAAACGCAAACGCTCCCTCAAAGGAAAAGCCACACAACCTTGGACTGCGGTGACCACAACCCAACAGCACTTGGACGATAGACCGTTCGAAGATGCGATGCCGCCAGCACCCCAACGCAAAGATACCTGCCAAGATCTTGCGGCCGCGCTCGTCATTCTTGCGACGACAGGATTAGATAAGCCGAAGCAGAAACCGAAGGAGCAACGAGAGCAGGAGGACGCGATGCAGGCCATCATCTCGCGGCACAAGAAGGACAACCTGAACGAAGAAGAGCTTAATGCTCTACTGAAGGAGTTGGAAGCTAAATTTCAAGAGCGCGAAGGTGAAGAAAAAGATAACGCAAATCCCAAGGTATGGCACAATTGGTATTACTCTGCGTGTTTGGGGATGATACTGCACTCGAGAGGCAAGAGAAGCAATGACCGACGAGGCAGAGCCGTTAAGCTCTTGCATCAATTGTGAACAAAATGGCCGTTGACCACGGAGCCAAGGCTTTGATGGTAATCCGTGTGTACGCCGGTGAGGATCTTACAGAATCTTACGTTAAGTGAGCTAAGCGTCGCAGGAGTAAATTGCCGCCTTGGCCCTACCTCGCGTACAAACGCGCAGCAACAGGATAAAATCAGCAATCTAGTTGCAGAGGCTCTGGGACCTTTGCTTGTCGAGGATGAGGAGGAAGAGGAAGAGCAACGCCTGGTCCCAGTTCCCGCCCCTTGGATCAGTCGCGTGACAGGTATTAGGTGTGTGCTGCGAGCTGGCATCAGATGATAATGCTAACGAAGCTTTCCAGCTATCGCGAGGTTTGCACGACCTTGCAGATACTGAACTTCTCTATTTTTTCCGTGGCGAATGAGGCCAAGCTAGCAGAGAGCTTCTGTTATTCCACTGCCCGAGAGCAGTGGTCCAGCTTCGCCGAGAAGATACCACAATTGCGCATGGAGATCGAGGCACGCCCTCCCCCAAATTGGGGTCAACTGACAGAGGTAACCAAGTTCTCCTGGTTGGTGAGCAAATACTGCGGAGTGGCTCATTCCTTGTCTCAACATCCCTCGGAAAGTCGATATCGCCTGGGCGATGATGACGAGTCATCTACAGGCAACATCAAGGCGTACTACGATACCCCGAGATCGCAAGGGGACGGTTTATTTGGTTTGGACGAGCTGGGCTTGACCGAGGCTTTCAACGATACGGACTTGCATTTCATGCGATTGTACGACTTAGAGGACGACTCAACGTCCGACCAGGTATGACAACAGCTAAACGGCTCATTAAATCGATCATTGTTCTACCACGCTCGACTGTTCTGTCACTCTGTATTGTATCCACACCATAACGATATAGGCTTTCTGGACGCAAAGAGCGTCGTGCTCGTCGAGACAGATAATGTCACCTGTCTAGAAGGGCGGGGTGCCGAGATCCCTTGCGATTTTGACCTGAGGTTGCTGTCCTAACATGTTTGGGTCAAATTTTGCATTGGTCTCCACTCCATGGGTGCCGCCAGGACGGTGTCCGACCTTTCTCCGTTTCTGTGGAGGGCGGTCTGTTCGCTCGGGTTCCCCAGTGCCCGAGTACTCGCAATATCGAAGCCGACCCCTCCGACTGTGCCCGCTGAAGCAGCATCCCATTGGGGCGAGGAACGCAACGCGGCAACTCTCGTGGGAAAATGTAGTACTGGCTTTTGGCAGGACCAATTCGATCATCTGGAGCAACCCGTCTCTTGGAGCTCTTTGGGAGACCTGGATCGCCTTTTGCGAGGAGAGGAGCTCGGAAACAGTGGAAAAATTGCTGAACTAGTAATGCATGCATTGATCAGGAACCTTCGCCCAATGGGGGACGATCTGAAAGACCTTGTCATATTCCTCGATACGGTTCTGAATCAAGCGAGCCCACCGTTGCACTGGTTGGAAGGCCTCATGGACCAATATCTACAACTGAGGATCAGCGGTCATTCACATGTTGCAGCGATGGGTCGGACGGACGGCGTGATTTCGATACTGAAGAAAATCCCTTGTGATAATCGCGATCTTGTTCTGAGATCACGTTAATCAGAGGCTGTCACACTATCAGCTGGGTTGGTGAAGTAAGATAGCCTTGCATAGCGGCATTCCAGTCTGGTACAGCTCAAGCGAGTAGGCCGGCAATAGGACCATTCGACAGTTAGTGCAAAGATGACTTGAAACCCACCGAAGACTGCTGAGGACCAAAGATCTCAAGCCACCTGTGGGCTACATAAACCCTCGAGGCCCCCCTCTCCCCTTCCCTGAAATCTCAGTAGAGGTCTTCCATTCTCCTTGGCGCCTTGGACGACCGGGTTCATTGTCGAAAGCTCGTAAGGTATTGCCAAGATACAACAGTGGTAACCGCTTTGTGGGTATACCAAGTCACCAACCCTGCAGCGGTACTGCTCGGAAATCACCAGCTACCACTTCGAACGTTCCCAACCAGACTATAGGTACTGAAAAGCACGATGAATATCCCGGGGCTCTATTTGCCTGTTCCACAATTAATAACGGTTCTGATTTTCGGTAAACCATTCGAAGGCTTACTTGATCCCGACAGTAAGGAGGAATACGTCTCGGAGTCACTCTACTCAAAGATCAAAGGCCAATGGTCCACAGAATCGCCCGTGTCTATTGTCACTATGCTCTCTCCTGCCGACCCTTCTGGGCCTCCAATAGCGACCGTTAGAGCTTTCAGAACGTCGGAGTTGGCGTTCCTCTTGGGCGGCAGGGCCTATCGACTCATGTGTGACAGAGCCAACAAGGTCGTCTTTGGAAAGTTATTGCGTGTCATCCGTAACACGCATCCACGTGGTCACCTCGGCTGTATTCAGACTGGTTTGGAGGCCCAAGGCTTCCAAAACCTTACGTCTAGCGTAAGTTGCGGTTTCTCGAGTTGAATACTCACTGACGATAAACGAGACATTTTCTCTTGGGAATGTGAGTGCTGGTCAAAAGGTACAGGTGATCGATGAATCCAATCGACTTATTGCTGCAGCAAGAAGCAAACACGGATCGACACCCAGCGAGGTCGTTGTAATTCTAGCCCCGTCTGGGCAAAGTTCCTGTTGTCGAACGGCCTATCTAGCCACGATCGCCCTTGGAACCTTCATCACATCGTATGTTGATACCGGTCGAGTTTGTTGTAGGATCATGTGGGTTTTGGTCATTGCCAACAGCAACGAACTCGAGGAAGCCTGGACCGAGATATCTGGTACGATGAAGTTAAGACTTCCCTTCACTACGCTCACCGCCCCTCAACATTCCCCTAGTCTTGACTATGCCAGAGTGTTGTGGTTCATAGCATTCCTGGAGCAAGGGCCAGCGATGCGCCGGCTAGGAGAAGGTACGCCCATGAAGTCAGCGACACTGTTCACAGACCATGTTTCTGGAGGAGATGACCGTCTTCCCGTGGAATTATGGTGGCGAATATATGGCTATGTCCCTGCAATGGATCTGGTGATGATGGCACTGGTATCTAGAAAGCATCATCGACTTGTTGCTAAGTTCAGGAGACCTCCCTACTGGCAGACAAAACGGAAGCGTCATAACTTCTGTGGCGAGATTTGGCTTACCATGATCCAAGAGTATGAGATAACCCTCAGGTACCGGCTCGGAGAATGGATGAAATCTGCGCCAAAAGCCGACGAAAAGCTCCTTGATAGCTTCTGAAGGCTTCTTTGTTGCGAGATAGAGAGATCTGGTGTTGGTCCATATTCCCTCAGCGGGTCCAGGTTGATTAGCTGAGAAAAGCTCCTAAATGACTTGATTACCTTTATTACCCGCTCTTGCCCGCTTCTGCATACCAAGTGAAGGCAGTTGTATGCGTATCGTCGGCTCCTCTGGCGATTCGAGATTAAGTAGAAGGATAGTTGTGCTTGCGGATGCGGAACTGATGGGTGCAACCTCATCGCCAAGCGTGCTTGGCGATCCCATACATGGATATTCTCCAATAGGACTGCCACGGCAGTTCCAAAAAGCAGACTGAACTATGCTTGTGCCCCGTGCACAAGTTAATTCTTGGCAGATCGCAACCAGCGCTTCAGGTACCTTGATGACCATCACTTTCCGCAAGCAAATCAGCCATCACATATCTCGCACAAGCACTTCAAACCATTATTCGCAAAATGTTCCTTTCCATAATCAATGCCGATCTCTTTGCTGTCTCGAATATCTTTAATAGCTTTCACAACCAGCCGACACTTGCCAGATATCCTCGTAGGGCGTACCACAGCGGGAGGGTCGCAGTGGGAGTTCATCAACCTGAAGATGTTGCCGAAATTTCCATAATGATAATGGATAGAGCAGACCAGCTCACCCCTAGATTGAGGGAGATCGTCCTTGCGGTCGCGTCCATTCGGGGTCGTCACCATTATAGAGGTCTTCATGACTGGCGGCGGAAGGCTGAAAAATGGTCAAAAGTTTCGCTTCCGACATCTGGCCGATACCATCACCCAAACTTTCCCAACGAAATTCAACGTCCCAGCCCAAAGGGTCCAGTGAAGCTTGAAATGCTTTTCCGTTTTCCGGAGCTTATCCAATATCAGCCCAACTGTATTATGCACTTGTGCCAGAAAGTGGCTCAACGTTTGTGAGCGTGTCACTCAGCCCATAGCCTGTGCAATTTTGACATTACATTGGGCCGATTCTATATACCGTGGGGACAACTGCCTATGACACCAGGCTGCTTGGCCTTGGACAATGGCGTGAGATCAGAGCCGATTGATGTCTTTAACCTCCGACTTCGTCATGGCTTTAGGCGCAGTGGCTGGGCACTACTGGGTGTTACGCCGCTTCAGGTTGATTGTTTTCAGTGTGGCCAGAGGTATCATATTCTACCTGCCTATGACTGGAATGGAGTCGTCCTTTCACGTGTCTTCCAGGGCACCACCAATGCGAGCGTCTTCGATGGTGTCGACACAGGCGAGGTTGAGAGAGTTAAGACCAGGTGGAAACATGAATGGTGAGCGGGATCGGTGAAGAATACATTCTGCTCAACGGTTTCCCCACTAGATCCTGACCATGGAGCCCCTATCGATCATAACGTAGTCTGAATCCGCCTCAAGAGGGCTAGAGCCACTGGCCTGTTCGTCTGTCATCTCAACATCTCCTGTGTCGTCCTGCAGCAGGTGAGGCTTCTCAGCCGCCGTATGACTTTGAGTGGGTCCGGGCTGATGGCTCTCGCCTCGGCCGCCCTGCTCCAATGCCATAGCATAATTGGACAGGGAGAACTGCTTTGTAGATACGTTGTAGCGAATATAGCGATTGAGCGATGCTAAACGAACTCCGAACCACAGGCAGCGCTCATAACGGGGTGCTGTGTGACTGGGCAACTCGAGTGAGCGTTCATCCTCGTCAGCGACGGTATTTCGGAAAAAGTCCGGAGGGAAGATGTCTGGCGCCCACACTGCTCCGCGTGCAGGAATGTCCTCCGGGAGCTGGCGACCAGTGCCACTGGTGCTTTGAGGGAACGTTACAGCCGTTACGCGTTCAGACACACCCGACCGTCCTAACATGTTGAGGAAGAGAACGATATTCGACCATGGAATGTGAGCCTCTAGGTAGATCAGAGGACCACCGATGCGCGCCAGCGACCAAAGAAAGCCGAGAATAAAGTTCATGAAAGGAACCACATTTCTGTCCCCAATCTTGCCGGCGTTGGTCGCAACAGCCGAGCGCAGCATTTCCAGAACATAAATACTAACCGCCTGGGATGAGCCAAGTCCCACTTCAGCGGGAATCCATGTTGGAGCCCTGGCTAATACGGGCGCTTTAGCGTCCACGTCCGACCAGAACTCCTCGAACAGCAGATCGCGGATGGACACATCCTCTGCATCAATCTGGCCTTGTTCCATGGTTTCGTCGGAGGATTTGCGGGATTCGATTGCCGCGATGTGCTGACGGTACATTGTCCAGACTGGGTTTTCTGGCTTTCCAAAATCGAGCACTCCAGCGATTATAGATGCAGCAACCTCTGGGCCTTGTGTTTTCCACTCAGCGGCCGCACGCGTGATGTGATCGCTGAGTCCTTGTTGGAATGTTTCAATATGCAGTTGATACTTCTGTAGGGATCCACGCTTGAAGAGGAAGGCAAAGGCGGAAACAAAGGAAGCCTCAGTAGCCCGATATTTGTCATAAGACGGATCCTCGGTATCCAACAGAGGGTTGAACAGTAGCATTATACTCTCCCGAGCATTCTCAAACGGTTTGATGCTGACCAAGGCTTTGGAATAATAAAACAGCTGCTGTACGATGTTGGGTCTCGCGAGGACAGCGAGATGATGCTGGATCCTTCCCACATCGGGAGAAAGATCTGCGGCCCTATTGTACCATGTGCGTGCAATTTTAGACCAGATCTCGCGATCACGCAGATCGACTTCTACTATAGCCATACTAGATACGATCCGTTAGATAGTGACCTTGACACAGTGGGGAAGCTTGCGAATCTTGGCTTCGCTGATACTGGTTTCCTGAGTGTAGTCGACCTTGAACGAATTTTTGCTGGAAAAATCGTCGTGGGAACCTTTGGGGAAGTGGTTTCAAACAGAATCAACGTGCTCCTCACTCACCGATAGCGGGCGAGATCTCCCAGGCATTCAATCCAAGTCTCGAGAAAACGCGGCACAGATTCCATCAAAAGCGCCATCATCGAATAAGCAATGTAGACGAATGCCAACATATGCTCCAGTGACCCGGGCAGTTGTTGACGGAGAAGCTCGAGAAACGAATGAATTCCATGTCTCCACATTCGAGCTGGCATGGCGTACTTCTTCGCGAGGCGTCGCAGAGCAGGCGAAGCTGTGGGGTGCTGCGACGCGAGGAAGAAGTCATGGTGCTCATGGAGTAAAGTCCGGTGGAGACCAATTAAAGCTTGCCATTGGTCGTTGCTCAGCTTGTTGGCAGCTTTTGCGCACGCTTGTGTGATTTCTACCGCTTTCTTTTCGACCATGACCAGCCCTGCATAGATCCCCTTTACTTCAATAATCAGTTGCTCCTGGGTGATCGGATTTGTTTCTGGCTGCAGTATCAGACTTGTGTCGCCTTCAGGAGCATCGCCATCATCTTCATCGACAGGGCTCGAAGGTGTATCGTCATATGGCGGCGCAGTGTGGGATTGGCGGACGAGCGTATCTAAAGCAGATGGTTGTATGTCAACAGTCAGACGGTCGAGATAGCTAGTAGACAAATTATGGATGCTCGCCAGGGGCAAGGTGGAATCGACGTTATTGTTGGAATATTTGCCTCGCTTGCTGTTCTGGGGTTGGTCCTCGGCGATTCGCTTATAGGAGGTTGATGGGGGCTGTGACGTGGCATCCTCTGCAAGGCTGAGGGCCTTCCCCGTGGAAGTGACCTCCTGAGAGTGACGCCGAATAGCCTTGGGCGAGCCTTCGTTTGACGGTTTTTCTCCAATACTAGGGAATGGTCAACCTAACCACGGTACTGGTTTGAGCGGAGTGATTCGCACTTTTCGGCATCTCTTTGCTGTATTTCTGCTAAACTGCGACTACCCGGGACTTTCCACCACCAGCTGCGTGGTGAGATCTGAGTGTGGCTCATGTCTAAAGTGCCGCTCTGCAAGAATTTGTCAGTCAGTTTTTGCGGGCGTTTACCAACGAAGAGTGCTTTTGTTTGAACCCTTGAGAAATCGCACGGACCAAAATTCCGCTTGTAGAACTCAAACTCACTTGGAAGAGCCCGAAGTTATACCTCTTTCCGGTCTTTGTATCTCAAAAGGGAGACTGAGGGCCAAGGAGACCAGAACTTGATTGAAGATCAGAGGCAGCTTTGCAGAAGGCTTGCGGATTGAGAAGTATAGGCGAAAGATCTGGGCTCATATTCGTTTCGGAGCGTGGTTCGCATTTGGATCTGGCCTGTCTAGCGTGGTTGCCTACTAGAAACTAAATGTGTCGAACTGGGTCGCAAAAGCTGCGCCTTGCGGGTCTTTACGTGGACCCCTGCTAGGACGTAGCTGTTGTGGTCATGCTGATCTTGCCCAGCCATCGTCTCGTGCACTTTATCCAGCATTGATATCGCGGCTGCTAACTTATCCTTTAGGCGTATCTCCAGCCGATGTGGTGATCTGAGATGGTAAGGCTCGACATCGCGGGCGGCAGTGCAAGAGAATCAGGCTTCAACGCCACCACTTCTAACGGCAGTCAGGCTGGGTGAGAGAGCAGAATTGTCGATTTGGGGGCTGCCTATATTTCGTTCTCGAAACTACTTTCTTGCATTAACCGCCTCATACAAGGTGCTGGCGTGCCTTGCTGCGGAGGCTGAGATGCGTTCTGGGTTTCTTAGAACATGGCCAAGATGTAGATGGATATCTTGCGAACCAAAAAGCCATGCTACCCATCTTTGAGTGGCTCAATACCTTGCTGGCTTTGGAGAGGCTACTGAGGTGGCCTTTCATTAGTAGGCGCATTATGCCCAAGAAGACGGATAAGACTGGTGTTGGCTTACTATTGGCTTTCGCTGAGACAGCAATAGCCGAGCGCAGAAGAATCCAGCATCGAGACATGTTGGGATCCTTTCTCCAGCACGGGATCGAAGCTTCAAATCATGGTGGGCTCAGACACAACTGCGACGGCTATGCATATGGCTCTCTTCTTCGCTATGACCAATCCACGAGTGTGGGGATGTCTGCACTGTGAGATCCAGAAGGAGGAACAGAGTGGCCTCTCCACGCCAGTGAGCGCGAGCCAGTGTCAACAGATGCCCTATCTTGATGCGTGCGTCAAGGCAACTCTAAGACTGTGGCCACCGGTTGTGGGGCTCAATGGCAAAGTTGTCCCTCCGGGGGGCACATAAATTCTACGCAACTTTATTCCCGAAGGAACCTCAATTAACTATAGCGCGTGGGCAGTACAACGGAACGTGGCCGCCTTTGTTGCGGACGCCGACACGTACAGACCAGAACGATGGCTGCCTGGCGCCAACCCAGGAAGGGTCCTGGACGAAATGAACAACACGCTTGATCTAGTCTTCGGGTACGGCAAAAATGCTTGCTTAGGAAAGTCGATCGCTCTAATCGAGATGCAGAAGTTTGTGGCCGAGCTCAGTCGACGATTCGACATGAGCATTGTTCGACCCGAGAGGCCATTCAAAAGTTCAAACCGGAACGGCTTGTTCATTCAGGAAGATATGCTGGTCAGATTTGAGAAGCGAAGCTGTGACCTCTGACAAACTGGCACATGCATGCGACAATTGGCCTCGAGAAATTCATATTTAGGGTCCAGAGCATTCTTACTACTTCAGCCACTCTTAGTCGTACTTGATCTCAGTGTTTGGCATCTCGAGAATCTGTGGTAATCAATCGCTACTATTGCTCTTATCTCCTTCGGAATCACGGTTTTCCCTATATTGTTGCTTCTAGTGCCTGGAATCGTCAACGACTAAGGGCCGGACTTCTAGGCGCCGGCAGACCGTGGTAGTGTCACCAGCCCACACTGTCTGTAAGATATCGGACGACCACTTGATGGTTAAACTCACAAGAACTGGAAAGTTCTCGTGAAGACAGAGGCATGCTAATAGCCGCGACTCAAGTCTCTCTTCTCCTGCAATCTCTGTATCGACCAAACGCAGGTGATTTAGAGATCTGGGTAGGCACTGTAAAGAGTGTGCGGGCGAGGAGCCTTCCATGGGATTGAGGACCATGACTGCCGCACCCTCTTGGATCAATACTTGAAGCGGCCTTGATGACAGCCCTGGCGGTGGCGCCTTCATAGACCAGACAACGTATTCCAGGGATCTTCACCAAGTCAAGCTTCGTCATATCACTCTAATAATAGCTAACCAGTCAGAGAAAGTCATATATTGGGGCACCCCGCCTGCCAAGGTGTGGAAGCGCGCGCCTTCACCCGCAGACCAAGGCCATGTTCGTCTCGTGATTGTAGCTATATAACTTCTTTTGCAAATGCCCGTGAGTCACTTCTTTGCGATATTCCTTGACCAGATTTGATCCGCATGCCCGAGATATGCCGGATACTACTCTTCAAACTACCCCTTGCTTCGCAGATCTACCAGAAGATGTACTTGTGCAAATCTTTCAGTGGTTGTCAGCAGCCGCTCTTCTGGCCGTGGAGCGAACACGCAAATCCTTTCGCGATGTTGTGCGACATCACGATTACCTGTTCCTGAAGATCTACGGTGAAGGTCCAGTCCACAGACGAGTGCACGATGACGAACGAGACGCAACCACGTCACGACAGCTGCTGCGGGAAAAGTATGAGTGGCGACAACGATTGCAGACGAAAGATGCAGTGCAGATGACACCTACAGACTGTATCGACACACTTCTTGAGAAATTCTATCTCTGCGACGACGCGACGCTGAAAGGCATTGCGGAGAACGTGCTATTTTCGCTTCAAGAGCATAGATCCGATACTGTTGACTACCACGAAGCAGCAGCTACGGCATTGGCGGTGCTCGGGCGTAAGGAAGAAGCGGCCCAAAATTACGATACCATCCTTCGGCGTAACGAAACGTTACCATCACGAACTATACTCACGGCAGCGAGATTCGGGTGGCCTTGTTTGCCCTTTCTGTGCTTTGACGCGGACCAGTTCAAAGGAGAAGCACTGCTCGGGGCAGCCGTCGGCGGGCAACTGTCAATGCTACAAGAGCTGATCTCCATCGATGCGCCATTAGATTATAGCTCTCATGGGCTCTCGGTCGCACTGGCCGCTGCAATGGGTGGACATACGAGTATCTTGGAGTATGTGCAAGGTGCTGGAGTGAATCTTACTTCCAGGGCTTCTCAAAATGCCGAAACACCACTCTACTATGCCGCCAAGTACGACAATGCTGATGCCGCTCGCTACATCCTTGCGTACACAAACGAAGCAGAAGACATTCTCGATGCCTTCGACGGTGGAGTAATCTCTGGCAGCTTATCGGTGCTTGAAACCCTTGCCCCGCATCTCCATCACTTGGAAGACGCTCTCATTTCTCGATTCTTGAAGACTGCCTGCTGCTCGACAACGACCGTGGCGTTACATTTCCTACTAGTGGATCAGAAGATGGACGCCAATCATCTTCTGGAAGATGGAAGTTGCGCTGTGCATTTGGTTGCGAAAGAGAATAAACTCGAACACCTCACCGTTCTTCTTGAATGTGGAGCTTCTATCCTGCCTATGGACGCCACCGGCCAGACGGCGCTCGAAATAGCACTCAGCCTCAACCATACTGAGTTGATTGAATTCCTCGTTCAGGTTTCCCCGGAATATGGTCGAAACGGATTTACGCATCAGGAGAAGCTGAAGTACGTCGAGGATTGCCTGGACCGCTTACGCCCGCTATACCTTGGCGTTATTGTCATGGGCCATAGATCCGGGAGCAATGAAGGTGGGACAAAGACTCTATCAACAGAAAGTCTTTCAAAAGCTTGGGACGAGGGGGCACTGGTGAAGCTATCACGCTTATGGATGACCTCGCTATCCACAGCGTCTCTAGCATATTTTCTAGAGGTGGTCCTGGAGAGCAGGCTTGTTGATCCATACTTTGCGCTAATATCTGCCTCAGCGAGCGCATTCTCCAACTGCCCGCATGTTCGACTACAAAACAGACAATCCGGGCTGCGGACTGTAGTTAAGGAAATACTCTCATGCCTTTCACCGAACTATGAATATCTTTCGGCGTGTTGCCTCGGCGCTATTGTGGAAGAAGCTGTCTCTTCCATAGCAGGCGACGATATTCGCTCTTTGCACGCGGTTTTGACAACAGAGGAGGGCCGCCGTCTGTCCACAGGTTTGCACACAAAGGCACACGAAGAGATGTCTATTCTCCGGCGATTACGAACTCTAGCAAACCAGCAAGGCTAATCTTCACGAACCACAGTCAGTCCCAAGATACTAAGAATTGATGTACCAGATGCCACAGCTCCTGGGCAACTGCTTTAATTATCGGGAGGTGGGGACATGTTTCCACAATGGCTGACTTACACAGCCAATGCGGATAGGCCGCAGGTGAATGTTGAAGTGTACCTGTGAAAATGGATATGTCGATAGCTTGCGCAAGGACGCCTGTCGGCTGGGCTAGATAGGGCCGATACCGGTCTAAGGAACGCTCTCCACTGCTATTGAGGTATCTTGGCTGCTGTTGGAACCCTTTGCAACGCCTGTCTAGCCCGCTGGGACTGATCCCGCGTAATAAATGCTCATCACCTGGTGAACTGTAAAAGCAAAATAGGGTGGAAGTGGCAATCTGATAGACCCTGTGATGACGCCACATAGCATTGTGGTCAGTATGAGGACGGTGAGTATTGGCTGGTCATGAAATGGCCGCGTATTCTGAAATGGGACGGGCTGTGTGCTCACACAGCTGACCCGATACTTGTCACGCATGACGGCCATGACTTATTACGGTAATCGTACGCCGAGCACTGCATGCGCTGAGGAGGGCAGCAGTAAATATAGGTTGTATGCCTGAGGTAAGTAAGCCTGCCTCCTGTAGCGGTGGGACAAGCGTACACACGGGCGGGGGGAGAATCTGCCTTTTCTGGTTTAGTGTAGTCTAGGCAGAGCCACTGTCCCTCGTGGGAAGATCATCTGAAACAAGTGCACCCTGAGAGCACCTGAAGCACCCAGCTGCACACCTCTAGCCCACCCTGGAAGGTGTGCTAGGGCGGCATCGCCCACCCCCGAGAACGGAAACAGAAAAATGGGTCCAAAGAATCTGGGTCGTAGTATTCGAGTACTAAATAGTATAGGATATTATTGATAAATTTATAGCCTATAACTTTATCAACATCTTTCTTGTTATGTTGTGTCTCCTACAATTCTTTGTTAATATTGATTATCTCCTTTGTTGGCCACTGTTTTCCTGGGGCTGGTTCTAGTAGGGAAGTATAGAATATGTTATGAATCCTCATTTCTTTTGGGAGTTCTAGTTTGAAGGTGACCAGTCTGTATTTCTCCTTAACTCTAAACAGTCTGAGCTTAGTGTAATCTAGTTTAGAGCTTGGTCGTTATATTTTTATGTTTTTTTATAGAAGGTAAACTATCTCCCCCTCTAAGAAGACTAGTCCTCCAGTTCTCTTTTTGTTTGCATATTTTATTATTTTATCTTGAATCTCCTGTAAGTTGTCCCTAAGTAGTTGATGCATTATTTGTAAGTGCGTTACTAATATTTTTGCTTTTTCTACCACTAGCTTTATACCTAGTTTATAGTCATAAAGTCTTAGGTGTTTTCTGTAGTTTGCATAATAAGGGGAGATCCCTGTTGCTCCTGCTGAATTGTTGTATGCAAATTGTGCCGTTAGTAATAACTTGACCCACTTTGTTTGTTTATAGTCTAAATAGCACTATAGATATTATTTAAGGACTTGGTTTGTTCTTTCTGTTTATCCATTAGTCTGTAGGTGAAATGCTGTTGATAGCTTGTGTTTTGTTCCTAACTGGTCTGTTAATGATTGCTAAAATTGCGATGTGAAGAGTTTATCTCTGTCTGATATGATTTCCTTTGGCATTCTATACTGTGTGAAGACTGTTTCTATAAAAATATAAGCAAAGTCTGTTGCTGTTGCTGTTTTTAAGAATGGTACAAAGTATACCCATTTTATCAGTCTTTTAACTATCACTAGGATACTATTATATTCCACTCCTATGAGGGGATATGTAGATTTTAGTAGATCTATAATAAAGTCTATTATAATTAAGGTCTATATGTTATCTGGTAGTTCTAGAGATTGTAGTAACCTATAGGGTTTGTGTTAACTATACTTGGTTTGTACACATAAGTTATAGTTCCTAATATAGTTTTCCATGTCTTTCCTTAAGCTAGGCCAGGTGAAGTCTTAAGTTATGAGTTTAATTGTCTTATTAACACCTAGATGTCTAGCTATTTTAATATTATATCTGTTGTATATAACCTCTTGGTGTTGCTATTCACTTAGTTATATTTCTATAGTTGCCAGTGTTTAAGGTTTCTAGTATACTAGGCTATTCCTATCTTGCCTTAGTATTAAGGCTAGTACAGGTCTAGTTCCCTCTGTATAGTTAGGCCTTCTACTTAAAGCATTAGCGCGTCTGTTTTCTGTTTCTCTAACATATGTGATTTTAAAGTTATATGCTGAAAGTGTTTCTGCCCACCTAACTTGCCTCCTGTTGAGTTCTTTTGTTGTGGTCTAATATAGAAGGTTCTTGTGGTTAGTGAAGATCTGAACGGGGTGACTAGTTCCTTCTAGATATACTCTCCACTCCTTTAAGGCTTCTACTATTACTAAAAGTTCCTTATTATAGATATTATAGTTTAATTTGGGTCTGGTTATTTTTCTAGACTAATAGGCTACTAGCCTAATCTTTCTGTCTTCCCCTTTTTAGGTAAGGCATACACTGACTATATAGTCCAAGGTGTCTATTTTAAGTATAGCTTCCTTTTCTGGATTAAAAATAGCGAGTATTAGAGCTTTAGTCATTTTCTCCTTAATAGCCTTAAAGGCTTGCTTATATTCTTCTATTCAGTTAAAGCGTTGATCTTTCTTTGTAAGGTTTGTTAAGGGGGTAGTTGTATGAGAATACCCCAAGATAAACTTGTAGTAGTAGTTAGCAAGTCCCATAAACAACTGTACTTCCTTAATATTCTATAGCCTGGGCTATTCCTTAATAGATTGTATCTTCATAGGATCTAGAGCTAATCCCTTTCCTGATACAAGGTAGCTAAGGAAAGCTATCTTATGCTTATAAAACTCGCACTTGCTAAGCTTCACTAAGAGGTGTTTCTGTTATAGTTTCTTGAGCACCTTCTAAACCTGCTCCATATGTTTATTATAGGTTTGAGAGAATATCAAGATATTGTCTAAGTAGGCCAGGATAAAAACGTCTAGGTATTCTTATAAGGTATTGTTAATTAGCTCTTGGAAAGAGGCGGGTACATTAGTTAATCTGAACAGTATGACTTGGTACTCATAGAGTCCCTAACGTGTTTTGAACACTGTTTTCTATTCTTCACCCTCTTTTATCCTGATTCAATAATAGGTATCCCTAATATTGATTGCTGTAAACCACTTAGCGCCTAAAAGTCTGTCCTGTAGTTTATCTATACATAGAAGTGGATATTAGTTCTTTTAGGTGATATTATTGAGCTTCCTGAAGTTAATACACAGTTGTAGGCTGCCGTCTTTCTTTGGTATAAATAGCACACTGTGTGCTATAGGTAACATAGATTTTTATATAAATTACTTCTCTAGGTAGGTATCTAGGTATTCCTTTAAGAAGTCCTCCTGCTTCTTAGAAAGTGGTATTAATCTGGCATGGTACTTCAGATTTTCCACTAATAGGGGTATCTCATAATCCCATGGTTAATGTTCTAATAGGGTAGCACTCTCTACTTTCTCTGTGAACATATCCTTAAACTCTTTATATTCCAGAGGAATCTCTGACGCAGCTATACCTGCTAGAGCTCTTCTTACCGGTCATACCTATATCGCCTTTATAAAGGGAACCTTTGAGACTAATCAGGTCTCTATTTGTCCGTGACTGCAATTCGGAAATTTGAGTGTTCTCTTTTTCTAGTTGATTACTGGGTTGTGCTATGCTAGCCATTCTATTCCTAATATCACGTTGTATTTTATGTCAACAATGTCCAGTGTAATGTCTTCTTTGTGTCCCTGTATATGAAGGTGAATGTTCTGTAATTCTCTTTTAACCCATCCTTAGTCTTGTTTCATCAGATTACTGTCGGCTATATCCAATTGGTAAGGTTGCTCTTTGTTATACCAATAGTTTTTTAGTTAATAAGCTGCCCTTATACCTATGTAATTAATATTGGCTCCACTATTGATCATTATCTTTGTGTAGTTTCCTTGGATATGTCTGGTTAAGACCAAATGTTGGTTAGCGTTCCTACTAAGTGTACAAAGCTAAGGCTTTATTAGAGGAGAGGTTTACCTTAACAGCCTCCCCTTCTCTTGTTTTTTAGTAGGTAGATGTGTTAATATTCTTAGAATGTGCAATCTTTGTCTCTATAAAGCCCTCCTTCCTGGAGTATCCCTCTTACCTGGTAGTAGGAGATAGCTAGGTGAGGCACTATAGGGTTAATAGTGTAGTGATATTTATGTGGCTCTATAAAGTCTCTACAATCTGTATTGGCGCATAAGAACTTCCTGCTCTATATTGTCTTGTTAGGTCTTTTGTCTTTTACCTTGACCTCCTTACTTGGTTGCTCTGATCTAAGCTATAGCTTTTCAAAATGTTCCTTCTAGGATATAGGTATGTTTATCTCTTTAGATGCTCTGTCTTCCCCATGCTTAATATGTACATACAGGTCGTCCTTGTTTTCACACTGTTTGTCCTTACACATTTTCAAGTGAAATACCCTAACATCCCTCTTTAGGCTTGCTTTTAATATGTATATAATATACACATGCTAGGTATCAATTAAACAATCTCCTATACACCTTTTCTTTTCCCATTGATTAGTGATAAGCCTGACCAATCCTGGTGTAATGTGAGTGACTATCTATAGTTTGGCTTTAGAGGCTTGGTCTTTATTTAGGGCTTTAGGGAGCTCACTGTTATATATCTAGTCTTCCTAATCCGATTTGTCACTCAACTCTTCCTCACTTGTTGTTTCTTTATCTTAAAAGTATAGTGATATAGTTAGTTATTGTTTAGCTATTATATATAGGCTTATTAACCCTTGTTCCTCTAGGGAGTATATTAGTTGTTCTATTACATTGTGTATATAAATAGTTAGATATCTGGGATATTTATAGTCAGGGCACACTCTTATTACTATAGGTTATTATATCTCTATTCTTCCTCCTATTAGAAAGTAGGTAGGGTATTTCTCCCTGTTTTATCCTATAGTTAATCCCCACTATTTGGTAGCTACTATAATATAGAAAGGTCCCGTATTAAGGATCACTAAGGGAGAATCCCTCTCACTAGGTTATTTTCCCTTAGGCACCTTCCTGCTTATTATAGAAAGATTATATATAGTTTCCTTATTCTCTATATACATATTATGTAGATCCTGCGCACTTTCTTCA